CAGTCTTTGGGAATGCAGATAACGTGCTCTGGCCTCTTTCTGAACTATTTCTATATCATGGTTTTGTGCTTTTCAGATGGAGCAAAGCCTTTTGGGATTTCTTCCACAAGCCCGGTCCAAAGAAAGAAAATGAAAACCAAGCATGGAGTGGCTGCTGCTGATCCTGCTCAGTGCGGTTCGTACAAATTAATTTGTTTGAATAGTGGTAGTTTAAAACAAAAGTCAACTTGAGGCCTTTCATAAGTCAAAATTGGCTATTTCAATTGGATTTGAGGTCTCAATTGCCTCTGTAAACACTACAAACATGAAATAAAATTATCAATACATTTTCTGTTATTGTTTGGTTTAAGTAATGATGTGCCTTAAACAACCTCTTTTCAATATCCCTTATTGAGATGTCAAATTAAAAACCAGCAAGTAACTTGACCTGTAAGCAGAATCTTGAGCTTTGAACAGGGACCACAATGCTGTCCAATTATTGTTTCTGGATCGGGAATTCTTTAAAGCTGCATTGCTGCATTAATTCAAGCAAAATGAGGTCAAGACAAGTATTGATGCATAGAAATAAAGAGTTTTTAATTTGAAAGTTTCTCTCTTATAGGGGCAGCAGTAGCTCAGGAAGTTGAGTGGGTTGTCCAGTAATCTGAAGGTTGCAGGTGCGATCCCGGCTCCAACCAAACAATACTGCTGTTGTGTCCTTGGGCAAGACACTTAACCCACTTTGCCTGCTGGTGGTGGTCGAAGGGACTGGTGGCGCCTGTGCTCAGCAGCCTCGCGTCTCTCAGTGTGCCCCAGGGCAGCTGTGGCTACATCGTAGCTCATCACTACTAGTGTGTGAATGTGTGCGTGAATGGGTGAATGGTACACTGTAGTTTAAAGCACTTTGGAGTTCTCCGACTTTGAAAGGCACTATACAAGTGCAGGTTATTTATCTTATCTTGCATATTTTATATTTTCTGAGACACTTAAGGCCTGAAACATTAAAGCCTTTAATGCATTTTTGAGGGTTTTGTATTCTCACAGTAGTGAAGAAAAATATTGAATTGTGTTAAAATTCAGATTAAAAAATATATATACTTGTAATTTTAAGAAATTGCTTTTAGCTGTATGTCATGTTAATCTTAACATGACATACAGTAAAATCATAAAGAAATTGAGGGCAATTAAATAAAGGCAGCATCAATTAAAGATATATCTTCTTTTTTGTAGGTCTGTCGCAAATTAAAGGGAAGACCCCATGGAATGAGCAGGAGAAGCTGGCAGTTAAGCGACACTTGGCTGTTTTTGTGGCACTGCGAAAGGTGCCAGGAAAAAAAGACTGTATCCTATGCATTGAAAAATCCTCTCCTGTTCTCCAAAAGAGAACCTGGAAAGATGTGAAATATTATGTGTATAATGAAATTATAAAGATTACAAAATCACTAAAACATTAAAGCACTTCTAAGTTTCTCGATTAAAAAAAGAAAAGAAAAAATGTGATTAAGGCCAAAGTAATGGTAAGTTATTTAGAGAAAAGCCACTTGTTAAAATGATTTCAAGATGGTCATTTTTAGTTTTTGGATATGTTTGGTACTAAGTACACTTGTACACTTTTAGGTTTTTACTAATTTGCTATCTCTGCTAATGTTCTTTTTGAACTTAAATGCCAAAGCCATGTTAAGCTATGTTTTAAGAAAAGCATGTTTTGTGGATGACGGCTTTGATTTTATTTATTCTAATTTTTTTTACAGAGATTCACCTTTTGTTATTTTTGAAAAAATGTTTTGTGAATGACGGCTTTTATTTTTTTACTTTTTTTAACAGAGATTCACCTTTAGTTATTTTTACAACACTTACACAAATGTTAATGTTTAAAAAGCTGTCCGGCTTCTGTTTATATAATAAAAATGTGCTAAAATGCAATGGAATCAAATAATTTGAAAATATATTAACTTGCAAGTTTGACTTTATCAAAGAACCACACAACTGAAGTTACCTTATTGTGTTTTAGTAAACTGACCATTTTCTCTAAAAAAAAAAAAAAGGGCTTCTTCTTGCTTCTAACATTTATTTAATATTCACAATATATATATTTAAAGAAACATATCAGACATGTTTGTTTTGTTCCAAAATATGAGATCAACAGTTACTATTTCATAACTTTAAAGAGGGGGGGGGGGGGGGGGGGGGGGGGGAGAGATCAGCTGAGCAATTGGTCCTCAGTATGCTGGTTAAAAACTTTTTTTGAAAAATGGCAATATTGCAATATCTAAAGGAGTGTTTAAGTTGGTTTTTACACCCAATATCCAGAAATCATTTTTGTTTGTCTCTAAGTACATCACAAATGGTGGGCCTCAGTTTGTGAGTAGTTTTACTTGGTCCTCAGTATGTAGTAAGTACAAGAATGTGTGTGTGTGTGTGTGTGTGTGTGTGTGTGTCACCCCAAGTCTGCACGTCGTGTATAAACAGGAAAGACAACCATGCACACACACAAAGACAAACTTGTGTAACTCGAGATAGACAACTATGGAGCCGACGAGTCTGGCAACAGAAATTACTCCACCTTCGACATTCTAGCTGAAGGCTCAGGAGGTGCAGGTGGAGGAGGAGGAGGAGGACCAGCCTAGCATAGTGAACTAGACCAAATTCTTGCTTTGCAAAGTTTGGTCTAGGCATGCTCCATTGGAACCTCAGCAGCTCCTACCAGGACTCTGGCTAGCCAATCACAGCTCTCTAGAGGGGTTTCAAACATATAAAGAGCTGTGATTGGTCCATAATGGTGGGCCAATCATAGTGCTCTATCTGCTTAGTGAACAAATCACAGAGCTTTATCCGCTTTGTGGGCCAATCAGGGTACTATATATGCCTGGTGGGTGGGATGATGCAACAGAGTGAAACAAGAGTATGGCACATTCATTGTCCAGTAGAATGCGGAGATCATTTGAAAGACAACGGTAGAACCCGCCCCACAACCGAGAGCCGTCAATGGAGCATGGCCAGACTAAATAATACATTTATTTAGTCTGGCTTGCCAGGCTAGGACCGGCCGGCTCAGGCGGAGAAACCTGGGCAGCCGGTGCTACACGAACCGGTGCGATGGCTCGAGTTAGGCGCCCCCCAACATCGCAGACCGAGTCCCCTAGAAAGGTCTACTGTGCGGAGAAGTGACGGGACAGGAAAAATGACAAACCCCAGGACAGGCAAAGGTTTAGGCATGCAGTGAATATCACGACAGAATCAGCGGAGGACAAGCAGTAAGACACTGGTTGAAACCTGAGACCGGGATCTGCCGACAACTCACGCAGCACTCTGTTCACCACACCAACCCGAACCATGGTTGGACCATCGAATGTAACACGATCCACCATAGCTGGCGAAAGAGCAAAGGAGATGTTATCATAAAAAGAAGAAAACTCCACTTCAGACTAATGCTCACCAGGATCCAAGTCATATAGAGACACCTCGCCTATATGGACTGTAGCACCACGTGGAACTTTTACCCTTAGGGTTTGAGAGGGAAGCACAACTCGTGTAGACACACCATGACGCTCAGAAAACATCAGCTTCTCTAGCAGGGGTATTAAGTAACCAACAGTTACCAACAACCAAGGCTGGATTAACCATATGGGCAACTGGGCAATTGCCCAGGGCCCACAAACTCTAAAGGGCCCAGGGCAGCAAGGGCACGAGCAAAATACTGTATCTGTCAAGCTTGGTTTATGCTTGACACATTCACTTTCCGCGCGGTGATGCGGCTCGCGGCTGGAACGCGCTTCACAACTCGCAGCGTTTATGGTTTGTGCGGCTCGTCTCTGCGGTGAGCCAATATTCTCCCAAACTGCAGGGGGCAGCATGGAGCTCTACGGCATGCATCCAACACTACACCATGGTAGAAGTAGAAATTACTGTTTACTACATGGCATTCCAGCTTTTTTAACAGCATCCTCGTCTTTTCCGACAGTGCGAGCTATTTCTCTCCAAGAATTATTAACTACATGTTGATCACGGTGATCTCTGAGAGCTGAAGCATACAAAAGTCTGTATTTACGAACCTCTGCCATACTAGTTCTTGCCGGTCCGCCATGTTTTTCCGCGTCCGTCCGTCCGCGTGGTTAGAAATTTTCCAAGGTGCGTGTTGCGGAAATCTTGAACCATGCGGAGACGCGGTGGAGGGGCGTGGTTGTTAAAATGACGCAAAATGACGCAACTTTTCCGCACGGAGCCGTGCGGACCTCGCGGACGCGTCAAGCATAAACCAACCTTAATCTCCCGCTTTATATTAAACTAGGGTGACCGTAGTCCTGTTTTCTCCGGACGTGTCCGCTTTTCACTCTCTGTCCAGGGCGTCCGGACTGGGGGGTTCTTGTATTGATGAAAATGTCCGGTTTTTCATCCAGGAGCAGGGATCGAATTATGGGGCAGCTGTATATCCTACACATCCAGGGGAGCCGGAAAAAAAAGTTTTCTACCTATATTACATTATTTATGGACTCTTCTGAGCAGAGAGCACAGCGAGCGGCACAGCGCTGATCGTTGCTGCGCAGCACTCCAGGCTGCTGCTTCCAGCGCACGGTCCATTCTCACCATCAGAAAATGTAACTCCACCCCTAGTCAAGATTTGTAAAATGCTATGACAGTGGGCGTTGTCATGGCACAGCATGGCATGGCCAAGTGTGGGGAATTTCCATCCTGGGAGGGAGGGGGAGTGGGAGGAGACTGTACCAATGACGTGAAATTGTTCCAGACCCAGTCAATCACAAGTTTAAAATGCAGTAGCTGCTGTTCTGCCACAGGGGGCAGCACTAAGAAGTTTTTAGACCTAGATTCTAGATTTAATCAAGTTTACACAAACATGTCAAAAAATGCATAGAAACAGAAAGATTGCGTTTGCAAAGACCCAATTGTACAGTTTATAAGCAACAAAATTTATTTTGGGGTTTAGTTACTCTTTAAACACACTGAAAACAGATTGTCATGCCAGATTATTGTTGAGATTGTTGACCATTTTTCTTTTTCTGCAGGTGCATTTCCATCTTCTTTGTGGAGTTTCAGGCTCACTTTGAATCCGACTACTCCTCTACCGCTTGGATCCACAGTCTGGTTGACTGCACCACCATGCTCTGTGGTCAGTTCACATCCATTATTCACACATTAGCACACACCAACATAAAAAGCATCTGAAGGTTATCTCTGTGGGCAGCTCCTGTCGGTAGTCTGGTGGGGAATCGCTGGTCCTGCAGGGTGGCAGTGATGTCAGGGGGAGTCCTGTCCTCCTGTGGCCTCCTGCTCAGCTCCTTCGCTACCAGTTTGGAGCAGCTTTACTTCAGCATGGGAATCATCACAGGTCAGAACATGGGCATGTGATGACTGACAAAGTAGTACTGCAGGGTCACGTTGTCTTCCAGATCTTCAAAGGTTACTACAACATAATGCTAAAAACTACATTGGATGAAATGTTTTAGGAATTGGTTGTTGGAGTTCTGAAATGCGTTTCCAGTATTACACACAGTACATTCCACCCAGTCTGCCCTGAAGCGGTAACTGTCAGTGCACATCCAGTTACATACCAAAGAGGAACAACTTGACTGCAAACAGAAACGAGACTACTTGGCACGCTCTTTTTATATTCGTAACAAAAAAACAAGAAAAAAAGGAATGTACTTGGAATAAAAAGGGAACACTGAGACCCAGATACTTGGCTCTGAAGCTGAGAGTTGCTGTTTAAGAAGTTTTCAGGTTTAAATATTTCCTTGTCTGTACTGGTTTTGACACCTGAGAGGTAAAATCCGCCCTTCGCTCCGATCCTGCCTCATACCTCAGGGTAATTATTGGATAAAATGTTCTGCCCTGAAGGAGTCCTTCCTAAGCTTGAGTGGAAAGGAAAATGTTTCTTGGAAATGCCCACTCGTCTGATTTTGGTCCAGTTGTGTGAAGGTGGATATATATATTTTTAATCTTTTATTTCATTCACAATGTATAAAATAAACACAAACAAATACAACATACATTAACATATTGAAAAAAAAACATTGGAATGAAAAGGAGCAGATAAAAGAAAAAATCTTATGATTTCTTCCCCTTTTTACAAAATAAAATTATCCGCCAAACAAACACAGTATAACCTCAGTCACTTTCTAATATTTTCATGTCTAATCTTTGACATTATAATTCTCCTTTTCATAATACTAAATACATTAGATTTAATACATTTTTTTAAATATAGCAAGTGTAGTTGATTCTTTAAATTCCTTGTTAATGGCATTCCACAATCTTACACCATTTACAGAAATGTTACATTCCCTCACTTTGGTTCTGAATCTAGGTTTCTTAAAGACATCAGTTCCTTTTAACGTGTACCCACTTACTCTCTTATGAAACATTTTCTGAATATTAGTTGGTAGATTACTCGTATTCGCTCTGTACATTATTTGCAATATTTTCCACTCTACCAAGTCAGGAAATTTCATTATTTTGTATCTAATGAATAATTGATTAGTGTGATCTCTATAGTTACTGTTATTAATGATCCTCAATGCTCTTTTTTGCAAAATGAACAACGGTTGTGTTAAAGTTTTGCAAGTGGCTCCCCAAATTTCTAAACAATAAAATAAATATGGTTCAGTCAGTGAGTGATACAATGTTAACAACCCCGACAAATTTAGTAGAAACTTGACTCTATATAATACACCTATGGCTTTGGCGATTTTCCCCTTTATATAACCTACGTGTGATTTCCACGTGAGACTCTCATCGAACATGACTCCAAGAAATTTGGTTTCTTTTACTCTTTGAATTTCCATTCCATCTATCATTAAATGTACATCACAGCTTCTTCTGTTATTAAACAGTATAAAGTTTGTTTTGTTCAGGTTCAGTGAAAGTCTATTTATATCAAACCATTTTTTTTACTTTAATCAATTCACTGTTTATCACTTGAGTTACTTCATGTGCATTTAATCCTGAATAAAACAAAGTAGTATCATCCGCAAATAAAACTGTGCCAAGTAAATTAGAAACATTTACCAGGTCATTAATAAACAATATGAACAGTTTAGGTCCGAGGACTGACCCTTGTGGCACACCATAATAAATATCTTTTAATTCAGAGTTAGCATTATTTATTTGAACAAACTGTTTTCTATTGCGTAAATAATTATTAACCCATTGATGCGCCACCCCTCTTAATCAATTTCCCTCTGGGATTAAAAAAGTATTTTTGTATTTGAATTTGAATTATTCCATACCGGTGTAATTTAAGAAGTAACCTTGAATGATCAGTGACATCAAATGCCTTTTTTAAGTCAATAAAAACACTAATGAAATAGTTTTTATTGTCAATTGCTGATGAGATTTTATCTACTAAATCCATAACTGCCATTGCTGTTGAATGTTTGGTCCTAAAGCCATACTGTTCATGATTTAAAATTGAATTTTCGTCAATGAATTTGTCCAACCTTAATGCAAACACTTTTTCTAATATTTTGGAAAACTGTGGAAGCAGTGACACTGGCCTGTAATTAGTGAAACTCTGTTTATCACCGCTCTTAAATAATGGAACCACCTTGGCAATTTTCATTAAATCAGGGAAGACTCCTGTAGATAGTGACAGATTGCAGATGTAAGTGAATGGTTCAATAAAGAACTTTTATTGCCTGAACTTTATTTTCAAGTGTTGTTTATATTATTTCCCACCTGAAGAGTTCAGGGTATCCTCAGAAGTATGACCTCCGTGTCAGGATCGTTTTCAGAGGACAAATTTCTTCCCTGGATTTATTTTTCCACCTGGTTTCTAGAGCTGAAAAAGAAACCCACAGAAAGACCCTGGTTCTGGAAATGCTGTTGTTGTTTAAACATTTCTTTTTTTGTACATTTTAAAGCTCTTTTGTTCAGACACCAAAATACAGAAATTTTACCTTGACGTGTTTCAACTTGATAAGTGACTTTAGGAACAAAGAAGACAACAAGAATCTTTATGTTCCATAAATATACTGACTTTTGAAACCTGTCTGCCCCTACCAGGCCTGGGATTTGCCCTCTGTTACACCCCCGCAATCGCCCTTGTTGGCTGCTACTTCCGGCGCAGGAGGGCCTTGGCGTACGGCATCGCCATGTCAGGCAGCGGTATTGGGACATTTGTTCTGGCCCCAGCCGTGCAGCTGCTCATCAGTCTGTGCTCATGGAGGGGGGCCCTTCTCATTCTCAGTGGCTTTGTTGCTAATCTCTGCGTCTGTGGAGCACTGCTGCGACCAATCACAGTGCAGGAGGAGGAGGAGACGGAGGATATACGGGGGGATTCATGCGATGAGAAACTGCGCTGTACGTATCTTTATTGTTGGAGAGTTTCAGATATAGCCACAATCCCAGCACATGTTCAGAACCGTACGATACCAGAGAACTAAACCTCTATGGTTCTGGATTAGGTTGTAATGTAAGGTATCTTTGATCTGAATACTTGTAAAGTCAGCCACCAGTTAGCTGCCACTTAGCAACAAACCTTTTACACCTTAGCAGGTAACTAAGGTAACTGAGGCTGACGTGTATGCTCTGACACAGGTGATGTCTCATCGCAGGACATTGAACTTTCTGAAAAACTCACCCAAGATCCCAAAGACACACATTTGTCATCCATCAAGGAGTCGTCATTACCTTGTCAGCCCCTGTCCTGCTCTGAAAACTCTGTTCCTGGGCTGAAGAGAAGGTACTGCTTCCTGTCCAGTAAGGAGTATCACTTTCTGCTGCTACCAGACTTCCTGGGTCTGGCTGTGTCCCTCCTGTTCCTGGCCAGTGGCTGCAGCCTGCCCTTCGTCTACCTTGTGCCATATGCCCTGAGCACCGGTGTCAGCCACCAGAACGCTGCCTTCCTCATGTCTATACTTGGAATCATTGATATTGTGGGAAACATCACCTTCGGCTGGCTGACAGACACAAGGTAAGCTTTGAAATTCAAGATGCTTTGTTTGTCATCGCAACATTCAAACAAAAAAAACTCTTGCTGTGATTTGATCAACTGAATTAAAATTCTAATTACTTATGTGCATAAATGGTCTGACTCATGACAGCATGTAGAGAGTCAAACTTTGAAATGAACACCTCAGCTGCGGTGGGGAGACCAAGCCACTGGAAGGCAATAAAACATTTTTCGTGGCTACGACACACAAACACTTTGATTTCAGCATCAGTTGCCATGGTTACCCATACAATTCTACAGGTTTAAGGCTTATTTATACTTCTCCGTCAGCTCAAGTGTGGAGTCATGCACACTCCTGACAAAAAGGTTTTCCCTTCAGACTTCTCCATCACCCAGGGAGAGTTGCAAAGCAAATCCCCACCAGGACATCAGAGGCCTTTCAGGGGTGTCCTGCCACTATTACAGTCACATCTCCCATCTACCATAGGGTGTTTTCTATTGTGTTTATGTAATTCAGAAACATTATAACATTTGTCCCTCATTCTCCTCCACCTCATCACGCAATCAGCACCTCTAAACCCACGTCTCTCGTCATTTCTGCCGATGAATAAAATGTTTGCTCCATATCTTTGTACTCCTTCAGTCACAGGGGAAGAAATGTTCATTTTTTGGCGTTCTTCAGTCTGCTCCACGTCTGCCAGTAAATATATTTTTGAGGGGGCAATGGCGGTGTTGTTGACGAATTTAAAGGAAACAGCGTCCTGACCAATCAAAAGCACGCAGTTTCTGTCATTTTTGACGGAAGTCCTCAGAGAGAAAGTTAGAGTCCTTGTGAGTTCTATGAGACAGAAAATGTGTTTGTGTAAGTAAATGTTTTGCTGAGCACGAGTAGAGTTTGAAAGATTATATAGTTTTATAAATGAGGCACTGGAGCATTACCCAGCAGATGGTTAACCTGAGATCAGTCAGTAACACAATGTGAGACAAATCTCAACTGAAGTCACCTACTTTCCAACAGGTTGTCTTGTGTCTGGTAAAGTGACTTCCTGTGTGTTTCAGGTGTTTGAAGCCACACCGTCTCATCTGCTACATCTTCTCAGTGGCGATGGAAGGTCTCTGCTGCCTCTTCATGCCGCTGCTGTGTTCCTTTGCTCTCCTTGTGCCGTTCTCCGTACTCTATGGTTACTTTGATGGCGCCTATGTGGCTCTCATCCCAGTGGTGACGTCTGACATGGTGGGAGTTTCATATCTGTCCTCGGCACTGGGTGTGGTCTTCTTCCTGCATGCTGTCCCTTATTTGGTCAGCCCACCAATCGGAGGCAAGTTGTACTGGTTATACGTTTATAGTATGATGACACCACACCTAACCTCCTCCCTTTTTAAAATAATTTTATTAATAAAGCAGCAAAACAATTATCACTTCATATTTAGAAAAGTAAATAAAGGAAGCTGACCTACTTCTTCTGCACACGCAGGCTGGCTTGTTGACGTCACAGGAAGTTACACCGCCACCTTCTTCCTTAGTGGATCCACACTGCTGACCAGCTCGCTGGTCATCTCCATTGTAGCTGGGATTCGCTGCTGCCGCCAACACCGGAACACTAGACACAAATCCCACTCCCTCAGACTATGTAACCAATCAGACTGCTTCCAGAAAGTGGTTCACAGCCAGGGATCTCATTTATAAAACATTGCGTAGAATCCTTACTAAAACCGTACTTAAGCTCAGCAAAAAAACGCACTTCCGCCAAGTGGGTTTGTGATCTATCAAACATGGAGTACGCACAGCTGCATGCAATCTCCGCTTCATAAATCGGAGACTAACGAGAATGTTTCTCAGCTGCATTTTAGTCTGCATTTCGACTTTCAAAAAACTCCTGAAGACCCTGCTCTTCAGAGAGCATCTTCTAAACTAGCACCCTCCCTGCACCCGTCCCCCTCTCTACTGTCCACTCCTTGTTCCCTCCTCTCCATGATTCATGATACTGCCTCACTGCCACCTACAACTGACTGGAAATTGTTTGTTGTTGTTGTTATTGTTGTTGTTAGCCTCAAGGGCAACATGCCGTTTTAACTTGTAAGTCGCTTTGGACAAAAGCGTCTGCTAAATACATAAACATAACATAAACAGTCACATCCCGCCCTCACCATACCCACTTACTGCCATAAATAGTCAATGCAAAGTGCCTTGTAGACCTCATGCATATACATAAGGCGGCTGTTGCAGCGCTCCGCCAATGACGATGGCGACCGTAGATCAAGGCAGATCAAGGAAGTGCTATTTCACAGAAGCAGACATTCAGGTACTTGTGGGTGAAGTGGAAAACCAAAAGAAGGTGCTTTTGCAAAATAAATAAGAGAAAATCCACGGAGTGGCACAGCGTTGCTGAAGCCGTCAATGTTGTGAATTCTTCAGAGATCTGTGGCGGATATAAAAAACATTCCAATTGGGATTCGATCAACAGACTCCCAGGTGACAGTCACGCACGCTAACCAGCCATCCAAACAGAAATCTCCCTTGTCCAAGTAGCCAGGGCGCATGATCAAGTGGGTCACAGATGCATGACATTCTGTCTCAATCTGCCCCCTGCTGATATTCTGCTCTTCAGGCTGTGTGTGTGTGTGTGTGTGTGGGGGGGGGGGGGGGGGTCTTGTTTTGTGTGCGCACAAAGCAGTACAAGTACTAATGCTGCAGGATTTCATCATTGTATCCTTCTCAGCAGCAGCACTGCAGGTGCTCTCCATGTCCAAAATGTGCGTAAGCCAGGTCCTTAGTCAACTTAAAACTGTGCAATTTTTCCTGCTAAGTTTTCTTTCATAAATTCAAAAGTTTGTGTGGAAAGTTGCTTACGCAGTTTTCCAACCCCGTTTTGTGCGTAAGCAAGCTTGATAAATGAGGCCCCAGGACAATTCCCCAGAGTCATCCTGATAACAACCAATCAGATTCATGGACACTAAAGAACACCGGGAGAGATGTGACTGGCTGCATTCAGATCTTTATGTGAAGATTTATTCAGGGTACTATTCTTTGAAACAACTTCACTTAGTTGTCATTGACTCAGGTGGTATTAAAACAAGTTAAAAAGTTTACAAGTCTGAAGTGATAATGGCAGAGTGAGCATACCTGTATGGACTCTCATTAGGGACAAAAGTTTCCCAAAAAGGTTTCTTCCACAGATGAATCTGTAGTCAAACACATGAAACCCAAGGTACGGACATCTGGAATACTCAGGGATGATAGTTTTCTTGTTTCCTGTGAATGTTGCACTATTCGTCTGATTTGTCATTCCAGTATTTACCATTATCAATAACCATCCACATCCACTTCAAAAACTGTTGGTGCTGTTTTGTAAACTGATCATTGAAATGACTCCTGACCAAAACCTGTCTCTTGTAAAGCTCCAGTGTGTGGTGAAACATTTCTGGTTTCCCGTTTCTGCACTTGAACTAATTTCTTCATCAGGAGTTAATGACCTGCAGCAAAAAGGTTCATGAATGTTCAAACTGCTTTCTTCAAAGTGTTCTGGATCATCACCCTTCTGGATTGGAAAACTGTATGCTGCTCTTTTAAGATGTGGAACACTTAAAAAAAAGCATTTTAAGGATTATTTCTGATTATAACCAGTCACTCTGAGGTTTTAATGCAGACTGAACATGAAAATAGTCTCCTACAACTATCTGCTGCATTAGCTTCTGATAGAAAATAGTCAGTGAAACTTTAGGATTTTAAAAGCCTGACAGATCTACATCACACTGTTTCTTAATGTTCATGGACTCACAACAGGAAAGGCTATTGGTGTTTTTGCATCTAGCAAACAGCTCAACTAGTAGCAACTGTTAGCATTAGCAACTCCACCACACAGCAGAAGCTCCTCCAGGCTTGTTACTTGTGGAAATGAAACGTCCATATTGCAAGCCCGTGGTAAAGTCGTGTTGCTGTTATCCAGTCCAAGATGTCCAAATACTGTAATGTTTCTTGAATTAAGATGTTTCATGTTCTTTGCAAAAGATCTTTATTTCTCATCTTCACCAGCTGTCTTTCATCTGCCCATCAACACTCTCCTCAACTCTTAAATAGATCTGTCTAACACCGCCCTCTTGTGGGCAGAGCCATAAGTTATCACTACAAATTCCAGGAAATAAGACTCCCAAAACCTGCATCTGAAGCTCAGCTGTAACGTGGGTCACTTCTAATCATTTCTGTAGAACTCTGCTTGTTTTCCAGTTTGTGTCCTAAGACTTCAGTGTTTTAAGCTTTGTGCTCTTTAGCTTATTTTTCTGTTATAAGACTTTATTTAGGAGTATCCCTACTGAGTTTTCCAAAATATTTCTTCTGCTAATATGAACTCAACTTCAGCTAAGGTCTTTAGTTGTTTTTAACTTGGTGCACACACATAAACAGCGTTAATGCTAATTAAAAAAAGAAGCCATCATCCAATTTTGTTTTAAATTTTGCAATAAAATGTCAATTCCACTCCCCCACATGAGAGAAAGTTGGAGGAATAAACTTGAGTGGAGCCACTATCATAATGCTAGTTGACAACAATGGGAGGGTTTTTGTTTGTGCCATGCCAAGCTCCCCACTTGCTGTGTGCCTGTGACTGATCACATTTGTTTAAGTCACAACTGATTTATCATTAAATTATTTTTAACAAGTTACCATTTTATCTTCTCTTTTTGCATGAATTATGACAAAAGTATTATGAACTATTTAACCTTTTACTTTGTCACATTTGCTATAACTGAATACTGACCCAATGCCCCATCATATTGTCAAAGTAAGGAGCAAAAAGGGATTGCTGCGTCATTTAAAGTGTTTTAATAATAACAGATAGAAAAAAAAGTCAAAAGAACACATTTATAAACAAGTGTTTAAAAATCCTGAGCCATTTCTTTGATTTCATTTCTTGCACGTTTTGGAACGTAGTTGCCTCCTAATGATCAGGTGATCACTCTCCTTGTCATCCTCTGCACCTGCAGACATCTGAAACGAGATAGAATAAACTGTCAAACACAACTCCCCCAAACATCCCCACGAAGACCCACTGTGCCTCACCATATGTGGCGAGTCAACCAGCTGAGACGAGGTATCCAACTTGAACAGCTTCCTACGTCCTCGCCGAGGTTTGGTTACCACGGTGACTGCCTCCTTCTCTACTGAATGATCACTGACTGGAGCTGGGACAGGTTTAGCTACACAAAAAGATGATGTTTGTCAAGCTGAATTGGACTCAAATAACCATGCAGATAGCATGTCAGAGAATGTATGTTCACTCATTAAAGATCTTCATAAACATGAAATCATTTTCATTATATTTTTGTTCTTATAAAAAACATCTGATGATGAAAATCAAAATGATGAACCAGATCAGAACAGAATAAACCTCAGCTGCAACTCTAACAGTGCCCTCTGCTGTTCAAACACAGAACAACAGGTGCCTGGATCAGTCACAAACCTTTGGTTCTCAGAAAAGAAGGAGAGTTCTGGATCAGCTCTTTGATCTTCAGCGGAGCTCCACCCTCCTGTTCCTGCACCACAGAAGAAACAAGCAGGTTAAAACTTTCTGCCTACAGGTGCTTTACCTGTCCCCTCAGACTCTTCACCTGTTTGTTGCTGCAAGTGTCTACTCTAACTCTGCTGCTCTTGTTTTCTTTGAAGACCAAACCCTGAAAGACACCAAACATCTGGGTTACAGGGTATCTGCAGATTTAAGGGAGCCAAATTTAAGACTTTTTAAGACCTTTTTTAAGGCCACTTTGACCAAATTTGAGCTATTTTAAAATTTAAATTTAAGCTATAATTTCCAGCTATTGCCTGGAACCGGTGCTAACCACGTTGCAAACGTGGGATTAGCCATCCAGTTACCATTAAACTTGCCCTTTCCCATGGCGCAAGCTCCCACTAGCTTAACCAGCTAATGTGCTCATCTAAAAAAAATAGCCCCCTTTCACAACCAACTGACTGCATACGGTTCCGCTTACGTCAACATCATACACAAAAAATGCTGAACACTAACTAGAAATTCACGGAATTTTTATAGAAATAAAAGAATCTTGTTTATTGGGTCTTTGGTCATTTAAGACCTTTGGAAACTGGATTTAAGGATTATTTGTCATTTTTAAGGACTTTTAAGGCCTTAAATTAGGAAAAGCTAATTTAAGACTTTTTAAGGTCCCGCGGATACCCTGGGTTATCACAGATGCCTCCCATCAACTAGCTGTTGAAACACACACCAATACCCACTTCGCTGTTCTTCCTCTTTCTGCCCAAGGTTCTGCTAATCTTCTTCCTGCCAGTCCCGCCAGATCTCAGAGGTGAAGCACAAACATCCTGATGATTAAGAAAAAGCACAAAAATTCACTGAATGGATGCATCTGTGTGTCAACAAAAGTCAACCTAATAAAAAACATCAACTTTTACTACTTCAGTCTTGCAGGCTGAATTAGCCCGCAGCAGTTAACACACAGGTTGCCCTCAGATCCCTTTTATCAGTTTATATTTCAATTTTAACATATTTTTCAGACACTGAAGGATCAGAAATTTAGTTTCATCATTTTATTCTTATTTCAGAGTTTGATCTTAAATTCTGATAAATTAAATAGAGACACGAGCACCTCTTGCTGCACCTCCTTCTCTACAGACCTCCTCAGACAAAACAAAGAAGGACTCAGGCTCAGGTGAACCGACTCACTTGCAACTCCCCCTGAAGATGAGCCTCTCTATCATCCCCCATCCTGCAAAGCCGTTTGTCCCTCTTCTCTTTCACTCCCAGGTTCTCCTTCTCCTCCTCCTCTTCCCCCTCCTCCTCACTCCTTTGCAGGTTCTCCTTTAGATGCTGAAGCTCTGGAAGGAGACACAAAATCATCAAAGTCTAACTTCATCTCATGATCAGAAGCTCTGTTCTCTGGGTCCTGCAGACTGAGCAGGTGAAATTGAACCTAAGAAGAAATTTAATGGAGCTTTTGGAAAAACCTGAAACATTTAAGCTGAAAAAACAAAAAAACATAAGCAGAGGTTTTAAACATATTTGTTTTCATCAGTGAATCCAAAGAGTTCAAATATCCTGCAGCCCCACAAATCCTGAATGGGTTCCTCCAGCAACAGTTTTCTTTATCCTCATCAGGAAACTGAAGTCTGCTTGTGAAAAGCCAGAAGCAGAGAAACTTTCCAAAGTGCATGAGCAAAGCATCAGCTGTTGATTAGAAAAAATACCTTCTGACATTTGGGTTGGCATTTTATTACATTTCAGGAACATTTCTTATAGTTTTGATTTAAGAAAAAATAAAAATAAAAAAATAAATATATATATATATATATATGCACCAAGGGCACACATCCTTTGGTAGATATGTTTTTGTTTGTTTTTCTTGACTGAGCTGAGCTGAATTTTATGTAACTTGATTTAAATCTGACTGACAGGAGTGTCAGATGTCATGTGACCTCACGCTCTGATGTCATACCTTGTCTCAGAGTCTCTGTGAGTTGTTGACTGTCCTCCAGGAGTGTTTCTCTCTCCGATATTAAAAGACGCAGCTCTGAAACACAAAGATAATCCATCAGCCAGTCAGGAGCGTCAAACACGACAAGTGAAATCAGGATGTTTTGCTGCTCATTATCATTACTGTCTCTGCAGCCATCCTCTGTGTTTGATTCAAATGGCTGTTCATTGATAGGCATTCAGGTGATATCATGAGCTAATAAGTCCCGCCCTCCTCACCTGACACCTCTTTCTCCTGCTCTTGCCTCCTCTCTTCTGCTCTACCCATCTCCTCCAGTCTTTGACGTAGAGCTCCACCTTCTGACTCATACTCCACCCTCAGGTTCTGCAGATGGTGAGTTAATTCTGTGGTTTGATTGGACAGCTCCTGGCACCTGTTCTTGCTGCAGGAGCAAAGGAAAAAATACAGCCGTTACAGAAGTCGGAAAGCTTCCTGACACGGGATTGGGATCTAGAGGGACCCAGGAGCGGGAGGCTAAGAAAAGACAGTGAGTCCAAAATTTGCAAGATCGAAAGTGTATCTGAAGTAGTGTAGTGGCCGTAAAGGTCAAGAGGTCATCTGTAAGAAGGGTATAGAACTTAATTGTGAATCTTTGGTTAGAAAGCCTGTTTGTCTCAAGTCAATATTCAAAAACAAATATGGTGGGGCTACTGCATTTTACATCCAGAGTGAGATTGTGGTTAGAATAATGAACTTGACATGTCTGGCATTGAAGCATTGTGGATTCAGATACACATTCCACATCACAAACCCATACTGAATATTTAAATAATGTATGCACAATGTTTCAAAAGGCCTCGGACATGAATAGTGAGCTGTTTATACTTGGAGACAAGAACATTGATTGGTTTTCTAATAATTGCTCTATGAAGAACATTCTGGTGGATACAGCTGCTGTCTGTAACCTTGTTCAGATAGTAAATTTTTCAACTAGAATTAAAATCAAGCAGGACAGGTTAACAACATCAACATGTATTAATCACATTTACACAAACTGTGTTGGAAAATGTTTTAATATCACATCGGTACCAGTTGGTTTTAGTGATCACAATGTTATTGCCCTGGTATATAAAGCAAAAATTCCAAAAGTTGGGCCAAAAGTAATTTGGAGGAGAATGTATAAATCTTTCTCTGAGGGCAACTTTATTAGTGATGTGGAGAATATTCAGCAGGGTGAGGTACTGCAACATACAAATGCAGAGTTAGCTCTAGATAAGTTTTGTAAATTATTTTCAGCAATTTGTGATAAACATGCTCCAATAAGGAGAGCATCTGTGAGACTTAAAATATCACCCTGGTTAGATATTGAATTAAAACAGAGTATGAAAATCAGAGATGGAAAAAAAAAAGGTGGCTGTAGTTTCAGGCAGGCCTTAAGACTGGGAAGCTTATAGGGCACTAAGGAATATGGTAACAAGGTTAAATAGGCAAAAGAAAAAACATTATTATCAGAATAAATTTCAGCAGTATGGTAACAATGGCAATTATGGAGAACCATAAATGAACTTATGGGTGGAAGCAAAACAAGAAATGCAGCATCATTCATTGAAGTGGACGGGACATTTATAACTAAACCTTTTGAAATTGCAAGCTTTTAATGATTACTACTTAGGCAAGGTGAGAGCAATTAGGGATGAGATGCCTGTAGCGTGTAAACAACTATCAGAAATGATAATTAAAAATAAAATAATGCATGACAAAGAATGCCAGTTTTTGTTTAAACATGTAGAGGAAGGTAAAATGGAAAAGTTGCTAATAAATATAAATTGTGACAAACCTTGTGGAATTGATAACATGGATGGAAGACTTTTAAATATTGTAGCCTACTTGTTAGCCAAACCTCTATGTCACATTTTTAATTCATGTTTTGATGAGTGTCTCTATCCTGATAGATGGAAGATCTAAAAAAAGTATGCCTTTGTCTAAAAATACTAAAGAACCACTAACAGTGGCAAAATAGCATGCCGATCAGTATCTTACCAGTTCTGGGAAAATTGATGGAGGGAGTGATGTTAAAACAGATTCAACATTATTTTAGTGTGAATGGCATTTACTCTGATGCTCAACATGCTTACAGAGAAGGATTTTATACCAGTAAGGCACTGACTACTCTTACTGATGAATGCTTGGGACAGATCGATAGGAAGATGCTGGTGAGAGTAGTGCTTCTGGATTTTAGTGCTGCCTTGAACCGTCACCTTACCGTGATGGAGGAGTTTGAGTGCCCTAATGATCCTAGGAGCTATGTTGTCTGGGGCACTTTGTGCCCCTGGTAGGGTCTCCCATGACAAATGGGTCTTAGGTGAAGGGTGAGACAAAGAACGGTTCAGAGGATCTTTCATGGATGTAAATTCAAAGAGTTGGAGTACCCGGCCCGGAGGGTTACCGGGGTCCCACCCTGGAGCCAGGCCTGAGGTAGGGGCCCGTGAGCGAGCGCCTGGTGACCGGGCTTTCGCCCATGGAGCCCAGCCCGAACCGGATACATGGGCTCATCCAACTGTGGACCCACCACCCGCAGGACATGAAGGGTCCGGTGCAGTGTGGATCGGGTGGCAGACCGAGGCGGGAGCCTTGGCAGTCCGATACCAGGACAAACTGGTTTTTGGGACATGGAATGTCACCTCTCTGGCGGGGAAGGAGCAGGAGCTTGTGGCAGAAGTTGAGCAGTACCGGCTAGATATAGTCGTACTCACCTTGACACATAGCATTGGCTCTGGAACCCAAGTCCTTGAGAGGGGGTGGAAACTCTCCTTTGCTGGAGTTGCTCCAGGTGAGAGGCGGAGGACTGGGGTTGGCTTTTTGTTAGCCCCAAGACCCTCTGCCTGTGTGTTGGGGTTTACCCCGGGGGACAAGAGGGTAGCTTCCCTGCGCCTTCGGGTCAGGGAACGGGTCCTGACTGTTGTTTGTGCTTATGTCCAAATATCAGTTCAGAGTACCCACCGTTTTTGGAGTCCCTGGGACGAGTGCTAGATAGTGCTCCATCAGGGGACTCCATTGTCCTGATGGGGGACTTCAATGCTCACGTGGGCAATGACAGCTTGACCTGGAGGGGTGTAATTGGGAGGAACGGCTCGCCTGATCTGAACTCGAGTGGTGTTTTGTTATTGGACTTCTGTGCAAGCCGTAGTTTGGCCAAAACGACCACCATGTTCGATCATAAGGATGCCCATCGGTATACTTGGTACCAGGGCAGCCTAGGTCGCAGTTCGATGATAGACTTTGTAGTCGTATCATCTGACCTGCGGCCATTTGTTTTGGACACCCGAGTGAAGAGAGGAGTGGAGCTGTCAACTGATCACCACCTGGTGGTGAGTTGGATCAGATGGCAGGGGAAGATGCCGCGTAGACCTGGCAGACCCAAACGCATCGTGAGGGTATGCTGGGAATGCCTGGCAGAAGAACCTGTCAAGACGGTCTTCAACTCCCACCTCCGGCAGAGCTTTGACGGCTTCCCGAGAGCAGTGGGGGACATTGACTCCGAGTGGGCCTTGTTCCACTCTGCGATTGTTGAGGCGGCTGTTGCTAGCTGTGGTCGCAAGGTGGCCTGTGCCAGTCGTGGTGGCAACCCCCGTACCCGCTGGTGGACACCAGAGGTTCGGGGAGCCGTCAGGCTGAAGGAGGAGGCCTACAGGGCGTGGCTGGTCTGTGGGTCTCCAGAGGCAGCAGACAGGTACCGGATAGCCAAGCGTGCTGCAGCAGTGGCAGTTGCCGAAGCAAAATCTCGGACGTGGGAGGAGTTTGGTGAGGCCACGGAGAAAGACCATCGATTGGCTTCAAAGAGGTTCTGGCAAACTATCTGGCGCCTCAGGGGAGGAAGGCAGCAACTCGCTCACACTGTTTACAGTGGGGATGGGGAGCTGCTGACGTCAACTGGGGCTATAGTCGGACGGTGGAAGGAATACTTTGAGGAGCTCCTCAATCCCACCTATGCGCATTCCGAGGATGAACCAGAGCCGGGAGACCTGGGGATGGACTGTCCAATCTCGGGGGCAGAAGTTGCTGAGGTAGTCAAACAACTACACAGCAGTGGAGCCCCGGGGGCAGATGAGATTCGTCCTGGGTATCTCAATATTATGGATGTTGTAGTGCTGTCGTGGTTGACACGTCTCTGCAACATTGCATGGTCATCGGAGGCAGTTCCTGTGGAGTGGCAGACCGGGGTGGTGGTCCCCATATTTAAGGGTGACCTGAGGGTGTGTTCCTACTATAGATAAAATCTATCTACAGTTTGAAGAGGAGCAATGTGGTTTTTGTCCTGGCTGTGGAACTGTGGACCAGCTCTATACCTTTGCAAGGGTGATGGAGGGGGCATGGGAGTTTGCCCAACCAATCCACATGTGCTTTGTGGATTTGGAGAAGGCTTATGACCGTGTCCCCAGGGGCAACCTGTGGGGAACGCTCCAGGAATATGGGGTGGGTGGCTTTCTGTTAAGGGCCATTCAGTCCCTTTACCAGAGGAGCGTGAGTTTGGTCCGCATAGCTGGTAGTAAGTCGGACCTGTTCCCGGTGAGGGTTGGACTCCGCCAGGGCTGCACTTTGTCACCGGTTCTGTTCATTACCTTTATGGACAGAATTTCTAGGCGCAGCCGTGGTGTGGAGTGTGTCGAGTTTGGTGGCAGTAGAATCTCGTCTCTGCTTTTTGCAGATTATGTGGTCCTCCTAGCTTCATCCAGCTCTGACCTTCAGCTCTTGCTGGGTAGGTTCGCGGCCGAGTGTGAAGCGGCTAACCCTAACCCTCGACCGGAAAAGGGTGGCTTGTCAACTCCGGGTCAAGTCCTATGCAATAAAACATACATAGGAGAAACCGGACGCCAACTCAACACACGAACAATAGAACATAGAAAGGAGTGTGAGAAAGAAACAAGTCAAAGACACACAAGAGCAGCAAAAGAAGAAGCAGAAAGTACAATAAAGAAATCGGCCGTAACAGTTCACTGCACAAGAGAAGTAATGGACTGGGACAACACAAGGATCATAAACAGCGAACAACAGAAATACAAAAGATGGATAAAGGAAGCTATAGAGATAAGGAGATGTGGATGCGGGACCATGAACAGAGACGAAGGAGTTTACTCATTGGATCGAGCATGGGACTGCATCATCGGAGAGGGGAGAGCGGGCAGCAGAGGGCGACAATGTCCTCTGCTGCCCGCGGATAAACGGAGTAGGAAGTGACGCCACCATCAGCATCAACTCTGAAGATGTTTTGCAGCCGCAAAACGAAACGTCAGCAAGGTAAAGAAAAACCTTATCTGTGTTTAAAAAAGAACCAAAAATGGAATTTGAAGACAAACACAGCAAGAACGAACAAAACATATGAACATTTTCTCTACTTGTAAAAGTAGACTTGTATTGTTTTGTTAATTGTCTCCAGTTTGCAGTTGGATTTGGATACTGTAAGAAGCGCCTCGTCACAAAAGAACCCGGGGGAGAGGAGAAGCTCATTATACTGCATAATAGTTGCTCAACCTCACCCCAGGCCAACGTTGAAGCCTGTCTGGTGGTAATATCATTTAGTGACATCTTGATCGGTTGACTTTAAAAGATGAAAGATTACGGGTCCTCCTTCATCTAATGTTTGGAGAAACTGTCCTATATTCCATTTGGAATGTTTGTACAAACAACATGCAGCGACCACTAGTACACATCGACTGTTGATAAATCCCACCTGCGCATACCCAGGTGCTCATGTCCGTTCAGTCATACAGAAAAGCACATGACTGATATTTGGTCAGACCACGTCCTCAAAAGCTCATAAAAGAAATCCCAGCATTCTTCCTGGTAAAAAAAATATATATATATATTAAAATAAAAAACTTCAGCGACAGTGATATCAAGACGCTGACTGCTGAAGATTAAGTTAAGCTCAGCTGAGACCAGTAAAAGAAAGAATGCCGACTGGGAGAAAGTTGTAGAGCTTTATAACAGTCGGGACAGAAGAGAGGTCCCCGTCAAAAAAATTGTTCAACATAAAACTAAATAAGAAAAAATGTAAAGTAACAGAGTGAACGTTCCGTTGTGTTGTCCCACATGACGACATGGCTCCAGAAGGATCTCCTTCAGGAAGCGGCATCTGCTCAGGAGCCACACTAGAAGCAGCGTGCTCAAAAAGGATGTGTTAGGAGCACACGCTCTGCCAAATCCTACATAAGAACAGCCATGCTACCATGTCATGAGTGTTTTATATAGGTTCTAACACCAGTTGTGCAATAAAGCTTTTTCTCTACAGACATATTTACTATTGAGTAAAAATAATTTGTGGATGAGGATCACGCATGAATTATTGAGACTTTCTGTACTGCGGTTACCTTGTTCTACCACAGAAAGCTGTGCGTACCCATGGTCAGAGCTACTGTGGCATAGCGCTGTGTTAGTACGGTTGATGAACAAGGGTCCAGGATTTTAGACAGGGAAGCCAGACTGCTTAGCTCAGGGGTGTCAAATATGCGGCCCGCAAGCGGGTTAAATCCGGCCCGCGGCCCGGATCCAGCCCGCAAGCGGGTTAAATCTGGCCCGTGAGATGGTTGTGTAAACTTTATTTTCATACTTTACAATGTAGAGTGAAAATAAACGTATCTTTGTGAGCAAGTTTCCTCTGTAATGAGTATAAATAAAACAAAGCTGCACTCAAGGCTCACACAAGAACTTGAATCACATCCTGAAGTTGGCCGCCACTCAGGATGTGACTTCTGATATTGATGTGCCGGTGAAAGCTAAAAGATGTAAAGTAAAATGAGTCAAATGTACTTTAAGTGCTGCATGAAACTGATCTAGCCATGTGATCTGTAAGCTCTTTGAATCACTAAGCAATGTTTTTATTTATTGATTGATTTTTTTTCAAAATTTCAAGTACACTTCAGGTGTTGTACTTGTACTATTTTGGATACACTGTCCTCAGGCTCCAGCCTTGTTTTATATTGATTGTATTAAAACAAAGAAAACAATCTGAAGTTGTTTTTAATTTACCGGTCTGGCCCACTTGGGACTAGATTTCCCTCAATGTGGCCCCTGAGCTAAAATGAGTTTGACACCCCTGGCTTAGCTGTATAGGCCATCAACTTTTTTTTTTCTCCTTCCATTAAAAATAAAACCCAAAAGCTCTGCTTTGGTCGGGCTTGGGCTGATTATTGTGTGTGAGGATGTCAGGCAGACCGGGCCCAGGCTCAGGTCATTTTGGGTTCAGATTTAATTTATGGGCCCACTGAGAGCTAGTATAAAATAGTCCCACGCAGGGCTCTACTTCATGAGTCCCCATCAGAGGGAGGATTGATCACCTGTGTTCCAGCATCTCCTCCAGATGCTGCTTCTCTCTCTGCAGCTCTTCGATCTGTTCGGACTTTTGAGCAGACCGCTGCAGTGCTGCTTTGCTCTCCTTCTTCAGCTCCTCCATGGCGGTGTGGAAAGCACTGCTGTTGCTCCTGCTCCGCCCTTCCTCCTCCTGAACAACCAATCAGTGATCACTAAGAAGCTGATCATCGCAAATCTTCTGATTTATCCATCAATGAAAAAGAGAAGGAACCTTGACTTCCTGTCGCAGACAATCAACTTCTTCTGTCAGCCTCTTGATAGAATCGGTCTTCTCCTCCAACTGGTTCTCTAGATTCTGGAGGCGGGACTTTGCTGAGTCGAATTGCTCTGATAGGCTGTCAGACTTATTGGTCTGCTGTTTGAGCTCCGTCTGCAGAGCAGCCACCTAGAGGTTTAACCACCAATCAGTAGCTGCAACAAGGTGGAGGTGGAAGAAGAGAGGGAAGGGGAGGAAGCAGTACCTCTGTCTGTAGCAGAAAGATCCCATTGACCAGAGCTTTGTTCTCCTTCTGAAGCCTGGCTGTTTCCTTCTGCTCCATCTCCAGAGATGAAAGCACCGAGTTACAGGTCACACACTCATCCAGATCTAAAAGGTGAGGAGGAGACAGGAGAAGCAGACTGTGATATTAAGAAACTACGGTTATGATGAAGAGAAGAGTGTGGATGAATGATCAGCTCCTACCTGTCAGTATCTGGACTTTCTCGTCCAATGAACTATTTTCCTTTTTCAGCTCCTCTACCTCCTCCTCCCATCTCCCTTGTTTCTCCTCCAGCTCCCTCCTCAGCTCACTGATAGTCTCCTCCTTCTTGTCATTTTCTTCATGCAGTCTCCAGATCTCCTCCTCCAGAACCACTGAGGAAAATCGAGTACGTCAACACCTCCAGAAGAAAACTCAGGAGCCACCTGATCTGAACAGTTTTTAAATGGCCTGTATTTGTGAAGCGCCTTCTAGGGTTCTACAACCCCCCCAAGGCGCTTTACAACTGGACCAGTTATTCACCCATTTACACACATGTTCACACGCTGGTGGTGATAAGCTACACTGTAGCCATAGCTGCCCTGCAAAAACAATCTAAAAGACTTCATATTTTACTTCTCTTGGCTGCTCCTCCTTCCTCCTCCTCCTCTGCATCATCTCTCTTGCGTTTTCTCCTCTCCTCCTCCCCGCTGGTCCTACTCCCACAGCTACCGAATGATGCGCTCTAAGAGACATCAAGAAAATCAGTGGTAAGAAAAAAAAAAGACATTTTAAAACATGGAGTGAAAACTGCAGTAAGTCTGAGAGGATTCTATGTTACATCTCTAGTGGCTCTCTCCACGGCCTCCTGGAGTTTACTGATCACTTCATCCTTCTGCTGACAGCTGTTGGCAAATTCTGATAACATGTGCTGCTGCTGCTCCAGAGTCTGAAATAAAAAAACACAACAACATTTCTCAAATGACGGTGGGGTGGGGGACGCATACTCAAAGCTGATTCTGCGACAGTAGCCATGGTTACCGGCTTTTTACGGGGAGGAGCTAAGAAAGAGCTTAAGCTCAGCAGAGATGGAGAGGTGAAACGTCATTCACTCATCCTCTTAACCACTTATTCCTCACCAGGGTTGTGGGTAGCTGGTGTTAAACTCCAGCAGTCATGGGGTGGGAGAGGCAGAGGACACTGTGGACATGTCACCAGCCCATCACAGAACCAAACAACCAGTCACACACTCTCTCATACCTAGGGACATTTTAGAGTTGTTGGGTAGCCTAACATGCATGTTTTTGGTCTGTGGGAGGAAACTGGAGAACACAGAGGAAACCAACAGAAGCTCCACATGGAAAGGGCATAGCTGGGATTTGAACCTGCAAACTTCTCACTGTGATGCAGCGGTGCTACCAACTGCACACCTCAGCAGCCAGGGGTACAACCTTGAGTCCTATTCATTCATCAAGTCCTGAAACATTCAGAAAGTTGTTTGATATCAAAATGCATACCCTAGAGGCTTCCTGCAGCTGGTCCTGTAGCTGCAGCTTCTCCAACCGCAGCATTTCCAAGTCTGAAGAAACACAAAAGACACAAATCAAAGTCACCACCGACCTGCATACATCTACAGTCCTGTTTAGACTGTTCCTGTTTTAAACCCCTAATCCAGTCATGATGTTTTACTACACTTTGTTTGCTTTTGCACTCAGTTTCAACTCTGCCCCCTAAACATATAAAGAAAAAGTTTGATGGTTGTACATGACAGAAAAACTCATTAACTTCAGCTTAGACTGAGAGACCATCTAAAGGCTCAGGAACCCTTTGCATGTGTTTTGGATTAATTAGCTGATTAGGGTGTGACACTATGAGTCTAGAACATGGAACCTTTAAACAATATTATAATTGCAGTGTTCCCCTAGGAATTTCTCCAGCTGTGGTGGTTTGGGGGGGGGGGGGGGGGGGGGGGGTTAAATTATGACACGTCTCACTTTTATGTTAATATTGTTTTATTAGATGCACTCCACTTTGAACTGCACCAATCCAGCAGCTGCTGCATTTTAATAACTAGTGTTAAAGGTGAATACACCAATATTTGCACAAGAATAATTTCTGTTTTAAACTCTCAGTGACACACTTTGCAGGGAGATTTGGCATTTAATTTTTCTTGGCATCTGGAAAAACATCTCCTTCTGCCCCCTTTATTTGACTTTCTGCCCCCTTTATTTTGGTCCAAGATCATTACTGGGCTGGCCCAATTAAAAACGTTCCACACCCCTGCTTAGTTGACTTAATGAAGTATTTTTAAGCCAGTATAAAAATGACTGAAATACAAATTTACATATTTGGCATTATTGACCAATATCTTTGATTTAATTTATTTGTTAAGAACATCAAGATGCATTACAGTGAACATTATAATAAAGTACATTTTTCTAGTGCAGAGGGGAGACAACCCATAGAAGCACTGATTTGATCTCATTTCAGAGAAAAATAAAACAGGTCAGATGCACCTAATAAATACAATTACTAACATCAGGGGTGGACCTTTAAAGCGCCCGAGCGCCAATGGCGCTAAATTTTCTCGTCGGGCGGTAAATACTTGACGACTTACCGCCCGGGTGGCGCCCAAGCCTTATTTGTCATTTACACACCGGCTTTCACCTGCATAATGGCCCCGCCCTGTAGGAAGCTGCCGTTTTCGTTTCGCGCGCATGAACCTGCGCGCCTCTAGCCACGTACTGCACTTGTACGATTCGTGCACGTACTGCACGATTCTAGTTATAGTCACGTGAACTATAAGTTCACTATTAAAGACGAAGTGGAACCACGCTAGAAACACACAAGCACGCAGGAAGATCGCGCCACCACAGGGATTGGATTTCTTGATGAAATCTCCGGCAAAACGCTTTAAAACTGGTGAGGAGAAGCGAGACAGTTCAAAACGGTATGAAGCAGAGAAGCGTGTGCGTAGGTGGAACGATTCTTGGCAGTTTAAAGAAGACGGGAGGCACAGAGAATGGCCGTGTTCGAGTTGAGCAGCGCCTCGCCTGGAAAACAGACGAGAGCAGACGGAAGCAGCAGGGGGAGTGGCTGAAAGCCGGCGTTTAACGCCGGGGACACACCGGCCGCGGAAGCGCCCGAAGCGAATCGCTCACGAAGTCCGGCCGCTGCTCAGTTCAGATCAGACGCGCCCCATTCAAGGCGCGCCTCGGCTCAGCTGTAGTTTTTCTTTTAATTACTTGGTGTCCTCCATTTCCTCAGCTCTTTTACTCTGTGTGTGTGTGTGTGTGTGTGAGTGAGTGAGTGAGTGAGTGAGTGAGTGAGTGAGTGAGTGAGTGAGAGAGTGAGAGAGAGAGAGAGAGAGAGAGAGAGAGAGAGAGAGAGAGAGAGAGAGAGAGAGAGAGAATTAAAATAATTTTTAAAAAACCCGACCGGAGCGGAGGCAGTGACCGACACAGCACGAGCCGTTTTCAGCTCTGTCTTGTCAAACGCACCACGTACGTTACGAAAAAAGTAACTTTAATTATTGAACTGAAAAAGAGGCGATCTGAAGAAAACGTAAGGAGTACTGAAGAAATGGGAGCAACAGTGAAGCAATCACAGAGAGATCCGTTACTGTGTGCGTGGATGGGCCGGACGGACTGAGCTCCCGGCTGCAGTTTTGTGTGTATGGAGGAGCGGGCGCTCTATGCGACTGGCCAATCACAAAGCGTGAAGACAGTCAGTTACCCAATGAGGATTTTCCTTCAGCACGATTAAAGATATTTACGAGTTTTACTCGTTTCATGCTCGTATTCATCAAAAATGCTTTATCCGTACCGGATACTCGTCTGAAACGATTATCCGGCTCATCCCTAGCTGTAACCACCCTGCCCTGCCTCCTCCTCCTTGCTGCCTGCCAGCTGTGATCACAAGCAACAGCAGAGTAGTTCCTGCTGCTTCTTCGGGAAACGGCGCAAAAAAAAATAAAAATAATAATAATCTATAAAACTTGGGATCTTGTAGCAGGGTATATACAGCAATCCTTAAGTAAAATTTACTACTTTTTAATACTTTTTTTACTACCTTCAGAATTTTTTTTAAAACCATCACAACACTAAATTGCAAGTGTTAATCAGCGACCTATTTACACATATTTTAACATATATAACATACAAAAAGAATAGACTTAGAGACTCACTGATGTTGACAACGTATTGCGCATATTTATTTTACTTAGAAAATAAGCCAGGCACTTCTGTTCAGCGGTTCAGACAGTTGACCACGAGGCCTGCAATGATGCAGAACGACCACTGAATATGACGTCATCATTATGTGACCGTATTTGCTAAAGTAGGGCTGCTCGATTATGGCAAAAACAATAATCACGATTATTGTGACTGAAATTGAGATCTCGATTATTTAAGACGATTTTTCAATTTATGTAGATTTTTTTTTTTTTATTATTCAGTCATAAAACTGCTCAGGGCACAATCAGGGCAAAAATAAACAAGAAACAAGATGATCACTAAAATAACTCCTGATTCCCAGTATAAAAAGACCAATATACTTATAGCTCATAGTCTATGACCCAAGGGCTATAGACCTTGGTTTAACTCATTTAAGTCTAACCAGTACAGACCCAAATACCAATATCTTGCAAATACTGACAGCAAGAATTATACAGTGGCATTTATAACAAATAAATGCAAATAAATTGATGTTCACAAAATGTTGCATAACATTTATTTAGTCGTGTCAAGGTGCTGTAGGAGCGTGCACTAGCACCGTGTCCTCAGAGAGATTAGTTATTAGTTATCAGCGTGAGGAACTTATTTCTACCTTATTTATAAACTATTTATTTACAGGTCCATCAGTTAATGTAATAATTGTCCCAACCGTAGCTGCACGCCCCAACCCGGTCTCACAGCAATCGGGCAAGCTGCATGTGTGTTTAGCACGCCACGCGCGCACATTTAGCCGTTTTTAGAGGCTCAGGAGTCCGCAGGTGCGGTGTGTGTCACTCACTCTGGTTACTCCAACAGGGAGCCGACTCTGAGAGCCGTTTCTTTAGCAACCGACACATCACTACATCATTCCCTTTCCTAATGTCCTGAACAACGGTCCGGAGCGCAGGCGGAGTGTTTAGCTAACCTGCAGGAAATGTCGACGACAGTTATCCAGAAAGTAGCTAAGGGTTACCAGAGATGTGTCTGAGGTGTTCGCTAGGTACTTTTAAGATTTAAAAAGTCAAGAAGGGGGTCTGAAAAGCTGCTAGAAATAGCATCAAAGTCGCTAAGTTGGCAACGGAGCGCTTCATTTGTAACAGGGCAGCTCAAGTGGGAGGAGCAAATAATCGGCTTGTTTTATTTTTATAATCGTTCAAAACATTTCATTCGGAATATAATTCTATGTCGATGTTCAGAATACGATACCTGATAGTCTGAAAAAAATAATACCTAACTTGGAAAAAATAATACCTCTGAGACCAAATTTAACACTTTTAATGGCCTTAAATTTGACTATTTTTATTTATCACTTTTTAATACTTTTTAAAACCCCGCGGACACCCTGTGTAGGCGTGGCGCTGGGATTTCAGCCGTGGCGGCCTGTCACGGCTACGCTTATGTAAGGGAAACACTGAGTTGAGTTCCACCTTTCTTTTTTGCAGTAAGGGACGTTTCTAGTTTACTTTTTTGAAAGGTACTTAACATGATGCTAGGCAACTTTGGCTTGCTTTTAGCACCCCCTAGTGTTCTTTAGTAAAACCAAATGAGAAACGTATCTCCTCGCTGTGTGTTCGCCTTTTTAACACCTTAATCTAACTGCTTAAATGTCTCCTTAGTCTTTCTTTATGTCTACAGGAGTGATTCATCACTAAATCAAACAAATAAGCTGTGTTCATGATCTAAAACATTCAGGAAATGTGCTGGAAGCAGACTGCAGCGCCAGGTGCGTCTGCTCTAAATATTTTCTTAAGCCCAACAGGGACCAAACTAACACACTGAAGTTGCAAATGCAGCATTCTGCCCATAGAGGGCAGTGGAGGTTTGAGCACATACTGGCTCAAGAAAATGAATGCATAGCATCTCTTTAACGTGCCTGTGTGTGTGTGAGTGCGTGTGTGTGTGTGCGTGCGTGTGTGCTCACCTGCAGTGTGTGTTTGCTCAGCCAAACAGTTCTGAACACTCTGAGCATCCTCTCTGATCTGCATCAAATCTTTAGACAGCGAGCTGAGGATTCCCTCCAAAGCAGTTTTCTCCTTTAACAACCAAATCATCATCATCAGTAAAGTCACGCATTAATACTTAAAGAAAGTTTCATCTCACTTGTAGCTGAACTCATTGGAGGAAAGCTCAGCTCTGCACCAGAACCCACAAACTTTGTAACCCCCCTCCTCAAGTAAACTCTGAAGTTAATATTTGTCCAACACAATGAGACACAAAGTCATGTGACTTTCTCACCTGGCCATCATCGGTGTTGAAAGCAGGCAGGTCGACGGTCTTATCAACGAGGTTTTTTAGGATCTCCACCCTCCTGTCAGCCCGCTTCTCCAAGATCTCCCTTTCCTTCTCCAGACGCTCACTCAAAGAAACAAAAGGAAAAGTCATGTATTAACAAAACCATGATGGCAGTGTTGTTTGCTGGTCATGTGACTAGAAGGTGCCTTACCTGTAGTCTTTCTCCATCTTCTTGAAGAGCTCCATGAACTCAGCACTGACTTCTTCTCTGATCTGAGCCTCCAGAACCAAACGCAGTGCGGCCTCTCGGTCCGACTGGCAAACACAGTTTGGCTGATTAATTTTGATCAGTTAAAGGGACTATAAGGAAGTTTGACAGCCAAAACATGTATAGAAATAATACATTTCTTCTTCATGCATTCTCCTGCAATGCCCTGGTCCTGTAGAATGAGCCCTGACATTTTTACTGTGATTGCCTGTTTTTCTGTAAAATCACAGAAAAAGAGAGCTGCTCGGGTCGAGCAGGCTGCTTCATGCGCGTTCACGCTCAGGCATCGCCCGTAGCATTTGCTATCCGTAGCTTTAGCAGCAGAGAGAGATGTAGTGCCAACTCAGCGACTTTGTCGCTGTTCCTAACGCCTAGTGATGAACCTAGCTACATTTCTGAGGACCCTTAGCTACTTTCTGTAGAACTTTCTTCTAGATATTTCCTGCAAATTAGCAACAAAATAGCCATTTTCGCTCCGAACCGTTCTTTGGATTGACGTTGTTTCAGCTGTCATCAAGGATATAAACGTTACAGATTCATCAAATGTTACTGACGCTTTAGCTCACCTAGTAGCTGACTCTCATGTGGAGGAACTGGGTTCGATTCCGGGTGTGAACATAGTTTATTTGGAGTTTCTTTTTTACATTAATGATATATTTTTTTACAATAATAAGACACCTACATTTTTATTTGAGACTCGCCGAACGGCATTGAATTCACGGATTAAAAAAATGTGGGTTACACTTTCATTTTGGAACTATTTTTTAAGCGAGGGAAGGGAATGATCTGAGCATGCAGGAGGACTGACCCATCATAAACCTTTGTCAGCTGTGCTGAAGAGAAAGGTACAGAACCAAATTAATTAATTAGCTGTGTGTTCTCCTGTCCTCTGTCCTCCGGGCCACACACACACACACACACACACACACACACTGCACGTTCGGCCGGCCGACGAGAAAGTACAGCTGCAGAGACAGAAGCACATTATTTTATTAATTTGCTGTGTTCTTCTGTCCTCCGGGCCACACACACACACGGGACGCTCTCAGAGCTCTGTGCTCTGCCTCAGCTATTATTTTCGTTAAGGAGTGTGCACGTACAGCATGCGCACGAGCCTATTATTGAAGCTGCCGTTAAGCTTTTGGCCTGAGGGGGCAATCGCGAGCATGAAAATTCATAAGTCTGAAAAGTCCCTTTAAAGAGTAACTAAACCGCAAAATAACATTTTTTTTGCTTAAAAACTGTATAATTGGGTCTTTCTTTAAAAACGCAATCTTTCCGTTTCTATGCATTTTTTGACATGTTTGTGTAAACTTGATTAAATCTAGAATCTAAGTCTAAAAACTTCTTAGTGCTGCCCCCTGTGGCAGAACAGCAGCTACTGCATTTTAAATTTGTGATTGACTGGGGCTGGAACAATTTCACGTCATCGGTACAGTTAGGGCTGGGCGATATGGCAAAAATAGAATATCACGATTTTTCCAATATTTTATCACGATTTCGATTTTATCACGATTTTTTATCCATGAATAGTATAACTTCAATTGCGTATTAAAGAAGAGAAACATTGAATAAATAAACATTTATTCATATTAGGGATAATCAGCACAGTGCTAACACACTTATATTTTAAACTCACACCAGAGATTATAAAAGCCCTGAGAGAAACAATTACAAAAATCAGTTTTTCTCGTTTTTCAAGTAACTTAACATAAATTAAAATCGTAAACATATTTAAAGTGCAAACATGTCAATTGCAAACGTATTGTGCAAACATTAACTTGTTCAAAATACTATGTAGCTCAGTTGCTGATGTAGTGGATAGTTAAGCTCAAATACGGCTCTGATGTGCAGCTGGACCAGAGATCGCTTGTGGTAGCAAAAAACTGCGCATTCTGAATATTTTCTGCAACAAGTCTCTAAATAAAGTAAAATTTTCCAGTGCAGATTGGAGACAACCCATAGAAGCACTGATTTGATCTCTTTTCAGAGAAAAATAGAACAGGTTAGATGCACCTAATAAATAAAATTACTAACAAACTCAGGAATCTTTCTTTGCTTCACTGTTCTGGTGCTGAAAATATCACTAATGCGGATGAAAGGAGATACACAGATAAATGCACCTCTTATTATTTGGAAACTACATTTACTGCAGCTGACAGAGGCAGAGATTGTTTCTATTGATACACGGATTTACAGAATCATTTTAAATGTTAATAGGGGAAGACTGCAGGAGGGAGCGGTAAAATACAGGGGTCCCCAACAAAAGCAAGAAACTACGAGTCTGATGAAACCCGCTGGTTTTCCATCAGGCAGTCACGGGGCAGCTCCAGCAACCCAGTGACCGAGCTCAGTCCGGTACCAACACCGGCTCGGCAGAGGGTGAATGAGCCGAGGCGACGTCGTGCTCTGCTTAAGAAGCGGTGTTATTTTCCTGCTTCAGAAGAAGTGTCCAACGTGTTTTTACGCTTTCTCCGAGACATGTCACGTCACTAAGTTGTTAGCGCCGCGCGCTAAGGAAACCCTGCGTTCCTCTTCGGAACGAAAACCTGGTTGTCGCTCAGTCGCGGCGAAGCCATGTTTGTTCACACACAAGTGAAAACAAGCGGGGCACTAATATATTACTATGACTCACTCTGATTAGTTAGGGGTCAAACAAAGGCGTGTCATTCGCCTGAGGTAAGTTCAATTTTCATTCAGAGGCAGAAATTCAACAGCAGAGCTGTGAATCGTGATAAAACGGTCTCTCCAAAATGACAGACAGTCAGATGTGTAGATCGTAAAACGGTCTAAAATCGTCATATCGCCCAGCCCTAGGTACAGTCTCCTCCCACTCCCCCTCCCTCCCAGGATGGAAATTCCCCACACTTGGCCATGCCACCCTCTACCTCATGGCAACGCCCACTTTCATGGCATTTTTCAAATCTTGACTAGGGGGTGGAGTTACATTTTCTGATGGTGTGCAGTCCCTCTTTAACAGCTGATTGGTGGCATCTGAATGAGAAGCAACGGATGAAGACTCACCCCCTCTTCCTCCTCCATGGTCTGATCCTCAGCCTCCTCATCACCTCCATTCTCCAGCACAGTTCCCTCCATCAAACTCTCCTCCTCCTCCTCTTCTTCCTCCTCATCATCCTCAGCCTCCTTCACGTCCTCCAGGCTAGTCTCCCAGGCAATCAGAGAGCTCTTTCTACCTCGCCCCAACACATTTCTAAGTTGGTCGGACTTGTCCATGACAATGGACAACTCCATGGCTGACTTCAGTGGGCCTTCCTCTTCATTCAGGACAGTTGGTTGTGAGTTCATCAACACCACCTGGACAGGTAAGACCAAGAAGAGAGACCCCATCCCCCGGTGTGTTACAGACAGGATGAGCAGTGTCTAAATAACAGTTTTACTTCCTCTGACACACACAGGTTTATTCTTTATTAGGGTTGTCACAGTGTGAAAATTTAACCTCACGGTTATTGTGACCAAAATTATCACGGTTTTCGGTATTATCGCGGTATTTTTTTTAAACGTGTTACATTTTCAGACAACTAAATAAACCCTGTATATCAGGAAAATATTGTCCTCAGTTTGTGTCTAAATTTAGCCTAAAATGTGTTATTTTGTAATTATGTTTTTTATTTGTTTACATTTTCCCCTTTAGTCTTTAAAATACCAATATTTGTCCATAACTTCTGATTTTTTATCTGTTTGATGTCATAATTTTAAAAATATTAGATCAGATGATACTCAGTACTCCAGTAGCCTTCTAATCAGATACTTTTTTACCCTTACTTGAGTAATAAACCCTATATCAGGAAAATATTGTCCTCGGTTTGTGTCCTTCCAGTGAGCTTTGCAGATCTGGGAAAATGTCATCAGGCAGTAATCATTGTTAAATTCATAACTATTCTCAGAGAGACACCAACTCTTATCTGCCCCTGGGAGCCCAGTAATGCATAGCGTCATTTCAACATGGGGGTGTCCGCGACACGGTTTATATGCAGGTAGCGGCGCTGCGGCTGCTTTATATAGCCACTCGTTGCATTCTCCCTCAACCCAAATCCTCGGATCACGCATTTTAGCTAAAACGCTAACGTTAACTTGCCTTGCGTTGACTGCAGAGTTGTGGGTGATGGTCACGCAGATGTGTCATGAGATTTGAAGCATTGCTGCCTTTCACAGACACTTTTTCTACACGTGCTGCAAACAGGATAGCCGTCTTCTATCAACTGTCCCTCAGCATTCTTCAAATATCCAAAAGATGCCCGTACTTCCCACTTTGTCTTCTTTGAGGGATAATGAATGTCCTGAGTGCTGCCGTCTCCCCCTTTGGCCATTATTTCAGCTTTAGCTTCAAGAAAGTTTTGATTGTAAACAACAAAGTGCGCATGTGCCGCCGGCAACTTCAGCAGATGATACGGTGGCTGGTAAGGGTCACCACGCCTACACCGCAGCCATGGTAATACACCGAGATAATATTTTTTTTTAAAAACAAGACGGTTATTATTTTTGTCAACTTTTTTACCGGGGTTTACCGTACACCGGTTACCGTGACAACCCTATTCTTTATTTAGATGTATTGTGGTTTTTAAATATGTGTCTAAACTGCTACCATCTATATCCAGGTGTTTACATGTGTACATACCTGCGGTGTGAGTGTGTGCGTTTACCTTTTGTGCCAGAGCAGAAAACTTGAGGACATTGAGAGTCTCGTCAAAACAGTAGGAGTGCTGATTTATGTTGACCACCATGGCGACGCGGCCAGCGCCACAGAAGAAGAACTGCAGGAAGTGGGTGAGTTTGGACTCTCTGAATGGAACATGATGCTGGAACCTTCAGAGAGACGTCAGGTTAAATTCAGTGACTTTAACTCCACCAGTTTGTGTTTGGGAATGTTTGAGAAAAAGAAGCTGCAGATTAGGACGATGTATTCATTTCCTACTTGGCATTCTGGTTGAGTCTCATGGCATTGATGCACTTCCCAAGAGTCAGCAGAGAGGTGTTGATGTTTCCTGCCTCCTTCAGCCTGTCCCCGGTGTTGTGAGTCCGAGAGCAGCGCTCTGAGCCGGCCAGATCACAAAGAGCCAGTCTGAACACACAACAATAGGTCAAACTCTAAATAGTAAATGCTGGAGCATGGGTTTTGTGTCAAATGACTCACTCGCTGATTCCGAGAACTCTGGGAACGCCAGTGGCATCGATTCTGAGGATCCTGATGGAGAAGATGCTGTGGCTGCAACAACAAGTCTAAATGAATGCCCAGAACATCAATATAAAACTGTTTAAAGGTTTGTTTAAAGCCAGAAGTGAGGCTGACCTTCTGCTTGACAGCTGATTTAGTTTGGTAGAGAAGCAACTCTGGTTCTTCTTCCCAGTCTTCATGACTCTGTAGGCTTCCTCTGAGCTGTTCACCTGAACCCAACGCAGGTCTGACACACAGGAAACAGATTTCAAAACTGCTCAAACTGGCTTTTGTTGTAAATGATAAGTGACCCACACTTGTATAGCGCCTCTCAGAGAAAGGACACCAAAGCACTTTACACTATAGTGTATCATTCATCCATTACACACACATTCACACACTGATGGTGATGAGCTACGATGTAGCCACAGCTGCCCTGGGGCACACTGACAGAGGCGAGGCTGCCGAGCACAGGCGCCACCGGTCCCTCCGACCACCACCAGCAGGCAAGGTGGGTTAAGTGTAAATTGTCTGCATTTGTTGTACAGGCATGGTGATGTCACAGATCTGAACGTTTCCCGTCCAAAACATCCAGCTCTGTTGGTAAATCCTTCCTAAAGTCAATTTCATTCAAGGATTGCAGCTTTAAACACCAAGAACCAACAGCAACATCACGCAACTCCTGAACACCACAAAGAACACACAAACACCTGCTTGACAGTTGAAACAAACAAATGTTTGAAACGTTCTGCTTTTTCATCCTAACATTGCTCCAGATTAGATTTACAAACTTAATCTTTGAAGTTACACCAAACAATCATGTAAATTGTTTTGTACATTAGTGTTTTTATTATTCAACATTTCAGCTTCACATCTAAAAACAAAAACATCAAAACAACATCAACATTTACAGAGGTGACTAATTATTTTAACCAGAATGCTTTGTTAATTTGAATGAACAAGGGAAAAAGGCTTAACGAGGGTCAGATATCAAAGGTTATCAGACCATCTTGTTACCTCTGATGAAGGAGTTCCCTTTGACGTCCTGAGAAAGACGCAGAACCGTTCTCTTCTGTTGCCCGCCGGGAACCTGAATGTCACACATCAGATGATCCATCACTTATTCAGTTCTCTGAATCACTGCTTTAGTTTAGAACTTTAAAGTCAGCGGTAGGGCGGTTTTACACGCACGCACGTGGATAACAAAACATTTCTATCTTTCTGTTCAATCTAACTTTGGGAAACTGAGCATGTGGTGTGTTACCTGTTCCAGTAGATCATGGATGCTCTCGTTGTAAATCTCACAGAATGAGACCCAAACAGAGAAGCGAACGTTTGATTTAACATCCAGACAGAAACTGTCGGCCTCAGAAACACTGTTCACACTGCTGTCGCTGCTGAGAGATGAGCCTGAACACAAGAATACTGCTCTTAGTGCATCTCAACAGCCTCAAAAATCAAATCCAAATGAACCAAGACTTTATGCTAGCCGAATTCAGAAGTATGAACTTCACTCAACCCTGAAACTTGAACCTGAAGTTACAGCAGCACAGAACAATGCCTCCATTACAGACTACTTATTTTAGTCAGCTCCTCTGGTGGTTAAAGTTTCAGCTCCAACTCTCATTGCTAGATAAAAACACCAACCTTCAAGGAAAGTTGACCTTCCAGCTGGCAGAATCTTCTCACTCTGCCAATAAAATGCAAACGCACTGGTCAGTATGCAAAGCATGATTGTCCTGTATCGTATTTACTATGGACATGTCTCACCTCTTTGAAGAGCCTAAAAAGGTTCCTCTTGGAGATGGCCTCAGCTGCCTGCTGATCTGGGGTCAGTCTAGAGAAATCTCTGCATCGCTGAGGCTTCAAATCACAGCAGCTGTACAAATTCCCCTCGATGCTGTTAAAGATGATTGACAGAGACCTGGGGAGCAGCCCTGAATCGTGGTCAGGACCTAAGAGATGGTGGGGTTAGACAAGCAGTCCATCAGTGGTAAACAGAGAACAATCTCAGAGTGTAAGTGACACTGACCGAGGAACGTAAAGGTTTTCCCAGCATTAGTAACTCCATAGGTAAACACCAGACAGTTGCCTCCCTGCAGAACATCTTGGACCAAACTACGAACAGAACCCTCAAACACCTTCCTCTGACTGGCCTCGGGGCTGAACACCTGAACAACAACATGCCAAACGGTGAGGAAGGGAAACTCAGGTGATTCAGGTGAACTGAGAACACACAGGTACCTGTGTGAAGGTAAATCTTTGTGCCGTTTGTGGGAGGGATTTGTCACTCTGTCGATTTGACTGACTGCTCTTGGGAGGTCTGAGGATCACAGTGTCTGGGCCTTCTATGGTCACACAGTCCTGCAGAGATAAACACAGCTGCTGAGTTTCACTCAAAATGTGCACGGGGTGATTTTGAGGGACAGTTTGAGTTTCACAGACAAAAGGACAACAAATGTAAAACAAAAAAAAAAAACACTTTTTTTTCTAAATTACATGATGGAAAAAGTAAAAAAAAAAATAAATTGAAGAAAAAAATAATTATTATTATTATCATTATTTTACAAACTCACATCAGAATAATTTAGGGCACTAAAATGTAATTCCAGAGTCTGAATGAGAATACATATAATCAAATCAGAAATAGTATTTTAGTTTACGCAATATAGTATAAAAGAAAACCGAATCATCCCAATATTTTCTGAAGTGTAGGCAGTGCAAAAACAAGCAGGAATTCACAACGAACGTCTGCAACAAACTCTTCACAAGTCCATAATTCTATCGTAATGCCATCTGTCAAAAATACCTTATCAACCAAACTGTCTCAAATTCTTAAAAACTTGCATTGGTTTATTTTCTTTCTTTCTTTTTTTTGATGCAAAATATTTTAAGCCCAAACATTAATTTCGGTGCATTCAAACTGAATGGGTTTTACATCTCTAATCAATCAATCCTCAACCTAACCATACCAACTAGAGGAAAACTGTATTACCTGTGACTTTCCATTATCACTTTCAGCTGCAGTAAAAGGACGAACTCTCAGGTACACCTGCAGGTTCTCCGTCTGTGACTGAACAAGAGAGATTATCAGCAGAAATATCGTATCACAGACAGAAGTGCAGGTAGAAAGATAGAAAAAAAAGAAGAAAGAATTTTTTTATACAGTGCTTCTCTATATTATAAAAATTACAAGGTACTTCACAAAAATGATAAATGAAAAATGATTTTAAAGAATAAGAAAAAATTGAGAACAAAAATTTAGATTAAAAATGACAAGGGAAAAACATGGGGGCTGAAAAAATACAGAGATCACAGAAACACCTGCATGAAAAGATGATGAAGAGGCTGTACAGAAGGGCACACAAAAGCCTGCACAGGTGGGTTTCAGCTGCTTTTCAAAGGAGACCATTGAGTCCACTGATCTCGGGGGAGGGGGGGGGGGGGGGGGGGGCACAGCAGCAAATGGTCTGTCACCTTTGGTCTTTACCCACAAAGGCTTTGATCACTGGACCTCAGGGACCTGCTAGGGGTGTAGGGACTGAGAAGATCACCAATGTATGATGGTGCTTGTCCATGTAAAGCCCTATAGACCAGAACCAGAATCTTGAAATGAACCCTGAAGTTGACTGGCAGCCAGTGAAGCTGGAGGAGAAGCGGTGTGATGTGGGTGTGTTTGGAGGACTTGGTCAGAAGCCGAGCACAGGCATTCTGAACCACCTGTAGACGATTCAGGGAGGTTCTGCTCAGACACGTGAAAAGAGAGTTACAGTAGTCTAAGCGTGAGGAGATGAAGGTGTGGAGAGCAGTCTCAAGTTCAGAGCGGGACAGAATGGGACTCGGCAATGTTCCTGTGATGGAAGAAGGAAGAGTGAACAAGAGAACTGATATGAGAATCTAGGGTGAGAGCTGGGTCAAAGGTCACCAAGATTCCTGACAGAGGGTTTGGTGTGAGAACGCTGACCAAGAGAGTCTCTGACTTTGGGAACCAGCTTGTCTGGGGCACAGATGAGGATCTCAGTCTTATCTTCATTCAGCTGTAGAAAGTTCTCAGCCATCCTGGTTTTAATAGAGTTTAAGCAGGAGAGCTGCAGCTTAGACATCTCATGGGGCTTAAATGAGATGTACAGTTGGATGTCATCTGCGTAAAGATGGTAGGAGATTCCTTTAGAGCTCAGGATGTGCTTGGGAGGAAAAAGATAAAAGAAGAACAATAGCGGCCCCAGCACAGAACCGTGTGGGACACTTTGAATGAGGGAGGTGGAGGAGGACCATAACTTGGAGACAACCAATGAGAAAGAACGCTCAGACAAATTCAGTTCCTGACAGACCAGTGTCAAAAGATGCTGTCCAGTTCAGCAGAACGAGAACATTACCCTGCAACAATGTGAGCAAGAAGGCCATTAGACCCTAAAGCCGGGCGTACACTGTGCGACTTTGTCACTTTTTTGAGCAGATTTTCCACTCGTGCGAGAATCCACGAGATCGGGGCGAGTTTTGCGCCGATCGTCGTGTAGTGTACAGGGGGTTACGAGAGGCGATTAACACCACGTGACCAGCTACCGATCAGCGATCGTGAGCTCGCACGGACTTCTGGCGAGTTTAACATTTTGCTCTTCCCTCGTGAGGGTATCGCACTGTTGAAGCGGCGCACGCTGAGCCACGAGGCTCAGCGTGCGCTCGCGGAAGAGATACTGTGCATGGAGCGGACGTACCCGGATTCACTCATCATTGTACTTGGAGACCTTTAACAAAGCAAATCTGAGCCAGGAGATTCCCAAATATAAACAGTATACCAAATGTCCAACCAGAGAGGGGAAAACCCTGGACCACTGTTACAGCACAGTAACAGGAGCCTATCATGCAGTAGCGCGTGCTGCACTTTGACTCTCTGACCACGTGACCATCCATCTGATCCCAGCTTACAAACAAAGGCTAAAACTCTCCAAGCCTGTTGTGAAGTCAACAAGACAGTGGATCACAGATGCCGCAGATGAGCTTTGCGCATGCTTTGAGACCACAGACTGGGAGGTAATGAAGGCCACCTCAGACAGTTTAGATGAGTTCACAGATACCGTCACCTCCTACATCCACTTCTGTCAGGACAGCATCATACCAACACACACCAGGGTGAGTTATAACAATGACAAAGCCTGGTTTACCCCTAAACTCAAACAGCTGTGGTTAGAAAAGAGAGATGCATTTAAAAGGGGGGACAAGGACTCCTACAGAGACACAGGTTCAGCAAAAGAATTGGTCAAAGCAAAACACCAGCATCATGACAAAATGCAGCAGCAAATCTCTGAAAACGACCCAACCTCTGTGTGGAAAAGTTTCAGGAACATCACCATCTACAAACCCAGAACCCCCGCCTCCACCGATAATCTGCTCTTGGCAAACAACCTAAACAATTTCTATTGTCGGTTTGATGAGCCATCAGGCAGGCCTCAATCCTCGTCCAGCCCCAACAATAGAGACATTGGTCAGCCACTCCCCACTACAGAGCCATCACCATCACTGTGGAATTTACCTTCATCACCCTCCCCTCACTCCCCACTCATGAGGACTTCACATCACACACCTCCACCACAAATCTACACATTCATGAAGCAGATGTAAAGAAGCAGTTCAGGTCTCTTAACACACGAAAAGCCCCGGGCCCTGATGGCGTGGCTCCTGCCACTCTAAAGCACTGTGCTGAAGAGCTGGCCCCAGTGTTTACGAGCAACTTCAACTCCTCGCTAGAGGCATCTCATGTGCCTGCCTGCTTCAGGATCTCCACCATAGTCCCTGTCCCCAAGAAACCAAGAATCACTGGACTAAATGACTACAGACCTGTGGCTGTGACATCTGTGGTCATGAAGTAATTTGAGCACCTAGTTCTCCCCCACCTCAAGACCCTCACAGCCCCCCTCCTGGACCCCCTGCAGTTTGCATACAGAGCAAACAGGTCTGTAGATGACGCAATCAACATGGCTTTACAATTCATCCTGCAGCATCTGGACTCCCCAGGTACCTACGCCAGGATATTGTTCGTGGACTTCAGCTCTGCATTCAACACAATCCTGCCAGACCTCCTCCAAGACAAAATGTCCCAGATGAACGTGCCTGACCCCATCTGCAGGTGGATCACCGACTTCCTGACAGACAGGAAACAACAAAGCCCCATTCCCATCTGTACCGGGTCGGCCCAGGCCGGGTAGCCCCAGTCGGCCCCAGCCTGGCTCGGTTGATTCCACACATCCTTGCTTAGGTATGCAGTCAGAGACACTTTCAGCTTCTGGGTAATCAGCATGATAACGAATGATAATGAAATGAGCATGCCTTAAGTCCATGTGGGCTGATTCTACCCACCAATCAGAGGCTTGCTCTAATGGAAGGTGTGAATTTGCTGTCAGCAGTGGGTGTGTTGGCCCTGGTCGGCCTGAAGCAGACCCCCTCGAGAAGAGGGCTGAGAATGAGCCTTGGTTGGCCCGGGAAAATACCAGGCCACCCAGATATGTAAACAACCTACGCTGCCCGGCCCGACCCGGTACAGGTGGGAATGGGGCTCAAGTCAGGCTGGGGAAGAATGTCTCGGACCAACGGACCATCAGCACCGGCTCACCACAGGGCTGTGTTCTTTCCCCTCTGCTCTTCTCCCTGTACACCAACAGCTGCACCTCCAAGCATGAGTCTGTCAAACAAATTAAGTTTGCTGACGACACCACCATCATCGGACTCATCTCTAATGGGGATGAGTCCGCTTACAGAATGGAGGCTGAACGGCTGGTGTCCTGGTGCAGCCACAACAACCTGGTGCTAAACACCCAGAAGACAGCGGAGGTTGTTGTGGACTTTAGGAAACACACACACCCCATCCCCGCTTAAACCTGTCTGACACTCCCATCACGATGGTGGACTCATGTCGCTTCCTGGGCACCACCATCACCCAGGACCTCAAATGGGAGCCCACCATCACCACCATCAGAAAAAAGGCCCAGCAGAGGATGTACTTCCTGAGGCAGTTGAAGAAATTCTACCTATCACCACAGTCAATGAGGCATTTCTACACCGCTATCATCGAGTCCATCCTCACCTCCTCCATCACCGTGTGGTACGCTGGAGCTACCACCAGGGACAAGAAGAGGCTGCAGCGTGTCGTACGCTCTGCAGAGAAGGTCATTGGCTGCAAACTCCCCTCCATTCAAGATCTGTACACCTCTAGGACATTGAGGCGTGCAGGTCGGATAATAGCTGACTCGTCTCACCCTGGACACAAGTCTCTTCGACTCGCTCCCATCTGGCAGAAGGCTCAGATCCATTCGGACCAGAACCTCTCGCCACAAAAACAGTTTCTTCCCCTCTGCAGTTGGACCTTTGAATTAAAGTCCTAGGGCAGCCCACTCAAGTTGATTGTCCCAGTCACGTGACCCGATGCTGTGCTTGAACCATTCAACAAATACTCAGATTAATACCTACACGGAGTAGATAGCTGCTTCTCTAATTCTTGCCACTTTTTACTTTAATAATTTTATCATGAGTGTTTTATTAGTTCTTATAATTGCTTATCTCAAAATTAATTTTTTCTATCTTACCTTCTGCACCAAAATACCGCAGCAATTTCCTAATGTTGTGACTTGGCACACAAATGGCAATAAAAAACTTCTGATTCTGATCTGCCCTGCGAGGAAGTCATACAGTTTGAGCTGAAGCGGAGTGCTACGAGTGAAAAAGTCGCACAGTGTACGCCCGGCTTAAGAAGAGCTGTTTCAGTAGAATGAGCTCAACAGAAGCCTGACTGAGATATGCAAGTAGATAGGTGGACCCACCTGCGTTGGTAAAGCATCAAATTCCCTCAGCAGATTTCTCCTGATGTCTTCCACCTCCACCGGTCCCACTTTCTCCTGCTTCTCAGCTATGGACGACTCCATCTTCTCTGTCAACGCAAAACGTAACCGTAACCAGAGGCCATTCAAGCGGTTTCCGCTAATAAAACACAAAAAATCCGACCCTAAACTGGCCTATTTCATACACTGACTATTAGCAGGATTACATTAGAAGTTGTACAACTTGGTGGACGTTTTGTTAGTAACGAGAAGGCAAACTTAGTAATATTAATACGTGACCAGTTTGATTTGAAATACATTACAAACGGCAATTGTGTTCAGAGAAACCTGTACCATCAGTCAGACAAGCACATAACAATCGATTAGCAGTTTAAATGTCTCTCTTAATTATCTTTAAATTAACCGTTAAAAACACAGATAAAACTTCAAAATAAATCATATATTTAGACCTCGACGTGACATACCCCCAACCCCGACCGTACTTTTGGTATTTTTTATACACCAGATACTATATTTAAAACAAAATCCATCGAAGAGTCTCGCAGGGCTGTGGTTAGCTCTGTTTGCTATCCACTCCGCGGTCTGTAGTTTAAACTGCGACCAAAAGCAAAAGACCAATCATTGGTCGCATATGAGATGACGTCAAAGATCTCGCTGCTACTGTGGAATGAAATCTCGTGAGACTATTTTCCCAAAAACATTTTTTAACACAACATATTTTCTTGTTGCAAAAATTACAGTTTCGTACATATTTTATTTGTATACATGATCTAATTTCAGTTTTTAACTTATTTACTTTAAAGTAATAAAAGGCGCAGGCCATTAGTGTTTACGTAATCAAAACGAGACTGACGCCAAAGAATGATCTGAGCGACTGGAATCGGATTTATGGATTAGAACCTGCAAAACACCAGGCAGCTACATCTTTACTTTTCGTCCTGGGTCAGTTTGACGTTGATAAACTATTTCTATCGCTTGGATCGAGGCAGAGTGACAAGGTTTGGAAAACGAAAGGAAAAACCTCTAGTTCGCAGACGCAGAAAGCGGTCTCCTTGGCAACGGTGAGACTGTTCATGGCGGGGAGGGGGTGGGGGGTATTGGCGTTGAAATGGGGGCAATGAAGCCACCCATAGAATTTCTAGATGATTTACTCTATGATAAGTTCTCCTGCTGAAGTCAAAAATGGATCGTTTCACAAATTCTGTTTACCAAGAATTCTAACTACCATTCAAAGATTTATAGGTTAGGTTTGTTGAAGTGCTGCGAATGCCTATTATTTGCTCATATTTACTGCATCTAAAACACAACATTACTATTGATTTCACTAAATGTGTCAGTTGAATGTATAAATGATAGCAAGAAAGGGAACTGGTCAACCATGAACTTGATCTACTTTATCGGTGCTTTGCTGATCCTAAACCCAAAATCAAATTAGTTTTGTGTGTTTGTTTGTTTTCTCTGTGTGACTACACTATTGTGATATAGCATTTAAAAAAATATTGGTCTATTCTCACTAATCAGGAGCAAAAAGTGTATTAATAGTTTTTTTTAATGAATTAGAAATAGTCAAAACTGATATTGGAAGGTAAGGGTTTCACAAGAATCAGATATTAGTATCGGTTCTCAAAACATCATTTGTGCACGTTAAATTTGTTTGTGACATGGACAACTCCACACAATGATGATAGCTCTCATAGTCCTTCAGGATTCATCTGTAAAGGTGAGCAGTGACTGCCTCTTTTCACAGTCTCTATTTGCCCCCTTTCCAGTGAGTCATGACCTCTGTGGAGTCCAGTGGGGATGGAGGAAGATGGCTGGATGCTCACTATGACCCTGTTGCCGGCCTTTACACATTTTCATCCTGTGTGGACCTGGCCGACCTGAGTGGGGATGGGGAGAGTCGGCTTGTGGTGGGGGACCTGGGCACCGGCTCATCCGGTATGAAGCTGAAGGTTTACCGGGGCACGGCACTGATGAGTGAGAGCACACTGCTGGACCTGCCTGCTGGCCTTGTGGCCTTCTTCATGGACCTGCATGAACCGCGGATCCCTGCTGTGGCTGTAGCCTCTGGACCCTGCATTTATGTTTACAAAAACCTGCGGCCGTACTTCAAATTCACATTACCTGGTCTGGAGATCAACACACTGGAACAGGTCTGTGTGTGTGTGTGTGTGTGTGTGTGTGTGTGTGTGTGTGTTTGTGTGAAGGGACAATTATAAGCCTTAAGGGAAACACTTGGTTAGATATTTGTGTTGAACTTAATTATATGAAACATCTATTTATTAGGCAGCTTTATTTATTTACTAGATTTATTTATTAGGTTAAATCTTAAAACTATATTTCATAACATTGAATAATATCAAACAAATGAAGTATCAACATTGGGTCACAGTGAAAGGTGACTTCATATTATGAAAATGAGCAAAAGGTAAAAATAATAATTTAAATATTTCTTCATTGATCAAATGCTGATTATTGATTAATGTGAGTTAAACAAACATTTCAATCAGTGACTGTTTCTTAATAGACCTGCTTTGGTTTACTATTATTATTTTGTTTATATTGCATTACATATTTTAAAAAATATTCATGTTGATTGTGATATATTGAAAAACAAGTCATCAATAATCTAGTAACACTCACTCAACTAAACACTGTTTAAATCTTCTCAAAAGCCCATCTAGCTGTACCTGTAACATCCTGCTGTGCTGTGATTGGTTAGGATGTGTGGCAGCAGGTGAGGGAGGGTCAGATTGACCCCATGTGTCTGAAGGAGATGTTGGAGAGCATCAGAAAGAAGGATGCCGTCCCGCTGTCCATCCGATCACTCAGGTTCTTGTCTTTGGAGGCCGACAGCATGGACGACTTTGTTCAGCTGCACAAACAGCAGCCAATCAGGCGGCAGGTAATTGTTTTTTCACAACATCTGTTATAAAATGCATCGAACGGCTGACTTCACTTTACAGTCTTTAAAAAAAGATGCAGTTTCTGTCTTTTTCCACAATTTGACTGAATTTCCTGAGATCATTAAATATCTGGTACATATTTAGGTGAAGATTCTGCTGAGATTTAGCCTGTCAGCGTTCTCACAGTCTCATGTTTACAGCTCTGTTCAATATAGTCAGTTTAAAAAAACAAAAAAGGTTAAATATTGTCATAATATTTCTGTCTAAAAATACATGAACTACAGTATAATGAAGCATACATTTATAACCTGCCTTAAAAACTTCGGGATGTGATTTTTAACGTTCACCAAGCTCAATTCCAGTTAAAAATAAATAATAAAAGGATCATCAGCTACAATGCTTAACTTCATTCAGCGATTATACCCGTGAACCACCTCCATTATTCTGATAATGAACACTTTGATGTTCCAGACGGTCATCACCTGCATTGGGACTCTGAAGAAGAGCACGACAGATGAGGATGGTGTCAGCTGTCTTGTGATTGGTACAGAAAACAGCGATATCTTTGTCCTTGACCCTGAAGCTTTCACCATCCTCTCCAAGGTAAGCCCCCTTTAGCTACTTTAAAACCATACCGTACTGCTGCACGTGATTTACCTGTTTATTCATAATTAAAAGGTTCAGTCTGAGATGTGGAGCCCCGCAGGGTTCTGTACTCAGACATGTTTAGTTTTGGGTCAATAAAAGCAATGGATAAAATCCAACTTTACATTTCTCAGAATGTTAATATTTGAATGTTTGTCTTCGTCTTCGTCTTCGTCTTCCTCCGCTTATCCGGGTCCGGGTCGCGGGGGCAGCATCCCAATTAGGGAGCTCCAGGCCGTCCTCTCCCCGGCCTTGTCCACCAGCTCCTCCGGCAGGACCCCAAGGCGTTCCCGGACCAGATTGGAGATGTAACCTCTCCAACGTGTCCTGGGTCGACCCGGGGGCCTTCTGCCGGCAGGACATGCCCGAAACACCTCCCCGGGGAGGCGTCCAGGAGGCATCCTGACCAGATGCCCAAACCACCTCAACTGGCTCCTTTCGATCCGGAGGAGCAGCGGTTCTACTCCGAGTCCCTCCCGAATGTCCGAGCTCCTCACCCTATCTCTAAGGCTGAGCCCGGCCACCCTACGGAGGAAACTCATTTCGGCCGCTTGTATCCGCGATCTCGTTCTTTCGGTCATTACCCAAAGCTCATGACCATAGGTGAGGATTGGGACGTAGATCGACCGGTAAATCGAGAGCCTGGCTTTCTGGCTCAGCTCCCTCTTCCCCACGACAGATCGGCTCAGCGTCCGCATCACTGCAGACGCCGAACCAATCCGCCTGTCGATCTCCCGATCCCTCCTACCCTCACTCGTGAACAAGACCCCGAGATACTTAAACTCCTCCACTTGAGGTAGGACCTCTCCCCCGACCCGGAGGTGGCAAGCCACCCTTTTCCGGTCGAGAACCATGGTCTCAGATTTGGAGGTGCTGATCCTCATCCCAGCCGCTTCACATTCGGCCGCGAACCTACCCAGCAAGAGCTGAAGGTCAGAGCTGGATGAAGCTAGGAGGACCACATCATCCGCAAAAAGCAGAGACGAGATTCTCCTGCCACCAAACTCGACACACTCCACACCACGGCTGCGTCTAGAAATTCTGTCCATAAAAGTGATGAACAGAACCGGTGACAAAGGGCAGCCCTGGCGGAGTCCAACCCTCACTGGGAACAGGTCCGACTTACTACCGGCTATGCGGACCAAACTAATATTTGAATGTTTGTGATTATTTTAATACTTCTTGATGAATATTCTCTTTATCCCAGATGACCGTAAAACAATACAACATTTTTATCAAACAGATTTAAAACATTGACACTAGTGTCTGACTTTTAAAGATGTGTCTACCTGCTGCTCCCACCTTGATGGATGTGACGGGTCAGTTTGATGTGGAGTTTCGCATCACGGTGGCATGTCGCAATGGCAACATCTACATTCTGCGAAGGTGAGAAACACCTAGAGAGAAATTTTATTTTGTGTTGTGCCTGTTTGGTCCTGTAGATCTGATCTCAGACAGTAACAGGAACAGTGAACTGACCGATGTTTGCTGGTGTTCAGGGAGTCGAACAAGCCAAAGTACTGCATTGAGCTGTCTTCTCACCCGGTTGGGCTTGTGAGAATTGGGAAGAACGTGGTTGTTGGATGCACTGATGAGAGTCTGCAGGGCTTCACACAAAAGGTCTACTCTGATCATATCCAATTGATCAAAAATGTCAACAGCACAGAAATCCAACTGCTTAGATCTAACCAGGACTTGTCCTGTTTTGATCTATTTTTTCAAGTGTTGCTGAATCCAAAGGGTGTCAGAATAAAATCTTCTGTTGTTGTGTCTTCAGGGGAAAAAGTTGTGGAAGATTAACCTCCCCGCCCCTGTCACTACCATGGCAGCCATGGACCTCCCCACCAGGGGCTTCCAGGGAGTCCTGGTGGGCCTGGCAAACTGTGAGGTTCATCTGTACCGGGACAAAAACCTGCTCAGCACCATCAAGACTCCTGACACAGTGACCAGTATCTGCTTTGGTCGGTACGGCCGTGAGGACGGGACCCTTATCATGACCACTAAGGGGGGTGGACTGATGGTGAAGATCTTGAAGAGGATGGCGGTGTTTGATGATCGGGAAAGCGCTCCTGGCCCACCTCTAGCCCAGAGTGTGCGTCTTAACGTACCCAAGAAGACTAAGCTGTACGTGGATCAGACACTGAGGGAGCGTGAGAATAGCCTGGCCATGCACCGGGCCTTTCAGATGGACCTGAGCCGCATGCGGCTGGCTGCTGCCAGAGCCTATGTCAAGGCGCTGGAGTCCAGTCTGACTCCAGTCTCTTCTAGCCTATCCGAGCCACTTAAGATGAACGCTGTGGTCCAAGGACTGGGCCCATCCTTCAAGCTGACCCTCAACGTGCAGAACACGGCAGCCTGTCGGCCTGTCATGAACCTTACCATCAGCTTCCTGTATGACGAGAACTTGTACAGGATGAGGAATCCCTTCATGAGGATTCCTCTGCTGGTGCCTGGACTCATCTACCCTGTCGAGACGTTCGTGGAGTGCACCAGCGACAAGGGCATCTCTGATATCATCAAGGTGTTCGTGCTGCATGAAGGGAAGAGCTCGCCGCTCCTCACAGCTCATATCAACATGCCCATCAGCGAGGGAGTGGCATTCAGCTGAAACTCTTCTACTACTCCATCTGTTGTTCTTAGCAGGAATGAATACGGGGAGGAACATCAGCAGACTGCAGTCCCACATCTGCTTCTACAGCCCAAACTCAAGAACACTCAAAGGAAATTCTGTCAATATCAGACAGCTTAGACCAAACTGTGTGGTTGGTTAAATATAGCCTCAAGAGAAGCTGTTTCCTTTTGTGAATTTGAGTCTATCGTCATGGCAACAGACCCTATAAACCAAACCTGTCTGCTAGCATGTTTAGTCTAAAAATGCCCCCACTACCACCGTGAGCAGCTGTTCAGCAGGATGTGAGTTAACTCAGAGCTCTATGAACAAGTAATTGCATCTGTTGTGGAGTTGCCCTGGGTCTGCAGCTTTCTGTAAATAAAAAATACTTTTGTCTGAAGTTGAACAGTTTGAGCTCTGTTCTGCTTCGTTTAAGCATATGAATACTCGTCGTGGCCCAGCTTCATTTAGTGACCATTTTTTTGTTGTCAGATAAGAACAAATATAAACAAATCATGTCTTTCTCTCAGTTAGTCATCTTTTTTATATCAAAATGTTGCATTAGGTGGTTTAGTTTTAACTTATGTCTTCACTGACTAAGGTAATGTTAATATTAATGGATGTTAACATCATTTGTTCTGTTTAAAGTAAGTTCAGATGATTTAGACGCTATCAGACAATTTCCCTTTACATTGTTTTTAAAAAATAGTCAATGTTTCCATCAGGGATGGATGATTTTCTTTATCAATTTGCTTTCAGCTCAGGAACAAACACATTATTATTATTATTATTATTATTATTATTATTAAGTCTGTTGATATTTCTAAATAAAAATGTATCTACATTTTCTGTATTATTAAGTCTCAAATAAACTAGTAATACATGTTCATTAAAGATTCACGAGTTTGCTTCCACATAAAGTGTATTAAAACAGAAGGTGAACTTCAGTGTTTTTATTCATCTTCTGAAGATTTCTGTAAAACAGTTTTTGGATTTAGTTTTTAAACAGATAATAAAACTTTTAAAGCTTTACATCTAAAACTGTTCCAACTAGAGAAACTTCAATTGATTTGTTCATAATATCTTTACTGCCTTTAAGCTTCAACCCGTTTCTTTTCTCAGTTCTTCTATTGTTGACACTGGTTAAACAGATCAGTAAACAGCTTCTGTCTAAAGGTTGAAAGGTCAGGATTTTCCACAGATGATCAGTTCAAAACCCCAGAGCCCTGATCAAAGTCTGGAAACATCACACAACATGGAAAAATACCTTCACAATCTGCTGCAGGGATTCTGTCCACTGTTGAGAAATAACAAAAACTCCCGCTTTTTTGTTTTCAGCTTCAAACTTCAGCCTATAAAAGCTCAGAAGACTTTCATTTGGGTTAAACGTTAAGATCTGAAGATGAGGCGTGTCGTGGTTTTACTGGGTGAGATTAGAGATTATTATGATTTCTCTAATTTTTCTGCGTATTGTTCTTGCATCACTTTGACCCTTTGACACTTTCATAATGTGGAGTCCTTTTATTTAAAATAATAGTTTCACTGCCACTGGTGTTTTTGGGAGAAACTATGAAATTAAAGATGTGTAAAACAAAACATTCATGTGTTCACTTCTGCACTGTAGAAAAAGTAGCATTTTTTAAACAGATTTCATGTCTCCAGCTGTGTTGTGGGCGACTGACGCTGTGAGGTTCGGTCAGCTCTGCAGTGGAAACCAGGACAACAGGAGGAGGACATCAGACTCTTGGGGACAAGGACACTATGGAGCCCGTCGGTGAGACGCTCATCACCTTACAGACTGCTATCTGAATGAATGAAACAGCTGCTAACAGCTGGATGTCTCTTGTTCTCAGAGGGGGCAGAACCCACCAGGGTCTGGACATCGTGTGCAGTGATGGGTCCACTGTCTACGCTCCTTTTGATGTGACTCTGAATGGAAAAGTGACTGTCTACAATGACAAGAGCAAAGCGGCCATCAACCAGGGCATCAGCATGACAGGAGAGGGTCAGTCCATCATCTGACTGGTTGTGATATCGGCTCACTGACTGACAGGTTATGTCTCATGCCCTGCAGGTCTCTGCTTCAAGCTGTTCTATGTGAGGCCGGATCAAACCTCTGGCTCTGTGAAGAAGGGGGAGCGTATTGGAACTATGCTTCCAATGCAGAGTGTTTACAGTGGAATCACTTCACATGTCCACGTCCAGATGTGTGACAAGAGTGACCCCACACAGTACTTCTGAGCTGATCCTGGTGGGCTGCATCTACTCTCAGACAACCTACACCTTACCCACTCACTGGGATCGTCTGATCCACCCACTGAGAATTTGCCCCACCCACAGAGGACCCAATCCACCCACTGAGAGTCTGATCCAAGACTCGGCCCAGTCTGAAGGACTTGGGCGTGTGATTTATATGAATCAGTGTGGCCCAACAAATTACAGACTCTAAATTCTCTCCTGTAGCTGTTTGGTGTTTTTATTCACAAAATTGTCAAATGTGTTTTTGTGTTTGTTGTTGACACAGGTTTGATGGGGTTGTTGCATTTCAAAAAGGTGATAGTTCAGTTCCAAGTTTAGGAAATAAAAATGTAGACCCAACTTCATAAATAAATAAGAAAACTTTGATCAGAAACACATAAACAAATATGTCTCTAAAACTATATTTGTTTAAATTGCTTTCCAAATGTAAAAATGATCTCAACATGAACGCTTATTAAAGAAATTATTTTAATTCTCACAAAAACACACTATGTGTCACGTTGCAGGTTAGGAGGAGGTTAGGACCCAAGATGCAGACAACACCAGATGACACGAGGCAGGAGCGGTTTAAAAGTAAAATCCTTTTATTAGGATGACAAACCAAAAATCCAAAAGGGCAGGAAGCAAAAAACCAAAGTCCTGAGTACCAGGAGAACAAAAGCTCACATAGAGCACAAACCAAGCGACGAGGCACAAAAGCTCACATAGAGCACAAGACAACGCTGACACAAAACAATGGACCGACAAGGCAATGAGACACAGAGAGGGCATAATGGGAGGCAGATGAGCTGCAGGTGTGTGGGGAGAGGACCAGGCGAAAGCATTAACTAATCAGGGAGGAAACTAACATGACCTGAGAGTAAAACCTAAAAACAAGAAAAGCAACCACATAACTATTATTCTAAAGGGAAGGAAAACTACAAAGACCGGTGGGAAAAAACATATAAAGAGACTAATAAAATGAAAAGCTGAAACTATAAAAACTGCAGAGGGGTGACTGGGGAAGACTAAAGGAACACAGGACCTGAGAGAGATATCTCTGGAGGGCTGAAGACCAGGGGACACATGAGGAACACAAAGAGACACATGAGCGGGATTCTTAGGGGGGAATGGGGCACACAAGGAGACACATGAGGGAGGCGCAGACACAGACCATGACACTAGGAGTGCAAAAGAAGTGCCTGAAATGTGCTCATTCAAGTGTACAAAACATCAGTCAATCAATAGACTTAAAAAGGAAAAATGGTGTGAATCAATTTTCAAAGTACAACAGAATTTGATTATTAAAGCTCACATTTGCTCATGTAACTTTAAACGTGTGCTTTTTTATTTTTCTGTTTTATTGGTGCATTTTTATTGATCCTTTTATTGACTCAAGCCTGGAAGGAGGACAAATAAGCTCCGTAGATGGATCACAATTACCTTATCAGGTTAATGTTAGCAGGTGTTTTTATTACAAATTCCAGCCAGTCGTCACGTGGTCCCGGATCTCCAAGGACACACATTTCCACCGTTAGAAGGTTTATCGGTGTGAAGCAGCAGCTGCTCCATCATTTATTAATCTGTAGGTTAGAAAAGCAGCCGAGAAGGCTCAGATTCATCAGACCACTCAGAGGAAATCTGAGATATAAAGACTTTGGGTTTCAGATCAGCAGATCTCTAATGATGAGGGTGAGTTCATGACTAAGAACTTCACCGTAATTTTTCAGCATTTTTCTTTCTTGAATTATTTTCTGGGTTTCATGAGGAATCCTGTACGTATTCTGTTTGTGGTGATGGTCATATTCTAATTTGAACTTAAATAAGAAGAAAACTTCCCCTGCAGCTGCTGCCAGTCCTTCTCCTCCTCCTGGTCCCTCTGCTGACCAGCTGTTTACCTCTGGACTGCGACTACCTCTATAGTGAGGACCGTACCAGACCCAGTGGAGTCTACACCATCTATCCTATGGGAGGTGTGTCTGGTGTACAGGTAAACTCTCACATGGGTGAACTGATGAATGTTTAATGTGTCAAAAGGTTTGCACCATTTATGCATAACCTGTTGTTTCGGCGTCTGCAGGTGTTTTGTGACATGGACTCACATGGGGGACGATGGACGGTGAGTCTGAACTTGTGTTATTCCACAGATCTTCCAGCTTCCATAGACATATCGAGGTCCTACAGCCAGTCAGCTCATGTAAAATGTTATTGTTTCAATTAGATTAGCTGATGAGTTTTAATGGATGTGAATAGCCGAGCTTTAACTCTAGACTGTGCTAAACTCAATAAGTTAAATGATGGCAACGGGGCTTTTTGGTTCCTTGAACAAGTTTTGCTTCTCATCTTAGGAGCTGTGTGGATTCGTGCCTTTAAACCGTGGCAAACTGTTTATTCTACAACTGTTATAAAAGTTATTTACACATTATGTGTTTTGGTCAGTGGTTTTCTGCTGCTGTGGGCCCATCTGGAGCCAGGAGCTGCTTCAGAAATGATACTCTAGGCCTTGGTTGGAAACGGTGATGTTTTGAGCCTTTGTTGCTTTTTTATCGCTCCTTCTCATCAGACCTCTGACATTAACAAGACATTTTCATCCACACTCTTTGTGTATGATCTCTTTTCTGGACCATTCTGCGTTGGCCCTAGAGATGGCTGTGAGTGAAAATACCCTGTAGGTTAGCAGTTACTAGAATATTGGACCATTTCTGACCAGCGCCCTGCTGAAGGTCTCTACCAACACGTCTCAGTTCAGATCCTCTTATCTCAGGTGTTCCAGAGGAGAATGGATGGTTCTGTCAACTTCCACAGGAACTGGGAGCGTTACAAGGTTGGCTTTGGGAATGCTGCCGGAGAGTATTGGCTTGGTGAGATCTGAACATCTAAACAACAATCATGATGTTATATCAAACTGATGTGGGTTCAAAGTTCTGGTTATTTTTGCTTGTTTCAGGCCTGGAGAGTCTGTTTCACCTCACCCAGCTGAAAAAGAACGAGCTGCTGGTCGACATGGAGGACTTTGAAGGGAGGAAGGTGTATGCTCGTTACTCCTCCTTCTCCATCACCCCTGAATCAGACGGGTATGGAGTGAATGTGTCTGGATTTGTTGACGGAGGAGCAGGTGGGTCTCAAATTAGGAGAAATGCTATGTTCATGAAATGTGATTGTGAACATCAGCGGGTGAAAACATGTTTGTGCACAATTATTAGGCATCTATCAGTGTGCAAATTTATCAGGCAGCTATATCACCCCTTTAGTCTCATCTGTAAACAGACAACACACAATTTCTAAATAAACATTTATGACGTAATGAAATCAGTGACCAACACAGCCACGCTTCTTTTCAGTAGCAGCAGTAAGACTCCCTGTTAGTCTCTGGAGCTGACCTTCTCTCTGTACAACAGCAACACACCGTTCAGAGAGGTGAACAGTTTCCCTCTCTGGTGCGTTGTCTGTTTAAGGGCCCACAACTTCTCAGTAAGGGTTAGGTCAGGCGAAGAAGGGGACCATGTCGTTATTCAGTCATCTCCTAAAGCATGAGTAACAGAAAAACAATGTAGTGAAAGAAGCTGGCACTGTCTTTAGGGGACCGGGTCTCAGGAGCCTCCACAGGCTGGCCAGGAGGTGGAGCATCTTGGTGGCCCTTAACCCCTCATCGTGATGCAGATATGGACCCTCTCTGTCCATCTGGTCCATCACATCTCACACAAAACCTTTGAAAAAGCTGTCTTCAGATACTCCTTGGTCATGTCTAGATGTTTCACTTTGTCTTGTTCAGTGGTGATTGGGCTTTGAGGAAATATATCTTTATTGTAACGGTTGCATGGGTTAGGGTTAGCGCTTGGAAGCTAGTTTTAGTAGCGACAGGTAGTGGATACAAGGTAGTGAATGAAGGTACAACAGTACAACAAACTTTGCAAAGTGCAACTTGCCATTGAGACAATCAGATGATTGCATCACTATGTACAGGTTAGCAATGTGAGAGGTGTGCATACACAATGAGCTATATTAATGTAACATGTCATTTAAGAAGCTGTGTGGAGTCCCGTGTGTCAGAGACCAGGTACTGGGTGTCCATGATTCTCTGCAACCAAAACATTCTGCTAATTTAATCTTTTTTTTGCTGTATGATTTATTTCTTGGCAGGAGACACACTGAGTCGTCACGATGGACAAAAGTTTGCCACTTTTGATAAATACCAACATGCCGGACCAGACAACTGTGCCAGACAATTTTTGGGTGCGTTCTGGTACTGGAGATGCTACTATCCAAACCCTAATGGAGTTTATTTGTGGGGGGCTGATGGATCCAAATATGAGGTCGGTGTGGTCTGGTACAGCTGGAAGGGCACTACCTACTCTCTGAAGAGTATCAGCATGAAGATCCGACCCATCAGGTGAAGCTGCAGAACAAACATCCAACATTTGTAACAGTTGAAATTGTCTTTGCTGCATTCTGACAATAAACTACTGATGCGATCTGATGTGTGTGTTAGTCAGATGACAGGTGTATGTTTGAGTCTCATTGTGTTGGACTGAAGGAAGTTTTTGGAGTTCTGATGTGGATGCTACTGCAGAAGATGCCCGGCAAATTACAGATTAAGACTGAGATTACAAATCAGGCTGCAGGAACAGAAAATATACTGTGGAGAAAAAAAAAGCAAAAATGTTTCAGCAAAGTAAATTTCAGCATCATGTGATTTAGTCCAAAACAACTTACAGATGAGAATGTAACAAAGCAGTTACCGTTGAAGCAAATAATAAATCATACACATTTTCACAAATTTTTATTAAAACGGGAATACGACCTGCCTCTAGGCGAAAAAGTAATGTCCCCCTAATTCCAATATTGGGTTGTAACACCCTTTACTCAACAAAGGTTGGAAATAAAAATTTTACATGAAAACAGAGGATCTATTTTTCTCAGAAACATTCACATTCTTCCATTTATGAAGAGTCAAAACGGGACATTTTAATTTAAACTGTTAATTGATTCAGCTGCTTTTAGGAAGGCCCCGCCTCCTCAGCTGTCAGAGGGTTTCATCCTTTTGGCAGCAGGAGCTTCACCTGTACACATGAACACAGAGAGGGACCTGGGTGAAATAAGCATTACTTTGTTTGAGTCTGATGAGAAACCAGATGATGAAAAAACATCAGTTGGAGTTCTGAAGGACAGATCACCATCGCCTCCAGCCTGATTCAGCTTCAGATAAATGCAGAGGAAACTTACTGTCTGCAGAGTCCTGCAGCGCCTCCTGCTGGGTTTTCCAGGTGTGCACAATGCCGCTGGCTGTCGACCTGGTTTCTGACAAATGAACAAACAGTGTGGTAAACAGTCTGAACCAACAGGAAGCCCGAGTCTGCAGAACTTCAACAGGATTTACCCGCACGCAGTAAAACAGATCTGCAGGTGGACGAGATAGATTCTTTAGCATCTCGGTTGGACAAACCAAACAGCAGACCTCTGAGAACCAGATCAGGAACGCAATACATGAAATGTGTTGTACAACACTACACACCAGACACAGTTCTGTGAAAACACACACGATGGTCTGTTCTGATATCTCACAGACTGCGGCAACACTGAGCCCTATGTCAGATTAATGAACAATGGTTAAAGGATACAGGTTGGCAATGTCATATGGTCCTCTGAGCTCCCAAGACTGAAAACACAAATAACAGGTCAGAGAAGTACGGTGGACAAAAAGGGCTAAAACTCAGTTATTAGAAATGTTCTGATTTGGTGAAACAGAACCTTTAGTTAAATTCATGTTTGATCCACAGACGTAGCTGATCACTGACCTTGTCAGCTGCACTCGACAGGATCACGTTCTGAAAAACAGAAACAGAGCTCAAGATCTCACCTGCAACGTGATGTCACAGAGCTTATGTCAAATAACAGCATAGTGTAAATTACTCTGCAGCTAGCCAATCAGATGCAAGGACATGCATACCTTCCCTTTACAGCTCTCCATCAGGCACACGGCGTTGGCGATGGTGTAGCGCCTCATGGTAGAGTCTCTGATGGCTGCAGCATAGGATACCTCAAATGCCACGCCTCTCTCGATGGCCTGAACTTACACAGGTTCACACATTCATTAAAACACACACACACACAAATAAACAAACAAACAAAAGCCTTGGTTGTCACCGCATTGATCGGCGCTCTCTTGAAGAAAAAGGGTAGCTTCTCTGTCACTGGGATGCAGATGATGTCGATATCGTACAACGTGCAAGCTGCCTGAATAACACACACACACACACACACACACACACACACACACACACACACACACACACACACACAATACACATACTTCAGTAAAAATAGAGTGCTTTCCACTCAGTCTGTTTCATACAGGTGTAATTATTGTACAGCTGTGTTTTCCAGGACAAATTACAGCTACTGCTATTACAACCACAGTTAGTTTCTATTTTTTATAATGTTGTGTTTCTTGAAATCTTTTCCATTCAGTGAAATTGCAGTTTAGGTCCTGTTGTGTTTTCTAATTAAATGTTGTCAATTTATTATTTTTTTGTCTTTTTTAAACTTTTCTTTTGTAAAGTATCCATTTGTGTTTCAGATGGTCTTTTGTTTAGTTTTGTTGTGCGTTTTTCCAGTAAGTAGATTTTTTAAAGTCACATATTTCATCCATCAACATTCCTGTAGTCAGTGAAAGCATCATCCTGTTGGAGAGATGAACAGAGTGTCAGTGAAGCTCACATGGAAGACTTTCTCAGAGCTTGAATGGAGGGCGATGAGGTCGAAAAATCGAAAAGCTGGAGAGTTGGTCGGCTGTGAGCACGCACGCACGCACACACACACACACACACACACACACACACACACACACACACACACACACACACACACACACACACACACACACACAAAACAGGCTGTGGCATCACATCATACAATCCATTTCAAGGTTATTGATCCCTTAGCTCTAATTAGACAACTCACATAGTGACTGGCGTCAGACATCACCAGCGTCAGTCTGTTCAGCACTCTGATTGGACGAGAACGGCCCTGCACCATGGGCAGCTTATCAAAGATCTCATTGATCGGCTTTGGTGAGGGAATTTCCTGCAAAGACAAAATAAACATACTCCCAATAATAAAAGTTTGAAACAAAATGTAAATTCATTGACAATCAACTGATTGATTCAGCATCTGCTTGACCATAGAGATCAAGTGAATGCTCGGAGATCAGTTTTATAAAACCCGTTTTGATGTTTTACCATTTGGATGTTTCTGTTCATAAGAATGAATGAGAATGTAATAAAGTATCAAAACGCAGCCACATCAAAGGCTTCTATCTGACTCCATGCTGTTCCTCAATGCAGCGCAGTAGATAGTCTGACCTGTTTCTTCTTGGCTACGAGCTCAAACACATAGTTGATGGCGACCGTGGAATATCCAACTGTAGGAGGGGAAAACAAAATCCCAGTTAATCCCTTCAGTGAGGTTTGCATCATCCAGGTTCTGATTCTGGATCTGTGGTTGTGTAGGGTTTAGGAAATTGAGTGCTTTAAGAGCTCTGTTTGTGTGAATCAGGTGGATATCACGATCCTGTCACAGTCACTGATGTAAATACTCCAAACTACTGAAGATCAAGTAAACATCTGATATCTTTCTGTTTCCTGTCAAACGTAATGATTATGTCTCAGGCTTTATCCTCAACAGTTATTGTTCAGTTACGCACGTGCAAAGGGTCAAATGGACAACAAAGAATGCTTTGTTATGAAATATTGTTCCTAATCAAAAGTACATAATCCAAGGCGATGTTACGGGTTTGTGGGTTTTAGATGCAAACAAGCTGTGATCGATTATTTCTCTAATAAACGGATTCAACTTTTCCCACAAAATCTAGTGATAAGGGTTGTTCTTAGTGATGTTATAAACAAGCATTATCGATTAATATCTTAACAAATCAAGTCATTTACTGACAGTGTTTAACTGATACCAGAGCCTCATCAGCCGAACCAAAACCAGCTGAGTTACGAGGCGGACCAACTAAACACAACACTAGAAAAGGTCTGGTTTAAGGTCAAGAATACTCACGATGAGCAGCTGTTTCCACCAAACTCTGCAATTGCTTTATATTAGACGAATACATCACGTTTAGGTCCATAAACACAGACATGGTACCACGAACCTATACAGCTCCACATGTAGAAAACCGCAAGGCTTGCTGGGAGCTGGAGTCTTGTTCTCGATGAGTGAGTGACACGGGCTGAGGCTGACACAGAATATTTTGTATTACCGCCACCTGCTGGTGGCGGAAGCCCCAAGCCCAAGAACGACAAAAGAAGAAAACCAGTGGATTCTGTGATAAAGCTAATCTTTTTTCTCAATTTGACATGAACCTGTTTGGATATTTCCTCCTGGGAAGACATATCTTGTTTTAAAGTGACTTAAACACACACACACACACACACACACACACACACGCACACACACACACACACACACACACACACACACACACACACACACACACGATATGACTAATTTAAGCATACATTAGTAACAGAGGTGCATTTTTGTTTTATTATAGAAAGTATTTTAGTATCACTTTAATACCAGGACAGACAAATTACAAAGAAATCAAATACTTTCATTTTTCATTTTCTAAATTTTGACTAAAGTTCAAATCAATCATATTTACTGCTTTACACTAACCTGGCAAGCCAGACTAAATAAATCTGTTATTTAAACTTTGCAAAGCAAGAGGTCTAGTAGTTCACTAGGTTATTTTTATTTACTTTGTTGCTTCCAAAGAACTGCAGCTGCAGTAACAACAGTCTGGCAGCAGGGGGCAGCCGTGCCAAACCGCTGCTCAGGGAACAAACAGCAGCAGCAGAAGAAGAAAAGGTCAGAGGTCAGTGAAAAGTCGAAAAGCTATTGCAGACGTCTGAGATTCTCGCGCTTAAACCGAACCAAAGTGGATGTTACACAGCTATAACAAAGCGGGTCAGCCTGAACTCTGAGCGGGTTTTTGTGTTCAGAACCACTAGCCTGACACGAATCTATAGTTTCAGTGTAACCTAACAGAAACGAGCAGATTTACAGAATCCCTGATTATTAAACAGGGCATCCTACCGATCTAACACTTCTGCCTGTGAAATAAATCTGATGCAGTGTGAGAATAATTGTTGGAGGTCACAAGAATAATTATTCAGAAAAGTGTATTTAAATCAGACCTGATCAGACTAGTTTGAGTGGAAAACTGCTGCTTATGACTGGTAAACAGGTTAGTATCAGCTTCATTAATGAACATCTTGCAGAAACATAAAAACAGACTCTGTGTGCAGGCTGAGGCAGCAGAACCACACCAATCCAGTTCAGATCAGTCTGGCCTAATCCAGCAGGTCCGGTCCAGAATGGCCTCCCTGTTAAGACCACTGAGGATTTTCTTTCCCGCCAGATGCTGTGTTCCGACCCGTTTCTACTCAGGCTTCGTGTCCAGGATGAGGTTCTGAGGCTTAGACATCTTATTTATTAATTGTTTGGTTGATCAGCTGATCATGGATGGATGTTTCTGTTCAGATTCCTGAACAGTCTGAAGGAGTGTGATGAGGCGTGTGTTGCAGCGCTGCAGAACGCTCACATTTTCCTGTTTCATCGGTTGGTTCCACTGCTGCAGCAGACTGGCCGAGGAAACTTATCTCCAGTCTTTCTCACCTACTCAGGTACACAGCCCAAGAACCAGAACCCACAGACTAGCGAATCCAGAAAGTCAGGGACAGATCAAGATCTAAGACTTCAGTCAGAAGAGGAAGTAGTAGAACCTTCACTTTCAAACATCTCTTGTGATTATCTTCCAGATGTTCAGTCTGTCCTGCAGAAACTTGGTTCTGACGAATCCCTACTAAAAGAGTCCATTCTGGTTGGCTGTTCAGATCAGAACCAGGCTCAGTTCTGTCTGGATGTTGGTAAGAACCTGGTAATAGGTGAGCATCAATTTGAAATGGCTCTGAGTTCTGGTTCTGGTGCATGCGTGATACGTTTTAGGAGAACTGGATCAGGCAGCAGTAGCAGAAGAATTTAAAGGTTGCTTCATGGACCTGAGGAAAGCTTTCTTCCTTCTGAATGGATCAGGGGCGCCTCTAGTGGCCAAGGTGCGGCTCTACAACGGGACTCTGGTGTTGTGTTCTTTATGACTGTTCAAAACCACCGCATCTCATGTCCACTGATCTGTGTTCATGTTCTGACATCTGCTTGTCCCACAGGCTCAGGCTCTGCTGCGCTGGCATCAGATTAACAGGTTCTGTGGTGCTACGGGTCAGCCGACCCAACGGAACCAAGCTGGTAGTCAGAGAGTTTGCAGCAGCAGCTCCATCATCTACTACCCAAAGGTCCAAAACTTCTCGGGTTTCTGACTAAAGGCTGAAAAGTTTTAAACTTGTTTCTGAGTGCTTTCAAGTTGGTTACTGACTGGTCCTCATCTAATTTCTGATCCTTGTTTAGTTTAGGACAGGCTTTAATCTGCATTCTTGTTAGTTATTTCACCGTTTTATCTCTAGATTCTAACCATGTTTTTCTGACTGGTCTGTGCTTCTGATAGGTCATGTGACTGTTTTCCTGCAGATGTCTCCAGTGGTGATCGTCCTGGTGTCTGATGGGAAACGGTGTTTGTTGGGCCGTCAGTCATCCTTCCCTCGGGGGATGTACAGTGCTTTGGCCGGTTTCTGTGACATGGGTCAGTCTCACCTGTGTCACCTGTTTACCTGGAGTACAGATCCACTCTACGGTGAACCCATAATGTGTGTGTGTGTGCGCGCGTGCGTGTGTGTGTGCGTGTGGCTGATCTCTGCAGGGGAGACCCTGGAGGAGGCTCTATGTAGGGAGGTGGCAGAGGAAGTGGGTGTAGAGGTCCAGAGCATCTCCTACAGCTCCTCACAGCACTGGCCTTTCCCACACAGCTCTTTCATGCTGGGCTGCCATGCTACTGTTAGCCCCGCCCACACTCAGGTAGCACCCACTTATACAAGTTCCAGTTCAAGGTTTACATGAGTACATCTGAGACAGGGGAGTCAGGATGTGCATGTGTAGATTTTATTCAGTAGAAACGTCAAATAGGACAAACTCTTCAGGGTCTAGAAAGGTAGAAAACCCAGGACTGAGTGCTGAGGGACACCTGGACTGCAGGTACCTGCTATATGTAACAAATACTTATGACCTGTTGTGGTGTCTTGTCCAGCTGAATGTTGACCTCTCTGAGCTGGAGGACGCCCGCTGGTTCACTGTGGAGGAAATCTCCAGCGGCCTGCAGGTGAAGACCACACCAAGGAGAGGTGACCCTCCCAGCTTCTGGCTGCCTCCCAAACACACTCTAGCCAATCGCCTCATCACAGAGTGGAGAGACCGCCAGCGAAACAGCAAGGACTCAATGGGATGAACATGGCAAGATGCCGACAACTTGTGCCTGACAGAGATTCATGAAAAACAGTCACAGGAACACATTCCTTGTGTGTTCCTCATGTTCCTGAATCATAATCCCAACCTGTGTGCCTGAGACTAACTGAGACACTAGCTGTTCTACTGGTAATTCATAATCTCAAAACCTTTCACACATTTTGAAACAGAAGTTTCAACGTTTTTCTCGCAAATCTGACATTGTTTGATATTTCTGAGTCTCCTGAGCAGAACCAGAACATCTGCTGTTTCTGTAAAGAAGATTTAAATCCTTTTTCATGTGGAGAGAATTAAATGGCTTGAATAGGAGGGTGTCAGTGATCCAATTTTTACTCTTATTATTGGAATGTATAGATAGACCTCATTTACATACAGTGCTGCTTCAACAGTAAAAATAAATAGGAATCATGATTGGATCCAAACTGTTTCATGAAAAAGCGAGGGGGGCATGTTCACCCTGTCCACCCCATAAATAATGTCCTTGCTTACATTTTATTTTCAACACACAAAAATGTTCATTAGAGAAATCTGAGTTTTTCATGCAGGCTGAACATGATAGTACTCTCCTACACCTATCTGCTGCATTAGCTTCTAACAAGAAAGGCTGTTCTTGGCTTAGCATCCAGGAAACAGCAGAGAACGTCTCGGCTAGTAGAAGCTAACTGTTAGGACTACTCCACCACACAGCAGAACTCCTCCAGGCTTGTTATTTTTGGAGATAAAACATCAACATTGCAAGTCAGTGGTAGAGTTGCTTTGCGTCTGCGGAGAGATGTCCAAATATTAGGAATTAAGACTCCAACATCTGCCGTCTGCAGCTCAGCTGTGATGTAGCTCACTGCTAGTTCCTGAAGCTGGTGCACCGTTATCCCCCCCCCCCCCCCCCTCCAGGAATATTAAAAAAATATATATATTTTTTTAATTTTATTCTTGACTTATGTTTTAGTTCATGTATTTTATGTTTAAATAATTTATGTTTAAACATCAGTAAAGTTGGAAAATGTCAAAGAACTGGAATAAAGGTGAGAACAGGAATGAGGGATCCAGATTTTATTAGAATGTTTTATGTCATGGTTTATATCTGCGTTTCAGATTAAGCTGGTTGGGGTGAGGTTCAGACTGGTGGCATTATGAACAGAGAAAAGTAATCTCAAGTATTTATTCATCATATAGAGTCAAAATATACCCAAATGTTATTTTATTTCACAAGCAATTAAAGTTTTAAAGAGTAAATCAGTCCAGTCCTGCAGCTGGCCTGGTCCGATGGGTAATGTGGGTATAGGTAGGAAAAATGTTCCTTGGTTGTCTGCTGCGGTCTGATTTTTCTCTGTTATAAACTGTATGTTATTGTCATGTGTTAAGTGCCTCTTGTGACTGTGCTGCAAATCCAGTTGCCAAATTTACTCATTTACTACGCCTGTTTGCAAAGAATTTTAGCCTGGCAAGCAAGACTAAATAAATATATTATTAAACTTTGCAAAGCAATAATTTTGTTTTGTTCACTTGGCTAAAAAATTTGAGAACAGAGAAACTTTTCAGACTAAAACTAATCCCAGACTCACTGCTGATGTAGCTAAATTGGTCCTACACACAAAACACAAATAACTCACAGCACATCATTTCTGAAGTTGTATGGTTCTCCATCATGGTGAACTGCGATGGAAAACAATGTGGGAGAACAAGGAGTCAAATACTGACCTCAAAACAAAACTTTTGTTGTTGTTTTTTTTTTCTGGTAGAATGTTGTTGCATTAATGTTCTTTTCTGAAAGAACCCGATTTGAAATTTAGATTGTTGTAAAAAAAAGTTCAATAAAGATTATTGAAAAAAAGGCGGAATCTTTTTCAACCGGAAGCAGGTCCAGTCGGAGCAGAAGTGAAGAACACACCGTAGTTTTGAGTACCAGCAGTGTTTTCCTGAACACTATTCTCCTCTTTTTGACTCCTGCTTTCCTCTGGAGTGGTTTTCTAGTCGTTACCCAAGCCTCCGGGTGTAGCAGCGTCTCTCGGAGCTCAGCTGATGCTCCGCGGGGTATCGGGCTGTTCTGCCAGATACCGTCCGCCTTCAGCACGGCCAGGATGAGCTTTTCTGCGGCCATGCACACCCAGCTGGCTGCCGTCATGGAGGCTCTGGTCCACGCTGCGGTGGCGGAGCTGAAGAAGCTGGTGGAGGACAGCTCAGTGTTCAGGAGCGGGGACCCCGGGAAGCAGCATCCACAGACGGACACTCTACAGGCAGAGAGCCGGGAGAAGATGGTGAGAAGTGTAGGGGCACCGGGGAAATTCCCAGCGTCTCCTTCTGAAACTTTTATTTTATTGTAGTTTTTTATTAGGGAAATATTACTTGGTATCTACATAGATCAATAATCTTTCCCCATTGATACACGTTAAAGTGAAAATAATTAACGAATAAACACTCCTAACATTTAGCAACACAATTCTTATTGGGCCGCCTCTGTGGCAGCGCTACTTGTCGTACCCATAACATGTGACTTGCCAGGTTCAGTTCGCTTCCATCATGGAGACTCTGGGAAATGAAGCTCTGGGGAAGATCCTGAACATCGTGGATGACGTGAGACTTGCAGCGGAGCTCCATGTGGGGAGGAACAGCAGGAGGCCTCAGACCAGCGTCCTCAACATCCTCAGCAATGCAAACGTTGGTATGAACACAAGCCATTCCCCAGACCTGTCACACACCTCTTAAAAGGTCTGTAGTGCAATGACATCACGCTAACTGTGATTATCTCTCAGCAGAGCTCGAACACTCATACGGATTCAGACACCAGAGCTGTGATGCAGACCAACAGGCCCAGGTGGGATTGACTCGTGTGTGTGTGTGTGTGTGTGTGTGTGTGTGTGTGTGTTGTTTTTATTGACCTCATGGATGTTGCGTCATTTCAGGCTCAAGTGGAGGAGTCGGTCCGGGAGGCACCGTTTATCCTAGCGGTCACGGTTAAAGACGAATGTGGAAATATTGACCTGGGAGCCATCGCAGAGAGTGAGCACCTGATCTATGTTTGAGATCAGTCCTTCTGATCACTCTGAAAAATTATCTTCTTCCTCACTCTGTTTTTGTCTTCATGGGGTGTTATGACTATATCTACTTCAGAATACATTCTTCTAATCAAAAAGCTTTTTTTTTCATATGGAGATATGTTTCTGCTCTTCTTCAGAACTTTCTCTGTTCTGTGTATCCAGAACATCTGGAGCGACAGATTTCAGCTAAAACCCAGTTTGTGTTTTCTTGTAGGAGCTCACATTGAATCTGCTCCACCTCCATCTGGCTTGCAGCAGTCAGTGACAGAGATCTCCACTCCACCGGATTGTAATCAGCAGCAGACTTCCTGTAAGCTCCTGTCTTGCTTGGTTTGTGGGAAGTCCTTTTCATCTCAGAGCAACCTAAAGTCTCACCAACTCATCCACACGGGCGAAAAACCATTCGCCTGCAGCGTCTGTGGCCGATCCTTCCGCCAGCGACAGAGCATGCAGAGCCACATGCGCACACACACGGGCGAGCGTCCGTTTGAGTGTTTGGAGTGTGGTAAATGTTTCTCCAAACAAGCGCAGCTCAAGACGCACGCCATCATTCATACTGGGGAGAAGCCGTATGGCTGCGATGTTTGTGGTCGACGCTTCAACCTGCTGCAGAACCTTCACCGCCATGCCATCACCCACACTGGTGAGAGGGTTTTCATCTGCAGCGTGTGCGGTAAAGGCTTCACACGCGCAGTCACACTCAAGTCACACCAGCTCATCCACACTGGCCAGAAGCCCTTCGAGTGTGAAGACTGCCCCAAATCTTTCCGGCATGCTGTCAACCTGCGGAACCACCAGAGGATCCACAGCGGCGCGCGGCCATTCAGCTGTGACCTCTGTGGGAAGACATTCCGGCAAGCAGTGAACCTGAAGATCCACTGCAGAGTTCACACCGGCGAGCGGCCCTTCGCCTGCCGCGAGTGTGGCAAGACATTCAGCCAGCAGAGCAGCTTGATCTCACACAGACGCACACACTCCACCGACAAACCGTTTCCCTGCAGCTCCTGTGACAAGAGGTTCAATAACGCCAACAGCCTCAAGTTGCACGTTCGCATTCACACTGGAGAGAAGCCATACGCCTGCGAGATCTGTGGCAAGACATTCAGCCAGGGCAGCCACTTGAGGACACATAAGAGGCATGTTCACGCTGGTGGCAAACAGTTCATCTGTGACAAGTGCGGGAAGAGATATGCAGACCAACGCAACCTCAAGCTGCACAAGTGCTGCTTTGCTTGAACCACACAGAAGGGACCGGAGAGTCAAAATCACCCTCGCCTCAAAGGAGTCTGGATCTGCTGGGACATCACATCACAGCTCAAGTTACCTTCCAGTTTTATCACAGGATGGTGAATTATCAAACCTCATAATGACAGAAGGGGTGGGCCCTCAAACCCTTTACAGTTTAAATATGAGCAATTATTGCCATTGAGGCTTCCATCTTCAGTGTCGTCCTATTAAAACACTGATTGGTGTGAGCCTTGAATTTAATTTAATTTTATGCTTCCTTCGAATGTGTTTTGTAACTTTATAGATTCTATTTTTCATGTTTGAGAAATATGAATAAAAGTTGAAGCTCATCTGTCTGTTTTTTTTATGAACACTGTTTTAGCCAGGATGTCTGCCCACATGTTGATCAGAATAAACCGTATCAGTCTACCTCATGTTACATCATCACACAATTTATAAAGAAGTAACAGATGTATATATTCAACACTGGAACCAGTATTTTACCAGCTTTTTTCAAAATTCACCTCATTTTAAAACCTGTAATTTAATTAATAAGACAGCACATACGGCAAATCTTACCTCGGATGAATGGAGCTTTGAACAATCAAGTCTTAAGTCACCTTCCAAACCAGCATGTCCCAAACAGGTCAACATCCTTGAAGACTGCAGACTTGATGGACAATTTTGGAAAAACAACAAAAATTGTTTTTTTGTTTTTTTTGTTTTTGTTTTTTACTTACATTTGATTGGCTTTATTTGACTGGATACTTTTATGGATGTTTCTTTGTGATCAGTCTTGAGAGGATAGATGGATAGGAAGTTTTTCTTAGTGACATGTGTGGTGTGGAAGCGTATTGCAATCATCCCAAAAACAGTTTTTCCTATATGATCAAGCTCTGTTTATTAGAAAACATTGCTTTTTAATGTAATTGAGTTATCTTGTTAAATTGGAGAACAGAATTTCTTTTTTTTAATTATTTTAAAAGTTTTTTCGTTAATTTAGAAATACAGCTTTTTAATTTTATGGGAGTGATTGCAAAAAAGGTAAATATACTGGTAAAACCTCATATTCAGTTGTTTTATGTGGACTTATTTGTACATTTATTTACATAGTTTAATTTTGTGTTTTATGTTGTCCTCCCGAGCGCTGGGGGCGCTGTTCTCTCCACTCAACTATACTCTGGTTTAGCGTTTCCGGCTGTTTCTGCATCTGTGTACTACACACGTGTGGCTGTAACCAACGTATTTCTTGTTAAAGTACATGAACCCACGTTCTCGCTCAGGGGAAAAGATTAAAGCTTTTACCTGCGAATATTTCCTGCCGCCATGGGCCCGGTAAGAAAACCCCAGCTCGCTTGTTTGCCTCTCTTTCTGGTCTAGTGTTGTAACAGAACCAGTTCGGTTAAGAGGAGAAAGGCTTGATTTAAACAAACTCGTGGATTTACGTTTGTTAAATTGGTGTTTGAGTTTGGTCTGGCTGCTAATGGTAACCAACGTGTTTACTTATTGGTGCTGCTTCATGGTTTGTTTTCCAAACAGAGGGCTCTGTTTACTTTTGCGTTTCATACTAAAACAAAAGTCTTTGGGCCCCACTAGATTAGGGTGACCATATTTCCATTTCCAAAAAAGAGGACAGGGGATCTGTGCCGATACTATTGGACTTTGTATGGAAAAGAAAAGTTCATTATATTAAAAAAATCTGTTTTAATCAATTCAGCAAATCATGGAGGTTTAAATTTTATAGACTTCTCAACCCTCAATAATACTCTGAAAATTAACTGGATCAGAAATGTTTTACTTAATCCTTCATCTATATGGAACATCATCCCCTCTTTCATTTTCTCTAAACTAGGTGGTCTAAAATTTCTTTTGATTTGTAATTATAATATTCCAAAAATCCCCATGAAGCTTTCAAACTTTCACAAGCAGAAGTTGTTGGCATGGTCCCTCATTTTTAAGCACAATTTCTCACCACATACTTGTTTTATTTGGAACTCACCAAAAGAAAGTCTGTTTATTGAAAACTGGTTTGATAATAATGTTATTCTTGTTAACCAATTAGTAAAACCTAATGGTCAATCTTACACTTTCTGAATTTACAGAAAAGTATCCTGTAGTGGTTTCTCCTAGGAAGTTCACGATCGTGTTGAATGCAATACCTTCTGGTATCAAAATGCTGCTAGCAGGGTCCTCTTTTCTGGATGGTTTGGTGACTTGTACTGACCTCTCTCAAACATACGTTGGTAAAATTTGCTTTTCTCCAAATAAATCATGCAGTAAATCTATCAGAGGGCTTTTTCAACAGCTTTCCATCTCCTCTTCCTATATTATTTCGTTTTGGACCTCTGCTGTAAATAATATTCCATGGAATAAAACTTGGCTTTTACCCCACAGATATATTTTAACTAATAAAATTAGAGAGGTTTCTTTTAAAATATTACATAACTGTTACCCTGTTAAACATTTTATTTCCCAAAGATTTAAAAAGGACATTAACACCTGCTGTTCTTTCTGTAACAATCATCCTGAAACAATTACTCACCTGTTCTGGACCTGTACAAATACTTCAAAATTCTGGTCTGATGTCTTAGATCTTCTGCAGCAAAAGGTTCTTCCTGAGGTCTCCTTCTGTTTGAAACATGTTATTTTTGGTTTTTTTGAAGACAAAGAGAGTAATAGAATCTACATACTGAACCTAATTTTTATTTTAGCTAAATATTATATTCATAAGTGTAAATATACCCATGTCAGTCCTTTTTTACTTGTCTTCATCTGTGAAATAAAAAAAATATGCTGATTCTATTAAAAATGTAAAAGCTATAAAAACCTGGAATCTACTTGAAGGATACGACTCGTACAACTGGTAACACGTTTTCCCCCTCTATTCCTTGTAATATCTGATTGTGCTCTGTATTCTTATCCTTTGGACACTGTTCACTTTGGCCCCTTTGTTTGTTTGCTTGTATTGTTGTGCTTCGTTGCTATGTAAGATACCCAATTTCACTAATAACGTTTGTTAAAAAAAATCTGTGCCTGTGACGTCACACTATGGCAACGCCACACAAACCACGCTGGGACCCATTTTTTTTGTAAGAACTAAATTAATATCGGATTCTGGCAATAAAGGGGCTCTAAAACAATTCATATGTAAATATTTAGCATATTTATTGCAAAATCTCATTTTTCTGCTTTAGTGCTGCAACAAGGTTTTATTAATAATAAATCATTCTACCTTTTGTTTTACTACAGCATCGGTAAGCTTCCTGTGCACAGATTATTAAGGATGCTTGTTTCAGCTGTGAGATTAGACGATAGGGTCAATGAAAAAATAAGTTGTCACATACTCCATGGAAACTTTCAGAGAATCCACAAATATTGGCTTTTAAATGGTTTTGTTACTTTTTGCAAGTTTAGAAAAGCAGCAGATGCGACAGCATGTCTGATAATTTAGTTTTTCATCTGATAATGTTAGAACATGTCAGCGATGTCTGAGGAGCTTTTACAAACACTGTATAACTAATACTCCTGGACAGAGTATGAATTACACAGAGGCTTCTGGGGAGCCCAGTTTTTGGGGGGTGTTCTGTTTTGCCTTGGCCCCCAAAATGCCTTGAACAGGGTATCCGCGGGTCCTTAAAAAGTCTTAAATTTGGCTCCCTTAAACCTGCAGATACCCTGCTTGAAACGGCCCTGGGTGTGTGACTGAGTTTTGAAGGTGATCTGATTTGTATCAGATGTATAAATATTACATGTGTATAACGTATTGTTTTATACAGGTAAAAACGTGTAGTGGAGATAAATCTACCTACATTTTACTTTTCAACACTTTGTTTTGTTTTCGATGTTGCGTCAGTGAGGTGAAATCACCGCAGCACAGGTGATGAGCTCCGCAGTAGCAGAGCGCTTCAGGCACAAATAAGACAGAAAGTAGAGAATATGAGAGGACATGAACGATCGTGGGTTAATGATAGTTTTTTGGTTGCGCCACTTTGAGAATGGACCGTGTGCTGGACGCAGCAGCCTGGAGCGCTGCGCACCAACGATCAGCGCTCTGCCACTCTCGGTGCTCTCTGCTCAAAAGAACCCCCGGTACACTGAAAGTCCATGAATGATGTAATATAGGTAGAAAAGTTTTCTCCGGCTCTCCCTGGATGTGTAGGATCCCCCATAATTCGATCCCTGCTCCTGGATGAAAAACCGGACATTTTCATCAATACAAGACCCCCCCCCCCGGACGCTCCGGACAGAGAGTGAAAAGTGGACATGTCCAGGGTAAAAATGACATATGGTCACCCTACACTAGATCCTTCCACAGCTGAAATGTTCTGGGCGGATCCTCATCCCAAAATAACAATCTAAGAAAAATAATTTTTACCAAAGATGAGGAGCAGACAGGGTGGAATAAATAAACTAAGTGCTTTTTGTTTGTTTTCTACCTTAAATGGGCGATGCATTTCTGGAATATAAACCAAAGACCTTAAGGGCAGGTTAACAGGAGGTTGTTAAAGCTGCTCTGCTGATGTCACATTGTGCTGTATTTGTGTTGTGACGGTGACCTTCTCCCTCCCTGCAGCCTCGTTCAAAAAAGCGGCGGCCAACGTTCCGCCGCCTGCTAAAGACAAGCGGGGTGAAACTAGAGAACAAGCTGAAGAACCGTCAGTTCAAGCAGCAGAATGCTGACAAGAAACAGCGGAAAGATCAGAAGAGAATGCGGCAGGCGATGAAGGGCTCTACCCTGCAGACGCCCCGCCCCCTGGAGACGTACAGGAAGCGACCAGGTGAGACTTCTTCCAGTCCAGTTTGACACAGTGGCAGCCATGTTAATGAGGAACGATCAGTTACAAGCAGCAAGGAGTCCGTACATCGGTAAATCTGTTCTTTCCTACCTGACAGAGGAGGAGGAGCAGGAGGAAGAGTTCCTGGAGAGTTTACCGACAGACATGATGGACGAAGACGACCTTCAGCAGATGACCACCATGGCTCGGAAGGCATCGTTCATTACCAGAGACCTGTCGTCATGGTGACACAGCAAACACTTCTTGTCATGGTTACACAAATACACACCAGTGGCCTGAAACACACAAACACGGATGGATATGTTATACTTAAATAAATCCAGATGTTTCTGGATGGATTCATGGACATTTCTCTTGTACACCCCAATCAATGGGGAATTGATTATCCTCTTTGCATGATCAAAAATCACAAGAATGACGCGAAACTTTGGAAATGTGAGGATTGTCTTTGGAAACTTTAAAGTAGCCGATGAACCAGAGCTGTTGGAGTCGTTGAAAGTACTTTTTGAATGACTTTCATCTGTTATGGTTGCAAGGTTGCACTCCTGAATGTGACTGAGTGAGCTGACATCGACTGGGGTGTGTTTGTTTTGCATGGTGGGGCATCCTAGCGGGCCGGTTCATGGAGGGAAGAAGCGGAGCTCTGACGTGGTTCGCAGCTACGAGAAGGTTCCGAGGAAGATTGCTAAAATGCAGGAGAAGGAGGTGATCCATCTGCTGCCAATCAAGGACAAGAGTGGCGTCATCCCACAGAGCATGGAGAGAGGTAACACTGTGCACACACACGTTACTGATCAGCTGATTGATCGCGGTGAGTAAGTAATCAGAAATGTCACTGCTGATCTTTTTGTTTCCAGTTGTAGAAAAGCAGCCAGAGCCTGAAGAGGAGGACGATGATGCAGATAAGCCTGATGAGGAGGAAAGTGGTAAGAGATTAAAAAACAAACTTGTTGATCATGAATTGTTCACGGTGGGTTGAGAATAAATGAAACCGCAAAGGGGTGTTGCTGTCTTCAATGTAAGCACAGGGTATCCGCGGGTCCTTAAAAAGTCTTAAAAAGTCTTAAATTTGCTTTTCCAAATTTAAGGCCTTGAAAATCCTTAAAAATGACAAATAATCCTTAAATACAGTTTCCAAAGGTCTTACATTACCAAAGACCCAATAAACAAGATTATTTTATTTCTATAAAATTTTTGTGAATTTCTAGTTTGTGTTCAGCATTTTTTGTGTACGATGTTGGCGTAAGCGGAACCGTACACATTCAGTTGGTTTTGAAAGGGGGCTATTTTTAGATGAGCACATTAGCTGGTTAAGCTAGCGGGAGCTTGCGCCATGGGGAAGTGCAAGTTTAATGGTATCTAGATGGCTAATCCCATGTTCACAACGTGGTTAGTACCAGTTCCAGGCAATAGCTGGAAATTATAGCTTATATTTAATTGAAAAAAAAATTGCTTAAATTTGGTCCAAGTGGCATTAAAAAAGGTCTTAAAAAGTCTTAAATTTGGCTCCCTTAAACCTGCAGATACCCTGTAAGCAGGAACAATAGAAAAGGTCCGATATTGTTGAAACTCTGGTCAAAGCTGTGGATGATTTCAGGATTCAAGGTTATTTAATTGCCATTTTACAGGAATACAACGACACTTGACATTGCACTTGCCTGAAGACCGCCCTCATAAGGATGTAGTAAGAAGAGTGTGGCAGAAATCAATGAACACAAAATCTAAATCGCGATAATCCTTCAACTGTCTCAGTAGGAAACAAAACAGATGAAGCTCAAATTTAACAGATGTCTTTTGCTCATGTGTACATTTCTTTTCAAAGGAGAAAAACTTGAAATAAAGAAAAAACACAAATTCCCACAGAAGTTTGGTAGATGGTGAACAAAGACGGTCTGAGTAAACCTTTAGTAAAATAATCAGTGCTCATTATACATTCTCTAAAATAAATTCCATTGTCTTCCCAAAACCTGCATGTCTGTATGTATACGCATGTCTGTATGTATACGCATGTCTGTATGTATACGCATGTCTGTATGTATACGCATGTCTGTATGTATACGCATGTATGTATGTATACGCATGTATGTATGTATACGCATGTCTGTATGTATACGCATGTATGTATGTATACGCATGTCTGTATGTATACGCATGTCTGTATGTATACGCATGTATGTATGTATACGCATGTCTGTATGTATACGCATGTCTGTATGTATACGCATGTCTGTATGTATACGCATGTATGTATGTATACGCATGTATGTATGTATACGCATGTCTGTATGTATACGCATGTATGTATGTATACGCATGTATGTATGTATACGCATGTCTGTATGTATACGCATGTATGTATGTATACGCATGTCTGTATGTATACGCATGTATGTATGTATACGCATGTATGTATGTATACGCATGTATGTATGTATACGCATGTCTGTATGTATACGCATGTCTGTATGTATACGCATGTCTGTATGTATACGCATGTCTGTATGTATACGCATGTCTGTATGTATACGCATGTATGTATGTATACGCATGTCTGTATGTATACGCATGTCTGTATGTATGTGGACCGAGCCGTGTTTTTTTGGACAAATGCAAAAGAGCCGCTTCATTTATTTATTTATTTTCTCTGCAAAATATTTATAGCTTATTCATATTAAAATGCTGTTAGGAGTCTCGAAAAAATATTTTTAGCCAGCTTGTTTTGCGGATTTGGCATTGTAGCTAAGTTTTTTTCTTGAAATAATCTAAAGTGATTGCTCATCAAACCCGGATAAGGATGGGCGTTGCAACAGCAGTAAAAATAAAAATATCCACCGTAGTGTGGATGAGCGACTCTAGCTGTCGTCTCAGCTCTGTACCAAGCACCATTGATTAAGGAGCTATTCTGTGATTTTTCATGCGTTGTGTGGAGTGTTTATGATTGCGGTGTCCTCCTGTGCAGAGGGGGCATCATCGTGTTACGTGGGACTGACCCCAGAGCAAAGAGAGCAGCTTAGAAACCAGAAGTTAAACGGGAAGAAGCACTGCATCGCCAACCTGGCGTCAGCCATCATTTCAGACCCCATGAACAATGTAAGTGGGCCACTGGTCTCAGGTTAGACTGGTGGGATGATACTGATGCTAGTTGTGGTGGTCATGTGATGTGTGGCAGATGAAGTGTGTGAAGGAGCTGCGGGGTATGCTGATGGAGGCTGATCCCAGCGTGGCGGTCTCAGTCAGGAAGATGGTGATGGTTTCTCTAATGGAGATCTTTAAAGACATTGCTCCCACCTACAGAATACGACCTCTGACTGCTGAAGAGAAGAGCGTCAAGGTAGCTACGATTAATCCACGTCTGTCCTGGACGAGTGTGTCCTGTGAGGTGTTTGTGGTGAAACTGTTTCCTTTGGTTTGTTGTGCTGCAGGTGAAGAAGGAGACAAAACAGCTCAGAGAGTTCGAGGAAGGTTTGGTGAGTCAGTATAAGTTCTACCTGGAGGATCTAGAGCAGACCATCAAAGGTATACCACCACAACAGCAACACCGCTTCACCTCACCACTCACGCAGACTCACAGCTCACCGTCCTCCTCAGATTGGAAGCAGAAGAAGAGGAAACGCAGCCAGGCGGTAGGCCTCCAGTCTTATCTCAGTCTGGCCGAGGTCGCCGTGCGCTGCCTGAGTGAGCTGCTGCTGGCTCTGCCACACTTCAACTTCCACAACAACATCGTCGTCATCCTCGTACCGCTGATGAACGACCCGACAAGGAAGGTGAGACATGCCGGACCTGTGCCGACCCACCCGAACAAGTCTGACAAGCTCAGGTAGATGCATACAACGATGCGTGCTGTGATTCAGGCGAGCGTTTGTTACAGGTGTCTGACATGTGCTGTGACGCATTCAAGAAGCTGTTCCAACAGGACAAAGGGGGCGTGGCCTCTCTGGCCACTGTGCGAGTTATATCTGGCCTTGTAAAGAGCCTAAATTACAATGTCAGACCTGAGGTACCAAACGAAATGCACGCGAACCTCACCAGATTCAGTTTCATTCAGGACTGTTGGTCTCAGTCCTTCCTCTTCCCCCTCAGGTGCTGCAAACGCTGCTCAGTTTGAGGATCAAGGAGGTGGAGATGAAGAAGGACCTGGAGGCTTCTGCACCAAAAAAGAGGTTTATGACAAACAAAGAAAAGAAGAAGAACTTATCCAGGATGCAGAGGAAGGTAAACACTGTTGGTGTTCAGTCACAGTTTGTTTTTGACTTATGGGAGTCAAAGAGATTGATGAGTGCAGAGTCTGCTGGTCACATTGGGGTCACTTACTGTGCGTTTGGCTCAGGACGATCTAGAACTCCGATTATAAATGAATGTCAGTCATTTACAGATAAACAGATCTGTTTGAATTCTTAGAATCAGAGTCTCATCCCTTTACCAACAAGAGGGCAGTAAGAAAACACAAGTCTGTGTGTTTGTGTGCAGTGGAAAAAGGCAGAGGAGAAGCTGGAGAAGGAGCTTTTGGAGGCAGAAGCTTCCGAGAGCAAAGAGAAGAAGATCAAACTGGTGAGATGACATTTCAGAATCTAAAAATATGCCCAAGTTGGTCCCAGAGCGTGTATAAACCTAGCTCCTGTTTCTGCTCTTCAGCACACAGAGACCCTGAACATCGTCTTCCTCGTCTACTTCAGGATCCTGAAGAAAGCGCAGAAATCCATTCTTCTTCCTGTGGTTCTGGAGGGACTGGCCAAGTATGAAGCACACTTTCTCTTCTGTTGTGGCGTTGTTGTGGTGCTGTAGCGCTGACTAATGCCACTTCCTGATAGTTTTGCTCACCTGATCAACCTGGAATTCTTTGATGACCTGCTGAATGTACTTCAGAACCTGATCCAATCAGGAGTGAGTATTTAACCTGACCACCCCCCAATAGTTTCATGATAGTTTAGTGAATTGACTGATTGATTCATTGATCTCTTCAGGATCTGACCAATCGGGAGTGTCTCCACTGCATCCAGACGGTCTTCACCATCCTGTCAGGACAAGGTCAGAGGAGTTTTTCTGTCTCTGTAAGGACCACGGGGGTGGTGTAGTGAGGACAGGTTGTCTCATCTTTACTTTGTGCTACTTTTGGAGGTTTAGGCTAGTTTTAGATGTACAGTCGTCACACCTGAATAAGGTGTGGGTTTGTGTGGCAGGTGATGCTCTGAACATCGACCCTCTGAACTTCTACTCTCAGCTCTACAGAATTCTGCTGCGGCTACATGCTGGTTCGTTTACATCTCAGTACAACAACCAGTCACCTTGTCGTTACACGTCACATGGCTGTTAACAGTTCTGTTTCTCAGGGACTCCTAACTATGACATCATCATCGTGCTCAGGTGCTTGGATGCTATGCTGACCCGCCGCCGTAAACAGGTGTCCCTGCAGAGGGCGATGGCCTTTGTTAAACGGCTGAGCGTGCTCAGTCTGCATGTCCTGCATAACTCCAGTGTAGGAATCCTCGCTGCCAACAGAGCTACCATGCACGTGAGTGTGTGTGTGTGTGTAAGGGAGTTTGTATGCGTGATGGGGAGGTTAATCATTTAGCTAAAACTTGAATGAATAAGAGGACTGTTGGTTTCTGACTTTTTTCTCACTCAATTTAATGGAGGGGTTTTTTTTTTTCCAGTCCTTTCCAAAGTGTGATTTCCTGTTGGATAATGAGATTCAAGGCAGCGGCTTCTACTTACCAGAACTGAATGAACCTGAACACTGCAATGCTCAGAACACTGCACTGTGGGAACTGCACCTACTGCAGGTGCACACACACACACACACACACACACACACACACACACACACACACACACACACACACACACACACACACACACACACACACACACACACACACACACACACACACACACACACACACACACACACACTTTAAGCATGTAAATACGTGAATGTAACTAGTATTATAATAGTTCCCTTCCTGTATGTGTTTTCACAGAGACATTACCATCCAGTCGTTCGGAGGTTCGCCGTTCATCTGAGTCGTGGAGCTCCTAGCGAGGGAACGGCGTCTCTCAGTGTGGATCTAAGTCGCAGGTACAAACACAGCCCCTTCTTAAAGGAACAGTACACCTTTTGTTTTACACACACCGTGCTGTGGTTTAATTTTTTACTGACAGTGTCAGCAGCTTTGACAGCTTCCTGTTAGTAAGTAACTTCCTTATTTGTTTTCTGAGCTATTTCCACCCCTGTCTGTTCAGGTCACCACTGGAGCTGTTTGAAGACTACAGTCTCAAAGATATGGCCTTTAACCCTCCAGTCGCACCGCCCGGGTCCAAAAAGAAGGTGAGAAAATCAAACACACCTTGTGCTTGTTTATTTAATCAGTAAATTAGTTTTGACTGAAGATTTTCTGGTTGATGTTTTTTAGGATTTTTTAATAACACCACAACATTTCAAACACTTAACAACAACCTTCTTGTTTATAACATGTTATGAATAACCTACCCTTGCCACCTTCACCTTTGTGTCCATCGGAGGTTCGCCGTGTCCATGAGAAGCTAACGTTTGCATTGCACGTAGTTGATGCTTGGGGGGATGAACACTGGCGTGTCTGTTGCCGCTGCTCTCTGGCAAAACTTTTTTAACTTTTTAAACTATAAACTTTTAAACTTTTTAAATCTTTTTACTAGTTGTGCAACACTGGATGCTGCTTTTAATCAGTTCTCTTAACTATTATATTGACAACTGATGCTCGCTAGCATCTGCGGTCACTCAAATGGTTTGTTTGTGGCCGACGCTGGGTTCTGGGCAGATTCTTACCTGGCCCACTCGTCGTTCTCCTGTCCATGAGGAGTCGTGGATTTTCCAAACACTGCGTTGGTTTGCTGTTGGCTGGCTTCTTCTATCTCTCGTCCACCTGCCAGCAGGTGCTCACCTGCAGTACTCGGCTGCTGAACTTCTAAAACTCCGGCGCCACATCTCTATTCAGCAGCCTCCGCCTGGTTCCGACATCCCTCCTGTCATCGCATTCCAGCCCCGTCGGAGATACATTCATCGTGGATCACGTCAACGCTCAACTCACTGCAATACAACCGACTCCATACAACCCATCTGGATCTCCACTCGCCGCCGCTCCCGCACTCCCGTAAAATCACCCGGAATATAAACCACCATGTCCTCTCCAGCCTGCCCAGATCTGCTAACTCTTCCACCAAGAGGATGTCTACCGTGGTCAGCTGCGGTCTCCTCAACATCCGTTATCTCAGCAGCAAGGGCCGTCTCGTCAGAGACCTTATCCTGGACCACAATCTCGAATTCTTATTTTTGGTTGAAACTTGGCAGCAGCCAAATCACTTCATCCCTCTCAATGAGTCAGCTCCGCCGGGGTTTGTTTACATCTGTCAGCCTCGCGCTGCCGGCCGAGGCGGAGGTCTGGCGATATTTCACCACAAGAGTTGGAAACTGATGCCCGTACCTGCTGCCTGGACCATCTCCCACAACTTTAGCCACCAACTATCGCCCTCCTAAATATAACAAGGACTTTTAAAATGACTTTTCTAACCTACTGTCTTACTTTTCTTCCCTGTCTCAAAATATAATCATCCTGGGTGACTTCAATATTCATGGACAACATTAATGACACACTTTCTGAAGATTTTTTATCCTGCCTTGAAAGCTTCGGACTCCCAACAACACATTAACTTCCCAACCCACTGTAAAGGTCACATCCTGGATCTGGTCTGCTGCTCTGTTATCGCTCACACTGACTGTAAATCTCACCTTGTCCCATACTCCGATCATCTGCTCATCACCTTTAATATCAACCTGTCTCTGTCCAAAATTTTCATTCCTCACACTATTTCATTCCGTAATATCAAAATTATAAATGCTGACACTTTTTCTCTTAACATTAACACTCTTCCCAGTCCCGAAGCCAACTGTTCAGCTGATGATCTGGTCTACCACTACAACAGCAACCTCTCCACCCTTCTAAATAACCATGCCCCTTTGAAAACCAGATCTGTTTCATTCATCCTCTCGTCACCATGGTTCACCCCTGCTCTCCGTCAGCTCAAAGCTAAAGGACGTCAACCGGAAAGACTTTACAATAGAACTGGACTTGCCATACACAAAGAAATGTACTCCAATCATATAATGTTCTACAAGGACCATCTCTCATCAGCTAAATCTGCTTATTATTCTGGTTTAATTCACTCTAATCAAGATAATTCAAAAACTCTTTTTTTCTCTCTTGAACAATATCACAAAACCTCCCGACTCCCTCCCTCCGTCCCTATCTGCAATCCACTGATTTCTGTAACTCCCTCATGTCCTTATTGGTTTCAAAAATCACCGACATCCATCAACATCTAACTTCTCACTGTGCTTCTGTCTCCAAAGTGGACATGACTCCCCCCTCCCCACATCACTCAACTACATTTTCCACCTTCTTCCTTCCCTCAGTCCAAGACATCACTGAACTTATCCTCAAATCCAAACCCTCCACCTGTCAGCTCGATCCACTCCCTACAGTTCTTGTTAAAACCTGCCACTCTTCTCTTGCTCCTCTCATAACCAACATTATTCATCGCTCTCTAAGCTCTGCCATTGTCCCTCCAACCTTCAAAACTGCAATAGTTACACCTCTTCTGAAGAAACCTGGCCTAGACCCCACTAACTTCAATAACCTACGCCCTATTTCCATTCTACCCTTTATCTCCAAAATTCTTGAAAAATCTGTTGCCTCTCAACTTCACGACCACGTCATCACCAATAACATCTATGAACAATTTCAATCTGGCTTCCGTCCTCTTCACAGCACTGAAACAGCACTTCTCAAAATCACCAGTGACCTTCTCACTGCTTCTGACTCTGGTTTATTGTCCATTCTCATTCTTCTCGATCTCACAGCAGCATGTGACACCATCTCCCATAGCACTCTCCTCAGCAGACTGTCATCCATAGGTATCACTCACACTCCCCTTGCCTGGTTCACCTCCTACCTCTCTGGCCGTACACAGTTCGTTCAACTGAAGTCATATAAATCCAATCTTTTTCCTGTTTCTGCTGGTGTGCCCCTGGGCTCTGTCCTGGGGCCCCTTCTTTTCATTATTTACCTTCTCCCACTAGGTCACATTTTCCGTAAACACAATTCATTTTCATTGTTACGCAGATGACACCCAGCTCTACCTCTCAACCAAACCCTCAACTTCACTCCCACCTTCCTCCCTTACCCTCTGTCTCCAAGAAATCCATTCTTGGTTCACTTCCAACTTTCTCAAACTGAACAGTTCTAAAACTGAAGTCCTCCTGGTAGGCACACCTCATATTCTCTCTAAATCTAACAGTTTCCCCATCTCTATTGATAACTCAGCAGTTACTCCCTCCCCTCTTGTTAAGAGTCTGGGTGTCATCCTCGACAGCACACTTTCTTTTCAATTTCACATCAACAATATTACCCGGTTTGCTTATTTTCACCTGCGTAACATCTTCTGTCTCCGTCCATCACTTACTCCCTCCACTACTGCCATCCTCGTCCACAGCCTCATCACATCCAGGATTGATTATTGCATCTCACTTCTCATTGGTCTCCCAAGCACTTCCCTCCATAAACAGCAGCTTCTCCAGAGTGCTGCAGTACGTGTCATCACTAGGACTCCCATCATCTCACCACATCACCCCCATCCTGCAACAACTTCATTGGCTGCCCATTAAACACAGAATCAGTTTCAAAATTCTGCTCATCACATTCAAAGCTCTCCATAACCTGGCTCCATCCTATATTTCTGATCTCATTCACATCACCACTCCTGTCCGCGCACTTCGTTCCTCTACTGCTCCTCAACTCTCGGCTCCCTCCGCTCGCCTTGTCGCCATGGGGAGTAGAGCATTCAGCCGCTCTGCTCCCCACCTCTGGAATTCTCTTCCCCCGATCTACGCACAACCCACTCCCTCACACTTTTTAAATCAAAACTTAAAACCTACCTCTTCATACAGGCTTTTACCACAAGTTTTAATACATAGTTTTAAATTTTAGCATCCTAGTGTTTTTACATATTTCTGTACTGTTTACCTTGTTTTATTATTTTTCCCCCATTGTTGTAAAGTGCCCTTGGGTGTCTTGAAAGTCGCTGTCAAATAAAATACATTATTATTTTTATTATTATTATTATTATCAGTGAGTACATCCCACTTTAGGTTACCTATGAAGTCCATCCACGATGCTGTGATATCCAAAGTGGCATTATTGATTCTTGCGGACAGTATTTCCATATCGACAATGTCCATAAACACTTTATCTCAGAAGTCCTGAACCTACTCACTCACTCTTCTAAACATAGCTTTGTAATAATGGATCAGTTCTGCGCCACTAGCCCTACCGAAGGGGGAAGTGGAATCATAGAACTTAAAAAGTTCTAAAAAAGCAGCTTATATAAAGATGTTTTGCCCAAAGAACCAGCATGTTTACCTTTTCCGACTTCAACCTAGGACGTCGTGGACCCACTGCTTTACCTCTGTGCTGAAAACCTGCTTCAATGAGCTTTGGGGCTAGGTGCCACATCTGGGGACGACTGGTAGAATATTTCCACCAGAAGAGTCTGTTGTCTCTTAAAACAGGCTCCAAACAGAAGGCTGCTATTTTAGCTCCAGGTTGCTCCTGTGCTGATGGGGCGTACATCTTTTGTTTGCACAAATTACCTCATCAGTGTTTACCAGCCCTGCTTTTAGGTTTGCTTCGAACTCGAAATACTCCCAATCTGCAGGATTTGTTTTCCTTTTTAGACTCCAAGTCAGTTTGTGCATGAGCTTCCATTTTTCTCCCCGTCTCTCCCGGCGTGTCTCCTTCGTGCTGTCACGTGGTGACATAACACCAGCTGTGTACGGTTTTACCGTAGTGGCGCCCAAGCCTACTGGAGACATTCTGTCTCATCTAGCATGATGACTTAAATTATTTTACAGGTTATTTGCTCAGCTTTCTGACAGTCCAGCTCATACAGATGAGTGAGTGTAGCTGCATCTGACAATTTTTGCTCCGAGTGTGTTGGTTTTCATTTGTGCAGCGAGACTTTAAAACTCACCTCACTTTGCCCAGAGCTGGTTCTTTAAAAGTCGTAATAAATCCACTTTGTTGATGCATTTTAACAAGTTTCCTCCGTGCAGTATTTTTTTTGCAGGTTGCAAAGTAAACATCACTCTCACGGAGTAAAAGTTTTTTTTTTTTTTTTTTATTATTTTTAACATTTTTGCTGTTGTGCACCTGCATAGTGTGAGGGAAAGGAAAGGGAGACACAATGCTGCTCTCAGGGTCTCTGCGGGCTGCAAAGTATGAGCGACAGGTGATCAGCTGGGAAGATCAGGTCTGAAAGTTGTTGATCAGAATTTGTAGATCACTTTTTTTTTTTAAGGAGATCGGCCAATTTGGGTTGGTGGCCAAACCACACAGAACGCCTCTGCAGACTGCAGATTTTCTAATAATTGCGCATATTCTTCTTCCGGTCAGCATCATGGGTGGTGCCTCGGTCTGCCTGCATATCTGCAGCTCCCGTGTCGGGGGTGAACTTATTTTTTTTTAGATGTGTTGTGTCGCTCCCGGTGGATTCCTGGTGGGGTCTAGATTCCCTGGCTCTGTCGGGTCCCTGGCGGGGTTGGTCGCCTTTGGTTCCTGGGCTGCTGTGTTCCGAGCTCGGCCAGCTTGGGGGTGGGCGGCTGCAGGTGGGCCTGGGGGCTTGCCGTTGTTACCTCCCAGGGCTCTGGCGGCTGCTGGTTGCGACCCCTGCGGTAATCCTCTGCGCTTCTTGAGTGTGGGGCTGGGGCTTCACTGGAGCCCGTCTCCCTGGGGTTCCTGTGCTTCGGGGAGACCCCTGGATCTCTAGGGCTTGAAAATCCTCCATCTTCTACACATCTTTGGGGGTAGGTCTGTGGCCCCTCACACTCACTATTGGCCACTCCTATAGAGAAACCTTACATACACAAGTGCGTGTCCACACACAGGTGCTCACAAGGATGAACATGGGCATTTTCAACACATCACCTGTGTGGTGGCTGTGGTTGGCACTAAATTAACTATGAATTATTAATGTGTGTTTCTCAACAAAAATAGTTAATTTTATATATCCTCATGTTGTTGGCACAGTGATATTTTGGTCTTGTATTTTGTGTGTCCCCTTTTCTCTCTTTCTGCAGGTCTAGAAGCAGATTCTTGTTCATCAGTTAATGTTTATTTTGTGAACCCCCCTCCCCCACCTCTACTTTCTATCTCCCCCTTTCTCTTGCACTTCTGTCTCCGTGTCCGTTGGTATTGTAAACAACTGAAAATATTTCTAATAAAGTTTTGGTATCAGGCGTGGCACTATAGCAGAAGCTATAATGCTCCACCTGCAAGAATAGAACAGCAAGGCTCGTCTTTAGCATTCAGACAACAATTCTGATTGCTTCGCAGCTGGACAGGGCCTGGTAAAAACAACAAAAACAAAAAATAGGATTCTTCTTCTGGTAAACAGACTGGGAATCAAAATAAGGAATCAAAAAATTTTTTTGATTAAGCAATTCTGGGGAAATCTGACAATTAGTTCCAGTTCCAGTCGATGCTGTATGCCCAAATCTAACGTTAACTAGCATCAGTGCTGATTTGAAGTAACTGATCTTGTATCCTCTCAAGTTTATCTAAAACATGTGGAAGATAATTTTGAACATCTGCCATGCAAATGTAAGGTATCATCTGCATAATGTGAACTAGAATGTGACGAAGAACCAAAAGGACTGATGGTTGTTGCTAAACATCTTGTTTTTACTGAAGACCATGGGCATTTTTCCATGTTGAGTGGTGATGTTCACGTGTGTGTGTGTTTTAATTTTTGACATTCTGAGCAGTAATAGTGTTTAACTTTCTTGTGTTTTTAGGACCATTTTGTTGTCGGAGAGACGCTGCTGGACGGCGAGCTGCAGAAACTAGTCTCAAGGGTCCTGAGTTTGGTTGAGGACACACAGCCAGACTTTGCTGCAACATACACACACATAAGAGCACAGGACTGACACACAATCACTCATAATTTTCTGTTGGGGTCCCTGTCATTTAGTGACAACAGAATCAGAACGTCACAAATAAAAAGATGTACCAAACCAATCCAGTTTTATTCTCTGAATGGCAAAGATGAAGACATCGTTCTAAAGGCACATTGTAAATGAAACGACATGACGAGGAGTTAATGAGAGCATATAGGGAGCAGGAAGAGTAGACGCTGGAACAATGGAAGAGGATCGTGAAGTCTGATGGGTCCAGAGTTACCAGTGAATTTCTTCCTTGACGGCAAAATCAAATTCCCGGTGCTAGGATGCATCTGGCTCAGGTTCAGGGAACTTGACGCAGGATAGACAACCACAGAGTTCAGACAGTAGCCTTATTGAGGATCTGGGGTGTGCTAGAGAAGAATGTACGCAACAGTCTGACTCCCATCAGCTGTGCAAGATCTTGGAAAAAATGAGTGCAACAGGAAATAAATGTGACACTGCAGAAGTTTATTGGAACGTTGCTGCTAGGAATGTGAATCTTACAGCAACTCAAGATTCAATTTGATTACGATTCTCGGGGTGACGATTCCATTCAGGATCAGTTCACAGTCAATGCTTTCAGTAACAAATAGTGTCAGCTAGAGCTTAGACTATAAACATGTATAAATGTGGGTGTGTGGGATGAAGAAGCGGGGGCAAGAGAATACCATGTGTCAGTTTAAACCAATAAACAAGTTTTATAACATCCAGCAGCATGCATTCACTTAACCAGTAATATTTATCATTGAACACAAAGACTAACGGGCAACAAATAGTCACGTATGCACGATGCGGTGGGCATGAAACAACACAAGCTAAACAGGATAACACTCCTAGAACGCAGACAGGATATTAAGAAAGGTCGTGTTTCATCAGATTGCAACAAATTAACACGGCTGAGGGGCGTGGCTTGGCCTGGGTCCAGTGATGATGCGTTCAGGGACACTCAGAAATGCAGCAGTTTAAGTGCTTGAGATTGAGTCAGAAGTTTTATAAATAAGAATCATGATTCGGATGTGAATCGTTTTTTTGTCTCAGTACCTCAAGTTGCTACAGTGAGGGTGTGTCTTAATGAAGGCTAAATGTTGTCCAGAGTAACTTTAGTGTGACCAACTATTGGAAAGACAATTCATGCTCTACCAAGGTGTTGACCTGCTTGCTAAAGGGTTAATGTCACCTGAAATCCTCAGACACAAATGTAAAAACAGCAAATACTGTCTGGTTCTGGTTCAATTCCTAGGATTATTCTAGATTATGTCCAACATTAGTTTTTTAGACTTTTTCATTGCAGTGGCACAAAAACGCCATCATAATATGGTGGCATCTTTTCAGTGATGATTTCATAATATAACATTCCATAATTAGTGCAGTGCAGCACAAGTGTGAAGTACAAAGATACTGAAGATGCAGCTGTAGTACTTTTAATATCCACCATGTGTAGCTCTAAGAAAGAACACAGTCGGGTGGTGCTGTTCCAGTGACCCGGTCTGGTGTGGATTTAAGTGTTGCTTCACATCTTGAAGGAATGACACAGAGTTCATTTTAGAGACTCAGACATATCCATTAGTTTATCATGAGAAACGGTCTGGATTAGCAAAGCCTCAAAATGAACTCTTCGTTTTTTTTCCATGAATATTAGAAGGTGGTGTTTGACATAATCACATATGAACTCATCTCACAGGTTTTATTTTAGTTAATTATAAAACTTTTGTTTTAAACAATAGCATATTTCTTCTGACTAGAATCAGCTCAGAGTCTGAGGAGGCATTTAAACGCAAATCTGCTTCTAGATATTTTTTTCTTTAAGATTAATTCAGTCAAACTCACAAAATTTCCTTTCACACCATTTACTGTTAATAATGTCAGAAAGCAAAACCTTTTTTAAATTCTGTCTAAAATATATACATGGTTTTTGCTCTCAAAAGTAATTGTTTTCAGGTTCAGTTTTGAAAAAAGTTTTAAATATTGCACAACATGTTCCTGTTAAGTCTCCACTCATGGAGATATGTGCTGTTATTTTAACTGTACTTGCATCATGCCTGCTAATGAGAGGAAAAGAAGCAGCAGCAGAGAGGAGACGCTCCGGCTGCTGAAGAAGGCTAAACGGTTTTTTTATACAGCACCCTGGAGATTAAAATCACGAGGTGCTTCACAAGAACTAACATGAAAAAATAATGAAATTTTTAGGTAACACTTTACAATGAGTGTCCCTTTATTATTATTAGTGCATTTATAAAGGATCCCTTTATTAACGTTACCTGGTGCATTATTAATCCACAAAGTTGATGTTACAGATATTAACTATAAAGTGTCCTTAAGGTAAGGACAAATGGCCGGGGGGGTCCGCTTAGTAAATATTAACATTAATATTGTGCAGTTGTTAATCCTTTATTTAATAGTTTAATATTAATCAACATCAGAACAATTTAAAACATCTAAGTAAAGAAAAGTAATCATAAATTGTACCATGTGTGGGTGCTTTAAATATTTTAATATTTTCAATTTCATTGTTTTCACTCTGTCAGGATTTGAGGTTGTGGGTCAGTGTGTGTGTGGTTTTGTACTCTCACCTTGACTTGGCAGGCAGGGCCAGATTAACACTTTGTTGTGCCCTGGGCAACAATGTTAAAGGGCCCCATTATCACGACCCAAAGATCACCATAATATGGTCACAAACAGAATATTTTACTGTAATATGCAGTAAATATACTCAATACTTGAATGCCTGACATCACGTAACCCGCTCAGGGTAACCTTTGACCCACCTCGTGGACTGACCAATGAGGAGAGGGTCTTAACTTGAGGCCCTCTCTTCATTGGTCAGTCTGCATGAGACTGACTCTCAACCGCTCTCAACTGATGTTCAAAGTCATAGGCAACGAAGCGTCTCTGTGCAGCGCAAAAGCCCAGGTGGACAGTTTGTTGAATATAGGGTGACCATATTTTCATTTCTAAAAAAGAGGGCAGGGGACCGTGTGCTGGATGCAGCACCCTGGAGCCCTGCGCACCAACGATCAGCGCTCTGCCGCTCTCGGTGCCCTCTGCTCAAAAGAACCCCCGGTTCACTGAAAGTCCATGAATGATGTAATATAGGTAAAAAACTTTTTTCCGGCTCCCCTGGATGTGTAGGATATACAGCTCCCCCATAATTCGATCCCTGCTCCTGGATGAAAAACCGGACATTTTCATCAATACAAGAACCCCCCAGTCCGAACACCCCGGACAGAGAGTGAAAAGTGGACATGTCCGGGGAAAACAGGACGTATGGTCACCCTAGTTTAATATAAAGCGGGAGATTACAGATGCATTACCACTGCTAGTGAGGCAACCACCAACAGCTAGCATTTTTAAATCACGCTTGAAAACTCACCACTTCAACCTAGCTTATACAACATAATTATGAACATCACTTACATCTGCATTGTTTAAAAATGGACTTTACAATATCAACTTCCGTACTATTGAGGTTCTTTTTTAAAATGTTTTTCTAATTTTTTATTCTCCCTGTGTCTTACTGATTTTTAGCTGTTAGTTTTTGAGAATTTTGTTGTATTTCCTTTTTATCTTTTATCTGTGTTCGACATGTTTGTATATCGCCGGTTTAATTAACTAACATTTTTAGTGTACAGCGCCTTGTTTGGTTGTAATGCCTTGTGAATGCGCTTTATAAATAAAATTGGATTGGATTGGATACAGTATTTTGCTCGTGCCCTTGCTGCCCTGGGCCCTTTAGAGTTTGTGGGCCCTGGGCAATTGCCCAGTTGCCCATATGGTTAATCTGGCCTTGTTGGCAGGTATCCACTGAAGGGCATTATAGAGACGCTCCTCCACAGTGGGGGATTACTGCAGGGTTGTCTCCACACACACATGCAACTCATCCACCTCATAATGGAGGGGAGGATAAAAGGACCTGGCCAGTGCATTTATAAGCATTAATAAACAAAGGATCCCTCAATGCCAGAGTGCTGATCTATATGGTAATGCAGCCTTGAATCCTGTGCTTCATGCTGGAACCTCTCTATGTCCACATTCTCATTCAGCCTGCTCTTCAGCTCTTCCATGACTGGTTCCCCCCAACTCTCAGATATCCTCCCGTCACCACCCTACCGCCTGCCAACAACCCTCATTCAATCACCTGCTGATCATTGCTTTCCTTCGTCATCCTCCGTTCTGTGCGTCTCCCACTCTGCCCCCCAGAGCCTCACCATGAGACTCGTACTAAGTGTACCTCTCCCATTATTCCTGTTTCTCTTCAAGAAAGACCCATTACTCACCTCCAAGTCATTGCAGAGCCCTCTGGATCTCTACCATGCCTGCCCGCAGCTTTGGCCTCTCCATCTCTTCTCATCTGTAAGCCACTCTCCTGATTCAGCAACACTCTATCAGCCATCATCACCTTTTTCCTTCCTTCCAGTGGTTCAGCTCCTGGTTCCCGATCTCCAATTACCACCAGATCATCCTTAATATCTGTCATTAGAACTTCTCTTGTCTCCTGAGAGCGTAAATGCATATGGACCAAAAGGTTTCCTAAAATCAAGACACACTCGTTAAAGGAAGGAAAGTATAATTATTTGGCTGTGGTTATAGTCTATGGTCACACACACACACACCTATAACACTTGGTTGGCCCTGTGAAAATAAGCAAATCAACTTACCTTCTTACAGAACATCTTGTCCTCGTTTAAAGTTATTACTTTTCTCTTCCATCCATCCATTTTCATCCTCTTATCTGGAATCGGGTCGCGGGGGCAGTAGCCTAAGGCGAGAGGCCCAGACTTCCCTCTCCCCAGCCTCTTGGGCCAGCTCCTCCGGGGGAATCCCAAGGCGTTCCCTGGCCAGGTGAGAGACGTAGTCCCTCCACCGTGTCCAGGGTCTACCTTTAGGTCTCCTCCCGGTTGGACGTGCCCGGAAAACCTCACCAGGGAGGCGTCCAGGAGGCATCCTGACCAGATGCTCGAGCCACCTCATCTGGCTCCTCTCGATGTGGAGGAGCAGCAGGTCTACTCCGAGCCCCTCCCGAATGACTGAGCTTCTCACCCTGTATCTAAGGGAGAGCCCAGCCACTCTTCGGAGAAAACTCATTTCGGCCGCTTGTATCCGCAATCTCGTTCTTTCGGTCACGACCCAAAGCTCATGACCATAGGTGAGGATAGGAACGTAGATCGACCGGTAAATCGAGAGCTTCGCCTTCTGACTCAGCTCTCTCTTCACCACAACAGACTGGTATAACGCCCGCATCACTGCAGATGCAACACCAATCCGCCTATCGATCTCACGCTCCAGTTTTCCCTCAGTCGTGAACAAGGCCCCGAGATACTTAAACTCCTCCACTTGGGGCAGGACCTCATCCCTGACCCAGATAAGGCATTCTATAGCTGCTTCCCACTTGGCTGCAAAGCACTCCAGCAAAAGCTGAAGATCATGTTCTGATGAAGCCAACAGAACCACATCATCTGCAAAAAGCAGAGACCTGATCCTCAGGCCACCAAAACGGATGCCCTCCACACCTTGGCTGTGCCAGACCGGGCTACATGGGTGAAAGCCCGGCCACCAGGCGCTCACCAATGTGCCTCACGTCCAGGCCTGGCTCCAGAGGGGGGCCCCGGTGACCCACGTCCGGGCGAGGGAACACGGTTTCCATTTATATAATTCATCAGAAGAGGTCTTCGGGCTGCTCTTTGTCTGATCCTTCACCTAGGACCTGTTTGCCATGGGTGACCCTACCAGAGGCAGAAAGCCTCAGACAACTTAGCTCCTAGGATCATTGAGACACTCAAACCCCTCCACCACGGTAAGGTGGCAGCCCAGGGAGAGGTACTTTTCTCTTATCAAAGACTAATCATTTGCCTTTCTGACGGCACTTCAATTCCCTGTATAAAGATTGCTTTGTCAAGTTAAAAATCCACAGAAAATATTTACATATTATAGATTAATTTCTGTTAGGCATCAACATGACTTGTGTAAAAATTCACACCCAAAAAAAACACACACAGCTTTGTGATTTCTTTTAATTTCTGGTGTGATGATGGGATTTATGCTAGACTCGAGGTCCAGAATCTTTGATTCTGCCATTAAAAAAAAGGGAAAGGAATGCATTCTTCTATTAATTTCATGTAGTAAGCGAGTAAGTTTTATTTATACATAACTCATCACAGACATAGAATCACCAAGTGCTTCAGATGTTATTCTCCACCTGTAAACTGCTTCTTTATCATTCATTCCTAAACCACATTTAATTGTTTGTTAAGTCTGAAGAGATTATTTTGATCTTGAAGCAATTTTATTTAGCATTTTTTAGTTTAAAAAAGCCACAGAGATAAGATAAGACGTGTTTAAAACCCTGCAGCTCATTTCTTAAGACGTCAGAACTTGTGGAATTTCCAAAGGCACAGTCCATATATGGGTATGTAGGTGGAGTCAGAAGTAGTAACCGGAGTGAATGGGTGGAGAAAGAGAAGAGAGAACATATAAAGTCGTCTGTGAGGAAAGAACAGATAAACTCGGACACTGACTCACATCAGAACACACTATGCTGCTGCAACCTCTCTGGACCTTCATCCTGGGACACTCATCCCTCCTGGGCTCACCTTTCTTCCCTGTCATCTTCTCCCTTTCAGTGTACCTGTCCTTCTGTCTTCCTTTCCTGCTGCTGGATCTGCTGTCCTCCAGGTGGGCTCTGATACGCAGGTACAAGCTTCAACCTCAGAGCTCTGTCAGCTGGACCTCGGTGTGGCGCTGTCTGGTCCTGACGCTCTACAACCACCTGATCTTCATCTTCCCGCTCACTGTGCTGAACTGGTACCTGCGGCCGGTGCAGCTGCCCGAGCAGGCTCCCCCTCTGGCCCGTCTCCTGGCTCAGGTGTTGGTCTGCCTGCTGCTGTTTGACTTCCAGAGCTTCACCTGGCACCTGCTGCACCACAAGATTCCCTGGCTCTACCGCAACTTCCACAAGGTTGGTGTTTCTTCGTCTGTAGGGATTAGAACTTTAACCTAGGAGATTTTTAATGAGACTTTTTTGATAAATCTTTTGTTTTCTTTCATTTTCACTTGAATCCTGAGAACTAAATCTGAACCACCCTGTTTGAATGCTGTGCTCATGTCTCTCCTCCTTTTCCTCCACCAGCTCCACCACTCCAACACCTCCACCTCGGCCCTCACCACAGAGTACTCGGGGGCCTGGGAGACCCTCAGCCTGGGCCTTTTTGCTGCCACCAACCCCTTCCTGTTGGGCTGTCATCCCCTTACTGAGATGGCCTTTTTTGTGCTCAACATCTGGCTATCGGTGGAAGACCACTGTGGCTACGACCTGCCCTGGGCCACGCACCGCCTGGTACCTCTGAGTCTGTATGGTGGTGCCCGCCACCACGACCTGCACCACCTCAAGTCCATGTACAACTACGCCCCTCACTTCACCCACTGGGACCGGCTGGCTGGGACGTTGTGCACGCAGGACTGAGCTGCAGCTGTGGAATGACGGATGGTTCTCAAACGCACCTCAGACTGAGCTTGTGAACGCTCACCTGAAAGGACTGATGGGAAATGAGCCGATGGAGATGTTTACAGACTGATCAGAGGCTCCACACGAAATCTGACCTTTGACCGCATCAGACTGACAGAAAGTCAGGTCCTGCACTTTAAAGACACAAACATGTTTTTATTTATTTATCAACGTATTTATTGCCTACGCAGATTTTTGAGCAGGACACAAAACCTTCAGACAACTGCGAACTTCATAATCATGTGGTGTTAATATTCATAAACATCAGATTTCAGACTGGATAAAATTCACTTTTGAGGTTTGAAAATTAGAAATTGTTCATATTGAACAGCACTCCTCATGTTGTGTACATATTGTTTACATTTCAGTGTAAGCGAAGGCCGATGTTTACTGAGGGCGAGCAGAAGACCGTGATCAGGGAAGAAGCGGAGGTGTTAGAGTTCATTTGGTGAAGAAGACTCAGAAAGACGAGGAAGGTTTTCTGTTGTATAGAAATCAGAGTTTGAAGGAAATTTGACTGAACGTGTTAGAAGAATTTTATAAACTGTGAAATTTTGTGCACTGATGAAAATTTAAATGAAGCCTTTATAAATGAAGTGAATCAGTCTTGTGCGTTTCATTTCAATTCAAAATCTCCTTTCATGGTGCTGAATTTTCCTGTGACACCTGAATGCATCAATTATCTGAAAGAACTAAACACATCAAATAACTCAGATTCATCCCATATGTAGCAAATAAGTTTGGATTTTACTGACATTTCAAAGACGGTTTTTCTCTGAGCTGATCCATTCTAATTGTGCTTCTAACATAAAATTACACGTCAGAACAGGTACAGGGTAAATCGTGAATCAGCATGAATCCCTGACATTTATACAGCAGGAATTAGGTGCAGCTGTGCGTAAGCAGCATTTTATACATTGGAAAATTAGTTTATGCAGGTACATTTTTTTATGAGCTTAAATTATATTTTAGTAATATAGTAGTTTATAAATGTGGGTATTCTTTTTATATTTCACAAATATTTAAATTATATATTCAAAACCAATCCATCCATTTTCTGTTGCTTATGTGGAGTTGGGTTGCGAAGGCAGCAGCCTAAGTTGAGAGGCCCAGACTTCCCTCTCCCCAGCCATGGACCAGCTCCTCTGGGGAAATCCTAAGGCGTTCCCTGGGCAGGCAAGAGACATAGTCCCTCCAGCATGTCCTGGGTCTTCCCTTAGGTCTCCTCCCGGTTGGACGTGACTGAATAACCTCACCAGTGAGGCGTCAAGGAGGCATCCTAACTAGATGCCCGAGCCACCTCAAGTCTCTCCTCTCAATGTGGAGGAGCAGCGGGTCTACTCCAAGCCCCTCCCGGATGACCGAGCTTCTCACCCTATCTCTAAAGGAGAGCCCAGATACCCTGCAGAGAAAGCTCTTTTAGGCCGCTTGTATCCGTGATCTTATTCTTTCAGTCACTACCCAAAGCTCGTGACCATAGGTGATGGTTGAAACGTAGATCGACCGGTAAATCGAGAGCTTCGCCTTCTGGCTCAGCTTTCTTTTCACAACGACAGATCGATACAACGCTATCAATCTCGCGCTCCAGCATTCTCTCACTCGTGAGCAAGGCCTTGAGATACTTAAACTCCTCCACTTGGGGCAGGACCTCATCCCTGACCTGGAGAAGGCATTCTACCCTTTTCTGACTCAAGACCATGGTCTCATATTTAAAGTAGATGATTCTCATCCCAGCTGCTCCACACTCGGCTGCAAACCGCTCCAGAGAAAGCTGGAGATCATGTTCTGATGAAGCCAATAGGACCGCATCATCTGCAAAAAGCAGAGACCTGATCCTTAGGCCACCAAAACAGATCTCCTCAACACCTTGGCTGTGCCTAGAAATCCTGCCCATAAAAGTTATGAACAGAATCGGTGACAAAGAGCAGCCTTGGCGGTGTCCAACTCTCACTGGGAATGAGCCCGACTTACTGCAGATGTTGTCTAGTCAAGCCCGGTAGTGTTTGTTTCCCTTGCGTCGGGCGTTGGAGGTATGTCAATTTGAGTTCCCCCTCTCACCAAAAATAACCCTCACCCTGATGCTTACTCTAACCATAACCACTCAGTCACCAAAAATTGTATGTTTTACACAATTATAATATGAAATGTCTTTGTGGAAGAATTTTTATGTTTGTAATGGGGTTATGATTAGGGTAAAAATTAGGGCAAGGGTTAGGATACGCTTTATTTTGGAGTGGATGGTTCCAACTTGTGGCTGGGTGGAGGCGAAACAGATCTCGAGGGGGGAACGGATATCGACAAAACACCGGCACGCGCTCCCGACGCAGGGGAAACAAATTCTACTGGGGATAACTACGCTGCTACAACACTGGCGAACCAAGCTCTGACACCGGCCATAGAGGAACCTAACAGCCCCTCGTGTACCTCTTTGCCTGTGCGTAACCAGACTAGTTCTGTGTGTAGAATCAAACAGAGGATGAGTCTGGCAGGCCAGGCCATATAATCAGTGGAGGATGGGGACAAAGAGGACCTCCATCGTGGAAAAACCCTCCCATCCTCTGCATGCCACTGTAGAGACCACGGACAACTCCTTCAAAGACAGAAGGAGACACTCTCTTAGGTCATTCATCCCCTCTGCAATAAGAGTGTATCACTCTTCAGTTTAACTGGCACTGGCATCCTGGTACACAATAACATAAATGCAATGCAAACTCACTTGCATCACCCTCTCCTTATTCAGCTCTTTTTTCCCCTTCCTTACATTTTTTATTCACAATTATTTATTTATCCTAATTTTAACCATAGTATTTAATCTTTTTTATATCAAATGTTTTGTTCTTGTGAAGCGCCTAGTGATTTTTATCTTGAGAGGTGCTGTATTAAAGATTGTTTTCCTTCTTTCTTCAATATTCAGTATGTGTTCAATATGTGCAATACCCCATGTACATTACTATATGTGTGTCCCTTATGCTGCACAGTTCTGGAAACACAAGTTTCCTATTTAATTGTTTTTAGTGGTTAAAGGTTACAATAATAGCTTACTGCCTATGTGTGTTTACCTGTAATCTTGTTAATATTTTTCTTCTTTTCCCTAATTGTTTGTGCTGCTGTAAAGAGTGAATTTTCTCACGTGGGATTAATGAAGTCTATTCTATTCTATTCTATTCTATTCTATTATTAGTCACTGGTGCATCATAATCTTATAAATAACCCTCCTGTTACTACTTCTGACTCCACCTACATACCCATATATGGACTGTGCCTTTAGAATGGAAAATCCACAAGTTCTGACTCTTAAGAAATTAGCTGCAGGGCTTTAGGAAACACCTTGGTGCTATTTTTAAGTCATGAATGATAAAATAACTGCATAATCCAACCAATCCCTTCAGGCAAAACAGACAAATGGAAGTGATTTAGAGGTAGAGAAAAAATTAGGAGAATAATGAGAAACCTTTTTTTGTGGTGGCCCCAGCTGTGCAGAACCGTCTGCGTCTACACCTGCATCTCGTGATGCATTTGCACTCCAGCTACACAAGTCATCCTAAATTTCCACGTGTGTTTTTTGTTTTTTGGAAACCCGTTTCTTGGATTGATGATTTAGTGAAATGTTCTTATTTTTCAGCACTTTGGGCAGCAGACGTTTTATAAATGTGTAAAACATCACTTGACTTATTATCTGTTTATTGTTTTCTGCGTGATCGTAGTTTTTGGATATCCTTGGTAATTTTTTATTACTTGGAAAACACCTGAACATGTGTGGGTGGAGTAGCGATGGAATCTTACTACCAACAGAAGGACAGCTGTCAGTGAAAGTGTGCTGTTGATTGCATCTATCTCATACTGAAACCACTATAGACATTTTCAAACAATAATCACTAATCTTTCTGTTTCATCAGACAATCTGGTTGTCTGGAAACTTGTACAATAAGTTGTTTCTCATCTGATCTTGAACTAACTCAGGGTGATCGTTTTGCTCTGAGTCACTGATGTGGTGATGGTGAAGGTTAAAGCTGCTTTAGCCCATGGACGTAATTTGGGGGGGGGGGGGGGGACATGTCCCCCCCACTCTCTCCAAAGTCAAGTTTTCACCCCTGCACTTTTTACCAATACTTTATATTAAATTGGCACTGGTTGAGCTCTAGGACCAAGCAGAAAACAACCATTTGTGTTGAAGCCTGTTTTCCATTAGAACATACTGTAAAGACACCCCCCCCCCCCCCCCCCGCGTGCACACACACACACACACACACACACACACACGTGTCCCCCCCACTTCTAAAGTGAAAATTACGTCCATGCTTTAGCCAATCGGTCAGGTTTTGAACGGATCCCCCCCCCCCCCCCCCCCGGGGGGCTTCAGCCAGAACCAGAAACCTGCGATAGGAAACGAGACAGCGCTCAACACCAGTAGCTGTTTTCTAGGTCCAAATGTCTTTTGTTGTTCGTGACTCCAACTGGTGATTTTCTTTTTGGGACTTTGTTAGTTTGTTCTAAAGTTGAAGTGATAGCAGATGCCTGGTTCTTCTTCTCTGATATTGAGCTGAGAAACCTCTGACAACCAGTGATGTTCTGTTGGTAAATACGTGAGTATGTAATGAATGGAGGACCCAGGGAAGTGCAGTGGTTTGCTGAGACTGACTCCTGGATGGTCCAATGGTTGCTTTCGGTCCAAAATGTGTTAATGGCAGACATTGATACTGTATACAATTGCGAGAGAACAACTTTATTCAGTTTTCTTTTCATTTTTTTAATCTTCACATTATAGATCATTGTTAATAGAGATAAAAAATATTTTAAAGTAATTTGTTTTCCAAATTTGCTTCAAACAGATGATCCCACTCTGAAGGATCAGTGCTAACCCGAACCCTGAGAGAATGAGCAAATTTGTAACAGTTGTTGCAGCAAAGCAGTTGGCAAGCAAACAAAAAATGTTGAAACCCAAATTCAAACTGACAACAATAAAACAGAAAGAGTAAAAAAGTATCCTCAATTATAACAGCTAACAAAAAAAGAAATGTTGCTATTATGAGAAAATGTAGATACTGTTTGGACCACAAAGCACATCTTGTACTGTTCACTTTTCCTTCTTTATATTAGTTACTGTAGAGAGGTCTGGGGAACTCTTACAGTAGCCAATTAGAAACTGTGTTTATACTTATTAAAGGGTTGTATATAATGCTGGGTTCAGGGACCACACACTAATACACTTTTCATAAAATCTAAACTGTTAAAGATTCAAGATCAAGTGGACCTAAAATCTTATACAGGGACAGCAGTAGCTCAGGAGGTAGAGTGGGGTGTCCAGTAATCGGAAGGTTGCAGGTTTGATACCAGTTCGATTCTGCCTTAGAGGGTTGTAGAAAGGCGCTGTACAAATACAGACCAAATATAAAGTAATATTCAGAAACATGTGATTAGAGGTGAACACAAGAACCAGCGTGTCTCTAAAAGAGGTGTAGAGCTATGAAATGGATTGGACCAGAACTTGTCAATTCCAGGCTTTGTGGGCCGCTATTCAGCACGATTTGTTTGGTTTCTCTGGTCCAACACACTTGCTTCAGTGGTTGAATCACCTGTGCAGCAGCTCATCAGGCTCTGCAGAAGC